TCTCCTCCACTAGCTCAATGAGTCAAGGCAAGTCAAAACGAATGTGCACAGCTCTGGGTTGTCTTTTGGGAAATTGGGAAAACGTTCAAAAGAGATTCTTTTTCGATTCTCAAGGAAAAAGAAACTAAATGTCTACTGTAATTCTATTTGGCCCCAGCATCAACTGGACACTGGGGCAAAGTGGCCACCTGAAGGGTCTATTGATTTTCAGACTCTTTTCAGAACAGTTGCAACTTTACTGTCAGCATACCGGTTAACAGCTCGGGCTCCTGCGCAAGCATTTGTTACATTGACAGTCTGAACTGGCTGGAAGAGTGCAGACTGGTCCCCACTGGGGAGGACAGAAAAGAAGAGGGAGAGTAGAGCTCACACTCTTCCCTCCAAAAGCTGGTAGCGCAGCATAGGAATGGGCTTGGTGGTGGGAGCAGCTCTGGGGATTCTGTCACCAGGTCTGGGTGCAATAATGGCTTTCATGGCCAGGAGGGCATGAATGGGCAGTTGAATCCTGGCCCACTGGTTACAGTTTGGAATCACCAGCCCTTCAGCCCTTCAAAATGGTCCTACCTTTAGGACCCAGGGAAGAAAAGAAAGCAAGGCTTTCTCAGGCGAGCAAGATGCTTATTCACACAGAGAGAGGTGCTCAACTTGCTATGAGAACTCTTTTTGCCTGTGGTTCGATTAGCTACTCTTGAGAAAGCCATAGACCAGCCAGCCTCATTGTTTGAGGTGGAGAAAGGCTTGGGATTTGGTGTTGAAACTCTCAGTTTGTAATCAGTGCTGCTATCCACTTTCCTCTTCCTCCTTGTACGTGTGTGTGCGTCTGTGCTACTGTTCTTCTCAGATCCTTCCATTGCTTTCTGTTTTTGTTTTGCATTAAGTTTTGTTCTCCAAGTTTTTGTGCACTAAGCACTGGGTGCCCGTGCACTAAGCCTTGTGCACAACTCTTTGAGAATGTCAAGGGTGAGGTGCAGTTTTTGGAAACAGCTTAGAGGAAAAGCCAGCTGTGTCTAACCACCCTCGCTCAGGGGAGGAAGGAATTCACCCACCTTTCTCTCAAACACTGGCTAGGGACTTGTCTAAATGGACCGGAGACTTTAATGCTGTTCTTACTACAGTATATGAACGATCTTTTAATTGCCACTGAAGCCACAGACAGTGCACATCTGCTGGATTTCGTTGGGTCACCAAGAAGATGCAAACCTCACAAGGACAGGTGCAGTATCTGGCTTTCTGACTTTCAAAAGTGAGGCTGGAGCTGGTCCTCTCCTGCACCAGACTCAGCAGGTATCTCTTTCTGTCCTTCTGTGGCACTGACTAGCTGGCCGGCATCGCTCCTTCTCCGAGCCCAGAGGGGCCATGCTGGCTGTCCGCCAAGGCCAAAGCAGCCGTGCCTGATTAACTGGCTGCCTGCGGTGTGTGAAGCTGCAGCCACTGGCTGGTTGCTGCCTGTGGCTTGCAATGGCACAGGGGAAGCGGGGCTGCTGTCTTACGTCAGCTGACTCGCCTGAGACTGGACTTCATCATTGATGCAGTGGGAGGACTGTGCCCAGGTGCCCCTTGCCACACACAGCAGTGAGATCTGAGGGAGTGCCTACGTGGGAACATTGCACCAGGCTGAGAAAAGCTCCAAAAACCATAAGGAGACCACAGCACCATGGAACTCGTGGAGGACCTGGAGTTCCTACTCAAACACCAACCCTGCTCAAACACCAACACACCAACCAGCAGCACAACAGACCAGGATGAGAAGAAGCTGGCATCAGTGTCAGCCAAGGCCTGCAACTGGAGGGGGCAAGGGAGAAGAGCCCCGAAGAAATGCAGCCTGTCGGGGACCAGGATCGGTCCAGCCTGAAGAATGAAAACAAAGAGACTTGCATTTGCCTAACGCTAAGTAGCCTAGATAATAATGCTGAAGGGAAGAGGGGGAGTTTCTCGGAGTTGCTACTCTGGCTGTCTCTGTGTACTTCTGTTAATTTTGTTATTCCCTCCTACACCAGATGTCCTTGTGGAAAGAAAACAGTGGAATGCCCCGTTTCTGAGCTTTCAGTCTGAGGGGACTGGCTCAGTGTGCAACAGAAAGCTTTGGCTTCAGCAGCACTGGTGGGAACCCAGCATGGATTTCTTACACCTGCAGATGTCACGTGCCTAGATCTTGACCAAAGACCAGGTAACACCGACATGCAGATTGCAGAAGGGCGGGCACTGCCACCCCAGATCAGCCAAAGGAGAGTGAAAAGGAAGAAGTCACATTTGGCTTGGAAAGGATTGCACAGGTCCCTGGGAAAAACCACCACAGGCAAGGACCACTGAGGCACGGTGGTCTGGTCTGGTGGACTGGCAGCATCTCTACAGCACCCAAAGAGCAACAGCCAATGGGCACAGGCTGGAATAGCCCCCCCCCCCCCCCGTGTGTGTGTGTGTGTGTGGGAGAGTTTGGTGCGGTGGCTAGCATGTGGCTTTGTCTGCTAAGCTGGAAAGGCCTGGCCTGCAGCTGGATGGGCACCCACGTGTGGAGGCTGCCTGCTGTGCATTATTCTCACAAATGGGGCGGGTAAGTGCCAACTGGTACAGCCTGGGATGCCCACTGTGGGTGCAAGAGAACTTGGCGCTGCCAAAAGATGGAAGTCGGCAAATACGCCTAGCTCAGCGGCCCACACTGGAAATAACTGGCAAATACAAAACTCCACAGGAGAAACCCTCCGCAGGGGATCTCTGGACTCAGTTTCACAACACGGGTTTGCCTGCCAAACAGAAACCCCCCTGGGACCCACTGGGTGAATAGCCAGAGGGCTTTCATGGCTTTCCCTACAGAAGGACGAGGCATTGGATACATTGCCCCCAGCCTCCGAATTACTGCAGAATTCCCCGGGGCGCGTGCCCAGACTGCGGAGAGGTAGTTCCGACATTGGTGGAAGACACTGCCAAAGCGGTAGCCTGTTCCCTTCTCTGTGCCAGCCTTCCGCCAGCTGGGGGTTTCTCAAGTCACCGTGGCATCAGAGTGCAGCCTCTGCATTCTCTGTATTTCTAGCGAAACAGCGGGTGCCATTTCAGACATACAACCAAGTTAGCTCAGCTTCAGCAACTTGCCATACAAAGTTGCAGGACGCTGCATTGCTGGCAAGCCAGGCCAGGGTTTGCAACACTTGTGGGAGACAAAACTGTTTGTTTAAAGCATCTCATTCAAAAGCTCAGTGCTTTACAACCTGCTTTAAATTTCATTCTGGTAAAAGTGGCTTGGGAAGAGTGTTTCCTTGGTTCTCCAACTGAGGCTGTTACTGGCAGAGCTTGCCAACAATTATTCTAGTATTTCTCAGACATGCATAGGGTGGGCTTGTCATGAACAGAGCTGGCTAAAGCCAGGGGTCAGACTGGTTGCCCCATGAGGTCCCTTCTGAATCACTCTGCTTCTGTGCGTCTGTGCTTCTCTATCCAAATGGCCCTCACCTGCACAGGCTGTCTGCACCTTCAAGGCAAAGCTGCAGGGGCTTGGCGGCCTGTCTCCCTGGTCAGGAGGAATCTGTCTTTTGCTGGAAGCTGTTGCCAATCGCGGCACCCCAAAACACCTCAAGAATGGTTGGCCAGAGGGAGGCCACATAGTAACAACACCACAGTTAGACACACACACTGGTGGGATAACCTTTTTGGTAAGGCATGGTGGAAAAAGATGCTGTCTTGAGTTGTCTAGCATACAGAGTACTCCTATGATGACAATCCCTGTGGACAAAACATCCGGGAGTGGGAGGGGGACACCTTCAGTGGGCCAAGCCTTGGTTTTACCTGTGTTGACTCAGATACACACAGAGTCATGTTACACTTAGCAGTTTGGTGGGATGGGAAAAAGAGGGGAAGCTGTACTCAGAAAAACAATTCTTGCCATCCCAACTCACTGCCTTGCCACAATCACATCAAAAGATGCCTCGCGTCTGGTGGTGAAGACAGATGACCCCCTCCATTAGTGGGTGACTGTCAACGTGCAACCTCTGTGTTTTATAGGCTTGCTAAAGTGCCTCCCTAACCCTGTGTGTTCACCCATGTAACCTTTTTGCTTACTTAACTTGGCCAGCCTGTTCAAGGTAACTTTAGTTTAGAAGCCCTCTCAAAGGCATCTAATTAGAGTGGAATGTCCCTTTTCTTTAAGGTGCTGTGATATGTATCCAGTCACCTTCCTGAGTACAGTATTCACTCCCCTGTTGTGTATTCTATGTAACCCTAATGGAATTAGCACTGGGGGTTCCTGCCTTGGGCACCCATGGATCCATGCCTTCAATTCTAAATAGACCTAATTTCTCTGGCACGAAACTGACCGTGTGAGCCTTAATTGCTGATTTGTGTGACAAGCGGATTCAAGAGGAACAGCAGTTTGAAACAGTCAGGTTAATTAAATTGTTATTAAAGCTGCAGTCATCAATATATTCACCTTGCAGTATCACTACACTCAGTGGGGCATAGCTCTGAATCTGGATGCGCTTGCAGGGCAAAAAACGGTCTGAAAACAATTTTAAAGTATGTTTGATTGGTTTGATAAAGGTTATTGCCTGGTCATGGATTTTATAGCCATATATAAACATGATTCCAAGCATGAGCAGTTAGAAGTCAATTAAAAAGTCAATTAAACACAACCTTATTAAACAGATATCCTATTAAATTAGTTCTCAGGTAAAATTCATATTGAATTTTCCATAGAGTTGCAGTAAGAGAGTCTATTATTGCAAAAACAACACAGAGTCTTGTCTTATTAAAGCACTCTTAGGCATACTATCTAAGTGTACCTAGGAATGCACCTGAAGGTGTTTCAAATGTGATTTTAATAATGCAGTCATACCGCCTTTTAAACTGGATTTTAGGGGCAGATCAGCTGTAACCCTCCCACTTTTTTCCTGAAAACAAATAGTTTTTACTTAGAATTTAAAAAGCAAATGATTTACTAACAGGAAGAATGCAAAACAGCCAGAATGTCTAATACAGAGTCAATTTGTTTAGCAACTTTTTATTAGGTTGCATGTAGGCAAGAGATAGTTTTACATGGTCCTGTTCAATACCACACAGGAAGGAGCAGTTAGACTTGCCTAGACATTTCTACACTGAGGTAGGACTTCTGTCTAGAAACAAATCCAAAGAATATGGGTTACTGCCAAGTCCATGGCTGAAGTAGACCTCATGGGCGCTTGCTTTTCCGAGCTATCTCTGCAAGGCGCTTGGTGATCATCAGTCTTGTGTCTATGTAGCGATTGACACAATTGGTCAGACAGGTTTCCGTCGTGGAGTCCAGCTTAGAGCCTGGTTTGTTGACACATTTTTCCCAGCAGACTTCCACGAAATTGTGAACCCGGCCAGTAAGGTGGGCCCGGTGCTCCTCGGCCGCCATCAGACGCCGCATCTCTGCCATCTCGGCCTCTCGCCGCAGCTCCTCCATGTCCGCTCGCCGGAGGGGGAATTGCTTCTGATCGGTAATCGCTGGGAGCCTCCGCGTGGCAATACTCCAACCAATTTATGTACTGCCAAAATATGTTAGTCTTCAAAGAAACAAATTTGCTCTTCCTTTACGGGATGCTACTCCAAGGCGTATATCTGACGACTATGAGAAACGCATCCCTTTATTCAAAAGAGTTAATTGCGATAAACTCCACTTCCGGCGATACCAATAAGGGCATTATTATAATTATGAGCGTAGGGTTGAAAAGTGGAAGCGAAACATTATTTTTAAGTGAATAAGGCTGGGGTAACACCTGCGTGCGCAGAGATTCCAACTTGTAAACAAAGCAGAATGTTTATTAAATTGTACCATAATAGGCTTCTATTACCAATTATTGCTTCTAATCATTACTCATCATGAATCAGTGGTTACAATGGTAATGCCGTTTTCTTTTCGAGTGAGGTACACATTGCAAAATCTAACGAGCAGCATTTCTCATTTTTTCTTTTAATAATATAATCACGCTTTTACCGCCTCCGCCCCTTTGCCTCCTGGGAAATGTATTTCGTGGTCCGCTTGTACTTTTCCGTATAACCAGATCGAAGCGGGCGGGTCGAAATCTCGCGGCGTGATCTTATCCAGTCTCGCGAGAAAGGCTGCTGGAGATTCCCTTTCCGCGCCGCGCTCGACGGGAATGGGAGTCTCTCTCTTCTTTCTCGGCGAGCTGCCTCGTTCTCCACAAACCGTCGCTGCAACCACAGCGCAAAAAACAGAATAACTCACGAGTCGTCGAATTTGGAATGAAGTAGAATGCCCTCTTTTGATCCCTATCCCAACGCCATAAGGCATATTTCTACGCCGTGGACTACAATTCCCAGCAGCTCCTGCGCCAGGGCTGGTCTCTGCCCACCCCCACAATGCACCGCCCCGCCTCCTTTTCCCCAGCCTTTACGTCAATGCAGCGAGACAGGCGTGCGCGCGGTGCATTGTGGGATAAAGGAGAGGTGGGGACCGCCTTTCAGCCATGGAGAGCGGTAGGGATGCCCCAGGTGAGTCGTTCCCCTCCGGCCGTTCCCAGATCCGGTCAGGTGAAGTCCTCTCCTTCTTCCGGGGGCTTGCCCGCCCCCTTTTTCAAGAAAAGCGCTCACGCTCCTTTCTAGGCTGGACGTTAGCGACTCTTCTCCATAAAAATGTTGTGTTGTTATTGCTGCATTGCATTTTTGTGATTCGCCGGAATAAAAGCGCAGCCGACGAGCCTTTGCGGCTTTTCTTTTTTTCTTTGTCGTTTTTTTGTGTGGATGTTGTTAGTCGCGAAGTCGTGCCCGACCCATTGCGACCCCATGGACAACACTCCTCCAGGCCCTCCACCATCCCCTGGAGTCCGCCTAAGCTCACACCGACTGCTTCAGTGACCCCATCCAGCCACCTCAGCCTCTGCCGTCCCCTCCTTCTTTTCCCTTCCATCGTTCCCAGCATCAGGCTCTTCTCCAGGGAGTCCTTCCTTCTCATTGAGTGGCCAAAGTATTTGAGGTTCATCTTCAGCATCTGGCCTTCTAAAGAGCAGTCAGGGTTGATCTCCTCTAGGACTGACCGGTTTGATCGCCTTGCGGTCCAGGGGACTCGCAGGAATCTCTTCCAGCACCACAATTCAAAGGCCTCAATCCTTCGGCGCTCAGCCTTCCTTATGGTCCAACTTTCACAGCCATACATTGCAACTGGGAAAACCGTAGCCTTGAGTATACGCACTTTTGTTGGCAGGGTGATGTCTCTGCTTTTTAGTATGCTGTCTAGGTTTGCCATAGCTTTCCTCCCCAGGAGCAAGCGTCTTTTAATTTCTTGGCTGCAGTCACTGTCTGCGGTGATCCTGAAGCTCAGGAAAATAAAATCTGTCACTACCTCCAAATGAAATCTGTCACTACCTACCTCAAGAGACGAATAAGATGGTCTGGGACTCCCATCTATTTAAGAACTTGCCACATTTGGTTGTGATCCACACAATCAAAGGCTTTAGCATAGCCAATGAAGCAGAAATAGATGTTTTTCTGGAATTCCCTAGCTTTCTCCATGATCCAGCGTATGTTGGCAATTTGACCTCTAGTTCCTCTGCCTCTTTGAAATCCTGCCTGTACTTCTGGTAGTTCTTGGTCCACATACTGCTGGAGCCTAGCTTGTAGGATTCTGAGCATCACTTTGCTAGCATGTGGAATGAGTGCAATGGTGCGGTAGTTTGAGCATTCTTTGGCGTTGCCCTTCTTTGGGATCGGAATGTAAACTGACCTTTTCCAATCCTGTGGCCACTGTTGAGTTCTCCAAATTTGCTGGAATATTGAGTGTAGCACTTTTACTGCATCGTCTTTTAGGATTTTGAATAGCTCAGCTGGAATACTGTCGCCTCCACTAGCTTTGTTGTTGCTCGGACTTCCTAAGGCCCATTTGACTTCACCTTCCAGGATGTCTGGCTCAAGGTCAGTGACCACCCCATCCTGATTATCAGGGACATTAAGCTCTTTCTTGTATAGCTCTTCTGTGTAATCTTGCCACCTCTTCTTAATCTCTTTTGCCTCTGTTAGGTCCCTGCCATTTTGATCCTTTATCATGACCATCCTTGCATGAAACCTTCCCTTCATATCTCCAATTTTCTTGAAGAGATCTCTGGTCCTCCCTTTTCTATTGTTTTCTTCTATTTCTTGGCACTGTTCATTTAAGAAGGCCTTCTTATCTCTTCTAGCTATTCTCTGGAATTCTGCATTCAATTGGGTGTATCTTTCTCTTTCCCCCTTGCCTTTTGCTTCCCTTCTTTCCTCAGCTATTTGTAAAGCTTCCTCAGACAGCTATTTTGCTTCCTTGCATGTCTTTTTCTTTGGAATGGTTTTAGTTGCTGCCTCTTTTACAGTGTTGCAAACCTCTGTCGATAGTTCTTCAGGTACACTCTCAAGGTGACTTCCTTAGTCACCACTTCTTCATTTGATCCAAGCAGCAACCCTGTGATGTAGGTGAGGCTGAGGGTCAGGGTCTAGCCCAGAGTTGCCCATTGAGCTTCATGGATGAGCTAGGATGAGAGGCTGGATCACCTGAATCCCAGTCCAGTGCTTTATCTACTAGGCCACATTGGCTCTCTAGTAGTTTGAGTAGTAGAGTAGTATGAATCAACTGGACATCACAATATTAAATACCCTTCCCTTAATGACTGCATTGTGGAGCTTAGAAAAATGCGACACAACCAGGAGGGCCTACCCGAATAATGAGAAGGATTAAATTGGTCTACAGGGGAGAAGGCAGTCTTGCAGAGAAGCTGGTATCCAGTTGTTTTGTTCTCTGTGTACAAATTAAGAAGTTTAAACTGATGCTGGATTTTTTAAATGCTGCTTTTGAGAGGGTTTTGCACTTAAAGCTGACCTTAAGATCATTTAAAATACAAAATCCATATTTTTTACATCTTTGCATACATTTCCCCCTTTCTTACTGTTTCAGCAAGAGGCTCTTGAGGTAGAATTCAACCTGTTGATGACTTCTACTGCTAGAGGTTTTATAGGAGCACTTTTAAAATCATCTCTGCATGTATTAATTGGCTTATCTGGTGCAAACGTTTTTGTGTTCACAGCATTGGCACTACAAATGAGCCCTGTGATTGTCCTTCTCAGTACTATCTGCATTTATTTACTTTCCAGGCTCCCTGTTCACAATTTCTCCCTTTCCCGCCACTGTATACTTCATATAACCTGAAACAACACTCCATGCATTCAGTGAAGCTGATTGGCGTAAAAGCTTCTGCCAGAATAAACTTGTTCATTGCTTCCTTTCTTTCTTTTTTTGCTGTGATAGACTCACATGGCTACTGCCTGGGGATGATTTTCACTGCCTTTTAGCAATTTTTGCTAAATTAGTAAAATTTTATTTTGAAAGGAAGGCTGGCTAGCTCTGTTTTGCAGTCAGTAATCAACTAAGGCGAGCATTGCAGGAGGATCGATCCAGCATTGCAGTAGGGAACCAGATACTGCCGATAAACAGGACTAGCATGCAGCAGGGCTCTGTCACTTGCGTTCCCTCACACTTGTATGCAGATGCACAAATTGGCTCCTCCTAGAAATAGTATATATAATTGGTTTAATTTAGGTCTGGCCTCTCTTCTTCCCTCAAGGAATACAACATGGCTTCGTATTCCCCTCTTCCCCATTTATCCCCACAGCAAACAGGCTTCAGCCTGGAACACAGAATCCTCCCGGTTGGGAAGCATCCATCCTGTGAGGGCACAAGTAATTGGATTACACCCTTAGTGGATTAGCACCTTTCAGAATAAAGCATTCTCCCAGGGTGTCTTGCAGTAATCAGTAAGCAATATCACCTAGAGAAGTTTATTTTTATTAGGTGTTCAGTCTTTTGTGTTGGTCGCAAAGTCATGCCTGACCATGATCCTGGTCTTGTTTTTACTGACTGTATAGAGCTTCTCCATCTTTGGCTGCAGAGCACATAGTCAGTATGATTTCTTTGTTGACCGTCTGGTGATGTCCATGTGTAGAGTTGTCTCTTGAGTAGTTGGAAAAGAGCGTTTGCTATGACCAGCGTGTTCTCTTGACAAAATTCTGCCAGCCTTTGCATTGATTAATTTTGTGCTCCAAGGCCAAACATGTCTGTTGTTCTGGTTATCTTTTGGCTTCCTCCTTTAGCATTCCACTCCCCCATGATGATAAGGACAAATGGTTGGGGCGTAGACTTGGACTACTGTGATGTTGAATGTTTCCTACTCTTTAATTGACTATGAAGGCTGTTCCATTTCTTCTGAGGGATTCTTGCCTGTAGCAGTATACCTGATGGTCATCTGAATTAAATTCACCCATTCCTGTCCATTTTAGTTCGCTGATTCCCAAGATGTCGATGTTCAGTCTTGTCATCTCTTGTTTGACCACGTCCAGCTTGCCTTGATTCATGGATCTTACATTCCAGGTTCCTATGGAGTATAGATCTTTGCAACATCAGCCTCTCCTTTCACCACCAGATATATGCGCAACTGAGTGTCCTTTCGGCTTTGACCCAGTCTCTTCATTCTTCCTGGCGCTACCGGTACTAGCCCTCTGCTCTTCCCCAGTAACACATTGGACACCTTCTGACTTGAGGGGCTCATCTCCCGGCATCAGATCTTTTATCTCTATGCTTCTGTCCGTGGGGTTTTCACGGCAAGGGGACTGGCGTGGGTTGCCATTTCCTTCTCCAGTGGGTCACCTTTTGTCAGAGCTCTCTGCTATGGCCTGTCCAACTTGGGTGGCCCCGCACGGCACACCTCACAGCTTCATTGCGCTACGCAAGCCCCTTCACCACGACAGGGCAACGATCCATGAAGGGGAGGTGTTCAATAAGTCAGCTAAATAAAATGACTGGCAAACAAGGTTATATTAATGGCAGTATGCCAGTCAGATGAAATAACAGTCTGCAGTAGATAACACAGTCTTTACGTAGAATTGGCTAGCTAATTGATTGCAGTACTGGGTCAGATAGGCCTCCTTCCAGGAAAATGCACACAAGATTACGGCACTCATAACCCTGAACACTAAGGCTGTTCTCTACGCAGAGGGCATCTTTATTTTCACACTGGGGGTGGCTCAGTCGTCCTATCCCTTTCTTCCTCCACCCTGCACTGCACTTTTGAAGCGTTATAGTTAAGTAGGAACTGACTTGCTGGTGCCTTTGCTGTCTTCTCTCTGATCAGGAAAGGCCAGTCGGTGGTTTGGCGTCACCACGTCCAAATCAGTGAAAACCAACGTGAACATTCTCCACCAGGAGAAGCTCATCGCCCAGAAGAAGCGTGAGATCGAGGCCAAGATGGAGCGGCAGGCCAAGCAGAAGCACTCGGCCAGCCAGCCAGCCTCCCAGGCAAGCGAGTGAGTGGCTTTCTTGGTGGCAAAGGGGTTGGTGGGGGCAAGAGACCCATTGTTTGGCACCTTTTAAAAGTCGGCCTCTCCTTTCCTCAACTTGGGACCCTGCAGATGGGTTGGACTTCAGCTCATGTGCTGGAGGATGGGAGTTGTGGTCCAACCCATATGGATCCTGTCCCGATCTAAAATTGTGACAGTATGGTAGTTCCCCAGTTTGCATGTGGAAGGTCCTCGTCATCTCCAGCTGAAAGAGACATATCTCTGCCTGAACCCCAGGAGAAAAGCTGCCAGACAGAGCAGGTTGCCCTGGCAGGATGTCCTAATTGGTGTAAGCAGTGGGATAGTGGATCCAGAACTGGCAATCTTTCATTAGCAGGAGCAGGGGTGGTGAAATATTCTGCCCCCTCATCAAATTTCCAGGTTTATCCAGAAAAAAGGCCCAGCAATGTATTAACTGTAATTCTGAATGTCCTTCTCTCTCTCCTACCTTCCAGCGATGAGAGTTGTGACGGTGAAAGCTCAGTTTCGAACAAATTTGCCAATGATGGGAGTTTTCTTCAGCAGTTCCTCAAGCTGCAGAAGGAGAAGATGGGAGGTGGTAAGTATTTGTCATTAGCAGCCTTTTGCTCTTCTTCTAATTCTTGTTGGTGGCTTTAAAAAAGATACCTCATTTTCTAGCCCTAGTAGGTGCCCCTAGGAGACCTTATGCTTAAAAAAAAAGAAGAGAGAGAATGAAATCTAAAAGCATTAAAAAGACTCCTGAATTAAAAGGCTTGTCTCTGAAACTCATGTCGCAGTGTCTTCTCAGTGATGGCCCCACATTTTTCTTAGTTTTAGGAGGTTCTTCTTCTTTTGCCTTTAGCACTTTAGAGGCAAAAATGACAGGTACTAGTAAGTGTCGGAATGTCTTCTCCTCTCCAGGGGCCTCCTGCAGTTCTGCTGAGACGCCTACAGCTACCCCGCCCACTGTCAATGCCACAAAGAAGCCCCCCCTGGCTGGGAAACGCCCCAGCCTCAGTGTTACCAGCATGCTGAGCCAAGTCAAAAACTACGCCCATTCCAAGCAGACACCCGTCACCAATCGGCTCAGTGTTTTCCAGTCTCCCGATGAAGATGAGGAGGAAGACTATGAGCAGTGGCTGGAGATAAAAAGTAAGTTCTCCTGGTAGTGCAGGGTTTCCTTTCGTTGTGGTGCTGCTGGCATGTCCGTGGTAGCTTAGTCCCCTGCCCAAAACAGTTTCCCATCTTTTTTTCGTAAATATTTGGGGAGTTATAACTTCATGTTTCAGCCAGCTTTTCCCAACCTGGGGCTGTCCACGCTAGCCGGGAAAAATGAGCGATGTAGTTTACACATCTTGGGGGGGCACCAATTGGGGGAGTGTCATTTAAATGCTTAAACATCTATTGTGGGTGCAGTGCCAGTCAGGAGAGGTGGGGCAGAAACGAACTACGGTTGGGTTCAAGTTTAATGACAGACCAGGCTTCAGCCCAGAATTAGTATGATAGCTTAACAGCTGCAACTGTGCTTCTAGATTGCCCTTTTCCCCTTGATTGTGCCTAGTGCAACTTTTGGGTTGTGCCATGAAGACACAAGGCAGTTCTGCATCTTAGCTTGACCCTGACTCAGTCTTTGGAAGTGTTCGTTCTGATCAGCTGTCTTCAGATGCCTGTCAGTTGCCTCCCCTTAAGGGGGCGGTCCTTTTGAGGGTCTTGGAGTACCCAGGGATACACACAGTGAAAAAATCAAGTAGGGTGCTGTGATGTCACATTTTGCTGTGGTTTAGCAAGATAGTAGCTTTGAGCACTCTGTCAATAAAGCACAACAAAAAGGTTAACATTTACCTATGGTTAGTTTAAAACAAACCGACTTTAAGCCATGATTCCTGAAACTGGCTTCTTGAGAATGATCTTCACTGAGTTTAACCACAGTTTTAGATAACATGGGAAGCTGCTATTAACTCAAAACTAAAGATTGCAGCTTCCCTGGCCACCCAGAATGAGGGCAGGGCTCACCTGGGCAGAGACCAGTTCTGTGAACACCTGTTAAACCATGGTTCAGCATAGCACCCAAGCACAGCTGTAGTGTTTTTCTATTTGCAATGTTTATATGCTGCTTTTCTGTCAACTTCCAGGGCAGCATGGATAAAAGAAAGAAATACACATACAGCTTTCTTTTTAAATGGTTTTATGCTTTAATTGCAAGTCTGCTTGGGGTGTCCCAAGCTGGACCTAAAAGCAACTGACGAATGGAACAATAAGCCAAAAACAATGAGATGCGAACCCTTGGCCAGCATTGGCTACTTGGCCACACTGTCTCGCCTGTGGAGATGCCAGCCTGTGAGATGTTGGGAATAGAGGGAAATGCCTTCCACTCCTCCGCCAACCGTAGAGTTGTCTTCTTGGGACTGGTGTTGGCTTTCCGAGATGCTGCCAGCCAAGTTCAGTTCACAAGACCTTTATTATTATTATTATTACTTACATTTCTATACCACCCATAGCCGAAGCTCTCTGGGTGGTTCACAACATTGAAGTCCCCCATCCAGATTCCAACCAGGCCTGACCCTGCTTAGCTTCCAAGATGCGGCGTGATCAGGCCCTTCAGGCTACATGGAAGCTGCTTTAGCGATGGGGCCTGGTAGTTCTCCACAGGGCAGCCCCTCTAGCGTTCCTCCGCCCCAGTCAGAAAGGGTCGTGCTTGTGTCTCTCTGCTGTGGCTCCATCATTTCACCCTCTCTCTCCTCATTCCCCCCAACCCCACCCCACTTCTCCCCACCGGCGCGTGCCCAGTGCGGTGGTTCTTAGCTCTAATGTGCCTGTAGGGGGTGTGAGTAGAGCCCCTGTACTGACAGCCTGCTTAAAGTTTGTCCCCCAGAGGACATCAGGACCCGCCGCGTCGTGGAGAAGCTGGCCCGGGTCGTGGCCGAAGGAGGCCCGGATCTGGAGAAGGTCGCACTAGAGGACTGCAAGGATAACCCGGCTTTTGCGTACGTCCCTGCATGGGAATGGTGTAGGCAGCGTTCAGCCCCAGGAAGTCCGAAGCCGCTGAGGCTTCGTCCTCCATCATTCCCCCCCCAGGGCAGAGCCCATTCCCATACCGCACAGGAGCTGGGCCTTTTTCCGCCCTGAGACGGATTCTGTCTTGGGGAACCTCTTGGTGGGGGAGGACGTGTTCCCTCAGGGTGCAAAGGAGACTGGGCCAAAACGCCAGCGTATTTTAGCGATCCAGTCTTTGGAGAAGCGCTTTAGAAGACTTTTTTTTTTCATTTCTCTGCCGACGCCAGAGAGCTCATAAGAGAAGAGTCAGGATCCGAGATGTCGCTGTCTCTCTCCAAGGCCAGGTCATCTTTGTTCTAGTTCTCACTGGCATTAATAGCTCATCTAGTTTGTTGCTTAGCGTTCAAGTCCATCCTGCTCGGTTGGCTGGGCGCCAGTTCATTGGCGGTTTATCTTTCATATCAAGGCTAACTTCCTCCACAGCTGTCTGAGTTATCACTGATGAAGTGGTGCCATGATTAACCCTTCTAGCTCTGGAAGGGACTCTAACTCCTATCTCTCTGAAGACTCTCTGGGGGATTCTGTCATACCCTCTCAGATACTACAGCAAGGGGAAAACAGACCGGGAAAGCTGGTGACTGAACCAGCCGTCAGTGTTTGGGAGAACAGGGTGGAACTGGGAGAAGACAGCGGGGCCACTGAACCCTGGAGGCCTCGCCTGTGGTTCTGCCTCATGTGCACTGTGCCGCCTCCTTGCCCACCTGCAGGTTTCTGCATGATAAGAACAGCCCGGAGTTTCTGTACTACAGAAAGAAATTGGCAGAGATGTGGAAGAAGGGCCAAGACCCAGAGGAGGCCACCTCTTCTCAGAAAGGTAAGGCCGCAGGCTGCTCTGTTCAAGTCGCATGTACAGGTGTGTTTTGATTAATCAGATGGGTGTATTAAACGGCTTTTGGGCGCGCACGCCTTCTCACTGCACCCTCGCTGTTTGGAAGCCCCCAGACTTGGCGGCCTCTAGTGTTCCTTGGCTGAAGCTGATAGCCCGGGAGGAGCAGAGGAGGTGAGCTTCACCTTCTTGCCAGCTCCATCCTATGCTATTTCAACCAGAACTTTTCAGCCTTCTAGCAAGGGTGCTCTGGAGTGGGAAGGAAGGGGACTGGAGGAAGCACAGAAGAAAGCACATCTGGCCATCCCAGTCTCCTCCCTTTCCTTCCTCTTCGAGGTCAGTTTGCCAGCCTAGGAGAGGCAACCCTCATGGTTGTTCCCGTACCAGCTTCCTTTCGTGCTTAACTGTGCCCAGAGGATCAAAGCTCATCCAATGAAATTCATGTAAACTTTTTGACTTAGGCTGCTATCCTAGTACTGCGTCTTTGCTGTCGTAGTTGTGGGGGTGTTCTTAGCGGCTTGCCCCAATTTGCAGCACAGGGGGCTGAGGTCGGAACTTTTCGGGAGCTTCACCTGCTTGGACTGGATGCAGTTCAGCACCACAAATAGCTCCCATCCTGCAGGAAGCCGCTCCCTTCCACTGGTCGAAGCGATGGGCTTGGTGTTCTCCATCGCCAGTATGATCCATGGCCGTGCTGCCTGGGTTCATAGGCATTTGTTTGTTTATTTAAAACTTTCGCATGCTGTCCCCCATGCAAGGCATCTCTGGACAGCTCACAATCACTACATTAAGATAATCAATAAAATCACACACATTAAAACAATCCAAGTGGTAAAAGCAATAAAACGTGACTGTTACGTTAGTACTAGTTTTTAAAATACTGGTTCAATAAAAAGGCTTTGACCTGGCGCTGAAAAGAGTATAAGCTTGGTGCCAGGCGAACCTCTCCGGGGAGCGCATTGCATAATCTGGGTGCCACCGCAGAGAAGGCCCAACCCCGAGTAGGTACCCCTTTTACCTCCTTCAGGGAGGGTTCTCAGAGTAGGGCCTCCCTCACTGATCTTAAGGGGCATGAGGGCATATATGGAAGGAGACGTTCCTTCAGGTATCCCGGTCCCAAGCTGTTCAGGGCTTTACAGGTCAAAACCAGCACCTTGAACTGGGCCTGGAATTCAACTGGGAGCCGATGTAGCTGGTAGAGGACCGGCGTTATAGAAGAATAATGACTGGTCCCCGTCAGCATCTTGGCCATGCTATTCTGTACCAGCTGAAGCATCTGAACCGTTTTCAAGGGCAGCCCCATGTAGAGCGCATTACGATAATCCAACCTGGAGGTTACCAGAGCATGAATCACCGTTGCTAGGCAGTCTTTGTCCACCTAAGGACGTTAGCTGATGGACCAGCCAAAGCTGGAGGAAAGTGCTCCTCACCACCTCCACCTTCTGTGTTTCCAGTGACAGCTCTGGGTCAAGGAGTACTCCCAAGCTGCGGACCCCGTCCTTTAGAGGGAGCGCTACCCCATCCAGGGCAGGGCCAAAATCACCTACCTGGAGACCCGCACTGCCCACCAACAGGACCTCCGTCTTACCTGGATTGAGCCTCAGTTTATTGGCCCTCATCCAGCCCATTAGCTCGGCTCAGTACAGCCACCGCCTCACCTGGAGCAGATGCGAACAAGAGGTACAGCTGGGTATCGACAGCGTACTGATGGCTCCGCAGCCCGCACCTCCGGATGACCTCTCCCAGTGGTTTCATGTAGATGTTGGAGAGCATGGGGGACAAGATGGACCCCTGCGGTACTCCATGGCATAGCTGCCATGGCGCAGAGCCATGGTCCCCCAGCACCACCTTCTGGAATCGGCTGGCCAGGTAGGAGTGGGACCACCGCCACGCAGAGCCTCCTACTCCCAACCCAGCCAGCCTATCCATTAGGACCAACAGGGACGCACTCCCCCTGTCTTTCTCCCTGCACAGGTCACCATACAGGGCGCCCAAGGCAGATTCAGTACCGTACCTGGGTCTGAAGTCAGACTGAAATGGGTCCAGATAATCCGTTTCATCCAAGCGTGTTCCTCCATATAGCCTGCAGTGCCTGCTCCTGCCTAATATAGGAGAGAATATACTTGGAACAGGACCTTCTCTGCAGTGGCACCCTGGCTATGGAATGCGCTCCCCAGAGAGGTCCTACTGGCACCGACGCTGTATGCTTTTTGGCACCAGGATAAGACCTTTTTATTTTCCCATAATTTCAATCTTTAAATATTTTAACTACGTTTTCTGCTCAGCTGTGGATTATTATGGATTGTTAGGGTTTATATGTATGTCATTGTTTGTTTTTTGGCACCAGGCCAAGACCTTTATATTTAAACATTATTTTAATTAATTGTTAATTTATTGATTGATTTTAACTTACTGCCTGGATGTTTCCAGTTTTATATATTTTTTATATATTTGTTTTGTTATTTATTTGCTGGAAGCCGCCCCGAGGCTTACGCGAATGGGGCAGCATACAAGATTCCCAAATAAATAAAATACATATGTATTTATTGTTGATTTATAAGCCATCCAGAGATGCACAACATCCTAGGACAGGACAAAAATACCCAAATAAATGAATAAGTAAGCTTGGAAGTCAAGCAGGGCCAGGCCTGGTTAGCAACTGGGTGGGAGACATCTTGCATTGAGCTGGGAGTTTGACCCAGTGACCTGAGCTCCTTCCAAGCGTACGATTCTATGATTAATCTAGTCCAACATACCGAGAGAATGGCAAGTTGAGGAAAGCTGCCCTAGGTTAGAAAGCCAGTGGGGCATCTGCCCCCTCTCCCCCTCCTCTTCCTCACGGTTGGCATAGGTACGGGGTTGGGGGTGAGAGGGTGGGAACTGTACCTGGAGCAGGTATGCGATGGACAACCTTGGTCCAGTCCCACACTGCCGGTTATTTAAAGATTGCATGTGAATCTCAGATGATTTAAGAATGAAAAAGGAAGTGTGGGGGGGGCCGGGGGAGGGAAGGAGAACATTGGTGCCATTTCAAGGGAGAAGTCAAGCCTTTATTCCCCTTTCTGTCTGGCCTGAGGCGGAAAGAGAATGTCCAGGCCTGACAGCCTCGGGAGAGTTTTTAGAGATTTGGGCAGCTTTGCTTTCTTTAAAGCCACTTCCCGCAATTCCTCCCGACCCCTCAACTACCACCCTCTGGCTCCTTTCCGCAGCGACGTAACACTGATGACGACTGATTTTGCTTTTATGTTTGTTGACAACCCCGCAAAGGGCAAGAAAGGATAACGTTGGGCGCTCCTCTTCCCCCTTGTTCCACCCCTTTGGGGTCTTTAAAGACAGATTATGCTTGTGGCTGTTGGGTGTGTAAGTTGGGGGCACCGTACTGACAGCCTGCTTAAAGTTTCACCCCCAGAGGACGAAGAGACCAAGGACTGTGCTGAGAAGCTGGCCAGGTTCGTGGCGGACGGGGGCCCCGTGGTGGAAATGGTGGCCCTGAAGAATCACCGGGAGAACCAGTCCTTCAGGTACCACAGGCCAGCAGGGGTGCAGGGCGCCACAGCCTGCTTGTGTCAGGAGGCACATTCGGGAGGCGGTTGTGGGCATTCTCACAAAATGGCCGGCACGGGCCGCTCAGGCTTGCCCCTTCATTGAGTGTTGCTCACACCTCAGAAGGATACCGCTGAAATGAAGAGAGCTGGCCTGTCCGAGGCAGAGGTCACTTCCCCCTGAAGCAAAGCTTCTCTCTTTCAACCCAAATAAGGGTGATGCTGGGTGCAGGAAGTAGTGCTGAGGCCGGCTTCCCAAATTTCAAATAACTTCTCCAAATTGTAAACAAAGGGGAAAGGACTTTTTAAAATCTTAAGTAAGGCAGAAGAGAAGGCAAGGAGCGTGGCAGCTGCCAAGACGCATGTCCCAGTTGCCCCAGGGATGACCCCAGGTGGGGTGGTCAGGTGGCCATCTGATATACTCATCCAGTGGTACCTCGGCTCACGAACACCGCAGTTCATGACCAAAACGGGTCACAAACAGAAATTTCTGGAAAAAAAAATCCTCAGGTTGCGAACTCCGCATCAGGTGACGGTCATGATTGTGCCCGTCTTCCCTGCACGAGTGTGACCGCGATTAGGCTGTGGGGGCGGGGGGGGGGGAGATGGTCACAATCGTGCTTGGGCAGGGGTGGGGGAGATGACCACGATTGCGGCCGTGCTCATGCAGGGAAGACGGGCATGATCGCTGTCGTACTTGGGGGCGGGGAGATGGCCGCGATCTTTGTTCTTTGTCACTTTGCTTCAAAATTTTGTGATAGTAAAAAAATAGTTACAGACCGGATTAATCTTATTTACATTGACCCTTATGGAGAAGTTTGACCTGGCTTGTGACCAATTTGGGTCATGACCAGAGTTCTGGAATGGATTAAGTTTGTGGGCCAAGGTACCACTGTGTAATACATCTCTGTTGCTGGGGTGGACACCAGCTCTGGGCATTTGATGGGTCCAGTTTAGGCTTGGTTCAGAGGCAGCAGGTCCGGCTTGTCGGCAGCACCCTCTTGCACTCGTGCATCTGACCCTCTGCCTGCATGCGCACACAGGTTTCTGTATGAGCCCAACAGCGCTGCCTACAAGTATTACCGGCAGAAGCTGGAGGAGTTCCGGAAAGCCAACGATGATGCGGAGGGCATGCCGCCCATCCCGGAAGCCGCCCCCAAGCGCAAAGCCCCTCCCGAAGGGGCCCCTTCTTCCTCCTCCGCGGTGGTGACAGTCTCATCCCCTCCGCCGCCCCTGCCCCCAGCCAAGCAAGTGGCTGTTTCTGCCGCGAAGAAGAAGCGGAAAAGCCGGTGGGGCCCGGAGGAGGAGAAGGTGGACTTGCCTCTGCCGGAGCTCGCTCAGCAGACGGAGGACCCCTCGCCCACCCCGCTGTCCGGTTAGTGCTTGCGTGTGGGTGTGAGAGCGTGCCTGCGGGCACCGATCCTCTCTCAAGCCACGAAGTCCCCCCAAACATGGAGCCATCCCAAGGGCTTGGTCACACTGGTGTCTGTGGCAGAATTTTCTGCTTCCCCTCCCCACCCCTGCCCACAGGAAGCTTTTCTCGCGCCCCCACTGCTGCTGCAGTCACAGCTCCTCAGCAGTTCAGGTCACCCCCTGCTCCCATCTTGGAGGGATTTGCATCCTCTCCTCCCTATGCATCTCTGCAGGCAGCTTTATGTGTGGCCTGATGGGGGAGCAACGAGGAGGAAAAATAATGGTTTTCCCTCGGATCCAGAATAATGTCATATCTTTATCGGGCTGATTGCAGAACTGACTCAACTCTGGCAAAACGGGTTTGGGGAAGGGGAGGAGAGATAAGAACTTGTCTCCTCCCTCCCAGGGGAGGCTGATTGGATGTTGTGGGCAAGATGTTTGTACAGCTGCTCCACCCAGAAGTTGTGACTTGGGCACTGACCGAGTCGGGCGTGTTGTTGAAATGTAGACGAGGTGCCAGGAAGATTTTCCTCACTGTCAGAACAGTGCAAGAGTGGAACCTGGGGAAGCTGTGGGCTTTCCCTCACGGGAGACATTCAGAACACATTTGGACAGCCACCCGAGTGGGATGGTGTGACTCGGTGTCCTGCCACTGCTGGGGGGCCGACCTGATGGTCTTCTGGCCCCTTCCAACTCTGCAGTTCTTGGATTCTATGAAACATGGAGGTTTTTCTGGGAGGTATTTGTGAAAGGTGACAGCCCAAATCCATGGATGTTCATCATGGCCAGCAGGGGGTTTTGTATCTGTTTTCTGAGCCCGCAGGGGCAAAGCTCGCTAGTCTTGGCTGGCTGCAGGCGAAGAGGAGCCCAGGTGTGCCCCACTTCTGAGCAAAGGGGAGGGCTTGTGGGGGGTGACAGGGTACTCCAGGCAGGCAGGGTTAACCCCTCCGATGCTTGGCCTCTCTCCAGTCCAGGACCTCAAGGGACTCGGGTACGAGAAAGGGAAGCCCGTCGGGCTGGTTGGTGTGACGGAGCTCTCGGATGCCCAGAGGAAGCAGCTGAAGGAGCAGCAGGAGGTGAGCTGGGCAGCGGTGGCGTGTGTATCTAGGAGGAGAGGGTCACACATCAGGGGCCTCCGGCTCTGTCCTTCGCATTGGCAAGAGCAGCTCCCCGTATGAGGAGCCAGGAAGAACCTGGGTGCAGGGCCGGAGCCAGGTTCAGCCCCCCCCCCCACCAGCAGGAGGCGAGCATGAAAACACCTCTGGCCCATGCGGCCTCCGATGCTGGCATGCACCTCCAGACCTGCCGCTGTGGGTCACACCCCTTCGCATTTGTCCAGCCGCCCATTAAAGCCGTCCGAGTGGGCCTCCATCGTGGATCCTCCAGTCGGAGCCTGCGCTTTCCATCCCCTCCTCCGCTTCGCTCTTTGCTAGAGCAAAGTAGCACCTTTCCTCCCAGCACAGCTAAACGTCCCGAGCCAGACCGCCTTTTCAGACTTCAGGCTGAAATGGCGGGCTGGGGGGACCAGAGGCTTCGCCCTGGGGATTTTCCTCTGGCGGCCAGCACGGGGGCGGGGGGCAGCCACGCGGCGCGAGGCCTGGGGGGTCGGCGTCCTGCCTGGGCCCCTCACCTGGATGCCGCACCTCCCGCCCAGATGCAGCAGATGTACGACATGATCATGAAGCACAAGCAGGCCATGCAGGAGATGCAGATCATGTGGGAGCGGACCGTGAAGGAGCACCAGTCGGGCTACGACAGCGACGAGGAGGTGGACAGCGAGCTGGGCACCTGGGAGCACCAGCTGAGGCGCATGGAGATGGACAAGACGCGAGGTGCGCTTGGACTCTGGGTGGGCTGGGTTGGCACCACTTGCACCCGCGTGGGAGCATCCCCAGACGGAGCAGCAGTTTTAAAGAAGGGCCTTCACTGCCCTGGTGCCCTGCAGCGGTTTGAACTTCAAGTCCCATCCTCCCCCTCCCAGCAGGACCTGGGGTCAGGCAGGCTGTGCAGAGGACATGGGGTTTTTATTATTATTATTATTATTATTATTATTATTATTATTATTATTATTATTTTCGATTTATATCCTGCCTTTTTCCTACAAAGGGCTCAAGGCAGCTTACATTATCTCTCCTCCTCCATCTTATCCCCACAACAACAACCCTGTGAGGTAGGTTGGGCTGAGAGACTGTGCCTGGCCCAAAGCCACCCAGTTGGCTCCATGGCCGAGCGGGGACTCGAACCCAGATCCTCTGAGTCCCAGTCCCATGCTCTTAACCACTACACCACACTGGCTCTCACCACACTGGTTTGGTGGGGGAGGCTGGGTTGGCAGCCTTCGTGGAATAGCCCCCCCTCCCCCCCCCCCCCCCGCTGGCTGGGTAGAAATAAATGGACTGTGAATTGCAGTTCATCGCTGCTGCTGGGGTGCAAAGGGCCTGACGTGCAAAGCACACTCGGTGTATTTTTGGTCTGTCTCCACATAAGCGAGCTTTGCCTGTCCTTCCCATGACCCAACGTTTTGTTTTTAATGGTACTCTTAATGCGGCACTTCTAAATGGTCCTTTCCCGCAGTTTATTTGCTTCTCTCTCTAAATTTCCTCTGTGGTTACGATGGAGCCTCTGTAATATTTCTCTTTGTTACGGGCTTCATCCCTGGCTTTAACGTGTGTGTGCTCATTATGTAAACTAGCCGGAGAGTTTCGGCTACATGGCAGCCCATAAACTGAATTTATGCTGACCGTAAAGACATGATCTTTTTCTGTGTGGGTTTTCACCCTGATGGCTGCTTCTGTTTTCCTGGTTCAGAGTGGGCCGAGCAGCTGACTCAGATGGGGCGGGGGAAGCATTTCATCGGAGACTTCCTGCCACCGGACGAGTTGGAAAAGTTCATGGAGACTTTCAAAGCGCTGAAGGTAAGCCCCCCCACCCCCGGCCTCATGCCCAGGGGTGGCAGTGGCTTGGCTTGGCTTGGATTGGGTAAGCGCACTGGTGGCTTTGTAAGCTTGAATGGCGGCTTCATTCTAACAAAAGAATCGGGGGGCAGTTCCAGCTTTGAGAAGCTTACCTTGGTCTCTAGCACCTGAAACAGCCCAGTGGTCTTCGTGCCGACTTTTCCCAGATTGGCCCTCATTCCTGGGATTTCTGAAGGCAGATGCCCCCTGAGTACGTGCAGAGTGCAGTTCACTTCCAGTTGCCTGTGTGCAGACAGGGAATATTCATATTAAAGGCAGTGTCTCATACTATGCATGCTGAATCGTAGTGAGTATTACACTGTAGCATATTTTTAATCTCAATAGCAACAGTGCTTCTGTTACTATTACTAATAAACTGGTTTATTAGTTTATTACTAATGAACTGGGGAGGAAGGGATTCCGGGTGTTGGCGTCGCTTTTCGGGCTGCTTTGATACCCACCACATTTGACACCCACGTTGCTCACCTCTCTTAGCGCACATGAGTTGTCTTAACTCTCTTCTCTTCCTTTCACCTTCCTTTTCCTGCTTTGCCCCGCAGGAAGGCCGTGAGCCCGACTACTCGGAATACAAAGAGTTCAAGCTGACCGTGGAGAACATCGGTTACCAAATGCTGATGAAAATGGGCTGGAAGGAGGGGGACGGCCTGGGGATGGAAGGCCAAGGCATCAAGGCCCCCGTCAACAAGTAAGTGCCGCTCTGGGCCGTCTCGATGTGGCTTTCACTCGTCCGTGCGCGCAGGAGGGGCCCCGTGCTCCTCACTTCCCTTGTGCAGCCGGGGCGGGTCCTGCACCCCAAGCCCCTGCCTGGCACCACATGTCTCTTTTTCTCCCTCATGTGCATGCGCTAAGCCATCGCTTTTAAGAGTTTTAAATACGCTTTGCAGTACGTGCCTCTTTCAGATCACTCAGTCAAACATGTTCTCTCCTTCCTGCTGGTCTGTCAGATTGTACTGCTCTTTCTCCTCCACATTATAGTCCCCTGTTCTGCCTTCCTTCTCTCTCCTCCTCTCTTGCCTCCTGTGCTCCTGTCTTGTACTTGTCCTTTCATGTGTGTGTTTATACATGTATGAACATGTGAATTCCCTGGGCAGGGATTCCCCTTCCTCCTTGTGGGGGTGGGGTGCTGTATTCCCCTCTGGTAATCTGCTGGGGGCCAGGTGTCGGCAGGTTGGAGCTGAAGCTAGTGTTGTTTTGGGCAGCGCCCCCGCCCCCCAGGTGCTGCCCACTGCTGCTGGGAGAGTCCACAGGAGCAGTTGTGTGCCTTCCTCAGTGCCATCCGTGGCCTGCTTCTTGGTTCCCAGAAGGCCCAAAATTCAGCCCTCGGGGTCTCCTGCCAGGGCTCAGAGAGACCAACAAAGGTCTGATAGCCCAGGTGACGAGCCAAGGGTCTGACTTTTGAAGGCATGCCCTCCAATTTGATCTAGCCCATTGATTCAGAATCATGAGGACCAGAATCTTGCTTCATTTTTAGCCGAGGTGCCACAGTTCAATGGCCGGCCACCTGCTTTGCATACAAAGGGCCTGAGAGTAATACCCAGCATCTCTGGTTTAACTAGGCCTAGGGGTCAGGTCATACGGAAGACCCTTCTCTGCCCAAGATTGCAGGGAGCGAGTCCTCGGCCAACGCCACTTCCCATTCAAGTAGAAATCACTGTGCTAAAAGGACAACTTGCCTGACCCGCCGTTGTAAGGGTGCTTCCAAGATCCTTCCTAATACGCACATAGAGGAGGTAAATACTGCCCTTTCCGAAACAGGGGAGTCACAGCCGTGGATGGCGCTGGATTTGGGATCGACCGTCCCGCCGAGCTGACCAAGGAGGACGATGAGTACGAGGCGTTCCGCAAACGGATGATGCTGGCCTACAGATTCCGGCCGAACCCATTGGTGAGAGGGTGCTCACCCCCATCCCACATGATCTGTTTTCCCCCATCTGGAAATTAAGTTTGTGCCTGCGCTTTCTCATGCAATCTAGAAGCGCTTCTGAAAGAACATTTATCGGGCCACTGTGAAAACGGTATTAAAAAGCAGTATCCCCTGTAGCAAAATGTTGCAGCATGCAGAGGTCCAGTTCTTGCTGGCCGGCCCCTGCCTTCCCCAGGGTACGCCATTCTGTCCACTTCACTCTGTTTCCCCCTTCTCACCTGCGCCATGTACTTCAGGTGCGCTCCTTTCTGTGGCCACTGAATAGGTGCTTTCTTCCCCTTATTTCCCTCCCTGCCACAAAACTCAAGTCTCTGTTCTCCCAGTTCCAAAGATAACTCCCGCCTGGGTAGATAGTCATTGCTTTGGCTGCCTAAAGCAAACACACGCACTGCACGAATTTCTGAAAGAGGGAGGAGCTGCCCTTCTGAAACAGACTTGCTTTAAAAGAGACAGATGGACTGGGTGGTTGGGTATCTCCAAATCACTGGATGGCCCATGTGACCATGCACGTGATTTTCTGTTCGTGTAAACTCATGCTTTTGCCGTTTTGCTGATTTGAAACAGCCCTTCATCAGGGCCACTTTTGACCCCGCAGAGGTTTAGGCCTCTGGTTACGCTGGCTGGGGCTGATGGCAAATAGTTACACAGAGACTTCTTAGTGGTGGCACCCTGGTTATAGAATGCCCTTCTTGGAGAGGCTTGCCTGCTCGTTGGCACTGTAGTAATTTCAGGATCAGGTGAATACCTTCCTATTTGTCTAGGCTTGCTTGCTTGCTTGCTTGCTTGCTTGCCTGCCTTCTTTCTTTCTTTCTTTCTTTCTTTCTTTCTTTCTTTCTTTCTTTCTTTAATTTAAAAGCATTTGTATCCCATCCTTCCGCACAAGCACTCAGGACAGCTTATATAATATAAAATCCCGATAAAACAATAATAAAACCACAATTATTAAAACATCTAAAATTGAACATCATAAACTAAAAGATAAAGGGGAAATAAAATAGGAAGTGCGACTGTGAAAAAGAAAACAACAAAAAAATCTTAAAACATCTAAAACCCTTAATCGTTAAAATAATGGTTGAATAAAAAGGTCTTTACCTGGCGCCGGAAGGAGCATAACATCGGCGCCAGGTGGACCTCTCTGGGGAGTGCATTCCGGAGTCTGGGGGCCACCACAGCGAAGGCCCTCCTCCAGACTTTTAAATCCTTTCAGGCCTTTAGCTTTGTTCATAAATGTATTAGTGCTTATAAGATCATTACTTGGCCAGTAGCTTCCACTCCAGTTTGAATTAAACTTTAATAGGTGGTACATTATAGTTTTTAACCTCTTAGGATTGTGGTTTTTGTGATCCCCAGGGAAAACTTTGGCACCTAGGCAACATAGACATCTAACAGGTGAAATAAATTGGTACTTAAGTAGAGGCCTTAATTTCAAGAAATGGCACCCTGCGGGGCACAGGCAATGCCATTGGGGCCTCCTGTTTTGTGGTCAGGGGGGAATAGGTTGCCTTCTCCCCCAGTGCAAGAATGCACATTGATTTTTCTAGCTTGAGCCAACCGTGGGGGTTCAGGAGGTGACCCATGTCGCCGCACAGGGTGCATGTGGAATCTGGTTCTTGAGGGGCCGGTCGGAATCGGCATCTTCCTCAAGTTCCAAGCTGGGTGCTTTCCAGAACCCACAGTGCTGCTCTGCTCTAAGATGAGGAGTTGCGAATTTAACAGGCAGCGACAAATTTAGCTCTGTTTCCTAGCCACCGCAATAAAATAGGAATACCCAATGGGACACCATTTTATTTAACAGGCAGTAGCCCCCTGACACAAATTCTTATATGTGCAACAAAATTCTTCCCGAGCATAAAACTCCGAGAGGCATTTTTCACGTGGAGCTCTATTAAAGGGGACTCCTGGGTGAGAAAGATAAATGTAAATCAGCTCCCACATTGGGGGGCGGCTGGGGGGTGGGGGGAGACAGAAATCTCCTTCATATGCCAACTCATCTGAATTTCTGTCTTTTCAGAGCCAGGGTGGAGAATGGCTGTGTTGCATTGTTTGACAATTAGCTGATTTTTCTCTTCTTGTTTTCTTGCAGAACAATCCCAGGCGTCCATATTATTGACTCGGCAATGCGCTTCTCCCCGCCACCCCACCCCACGATGTGATGGTCTGCTTACTGTGATAAGTTTTTCCAATCGGTTCTTTCCTACCGCACCCCTCTCTTCTCCCACTTTTAAAGAAATTGGGATCGTTTTATTCAAAAACATTCTGTTATTAAAATTCGCATTTCTATCGCTTTGTCCACCCTGAGACCGTCGGACTTCTACCCAAGAAAGAGCAGGACATTGCTAAAACTTCAGCAGAAGATTCCTGAATAATCAGCCAAGAGGTTCCTTGTGGGGTTGGCATTCAGGTATCAATCAAGTGAGGCGCTTGTTCCTCTTACTCAGTTTTCACTTCATGCTCTCTTAGAAAAGCCTCCTCTCTCTCCTTGTTCTCCTGAATTGTATTGGTAGTGAGACGGGGCAAGAGTGTGTCTCCACTGTTGTAAATAGTGTGCCAGCCAGGAGTACCTGTGTTGTCTCTCGAGAGAGGCAGTGCAAAGACGAGGAAACCAGCACCAGCCAATAAGGAGCTGTGTCCCAGTTCCTTTTTTCCCCACACCTGGGTTGCAGTGCAAGATGGGTTAGGGGATCGCTTGTCACTGCAAAGGAGAATACTGCCAGGGTCTCTTGCCACCCCCTTGAAGGATTCTTGCTAGGATGTAGCTTCGGGGTGTTTCTGCAAGGTGAAGGCATTTTGGAGGTCAGATGGGGCCTTCCCTTGGTTCCCTAGCCTTCAAGAAGGGGATGGAAATTATTTTCCTAGCTTCTTCTGAAGAAGTGGCAGAAACAAGGCTCCTGGATTCGCACTGATATTCTAAAAAGCATCTTGATTTACCCCAAAACAGGAAGGGACCCTTTCCAAAATAGGACTTTATCCTGCCCATTACACCTACCACTCCACTGTTTCAGTTCGTAGCTTTTTCTGTTTCTCCCTCCCCTGGCACTCCCAAACACCAGATCAAAAATTGTTCCTCTTACTGTATTTGGAAAAGTTTTGGGGTGGCATGTGTGTTTATTTTGTTACTCTTGATGAACAGTAGTGTTGATGCGTTTGGCTCTTAATGAACAGTGGAATAAAGCTACAAAACTACTGCATCTCAAGGCTGCGTTTGCTCCGGAAGTTGTGAACCTCAAGGGCCATGCAGTTTTCAGAGTGCCAGTCAGGCATGGGGGAATGTGGATAAGGGGTGGGAGTCTGACTGGGGGTTACGCAGGGCCCAGGCAGAGAGAGCTGTACTTCTGGCTCGGGGACCCATCCTAACAAGAACCTTGGAATTGGACCATTCCAGCCCAACCTGGAATGTGTAAGACGTAAGAATCCACCTTGGCAAATACTTGGTGGAAAAGGGGTGATGTGATGTGTGTATTTGGCATAGCAATGACTGCTGTGTTTGGGGTTTGTAAACAACTAGGGAATCTGTGCATTCTTTAGTCCCTCTCCATTATAGTGAGCTCATATCAGGGTGGCGAGAGGTTGGGGATGATGGAAGCTTTCGCCCCACTCAGCTGGAGGGCCACAGGTGCCCTGTGCCTTGGAGTAAGGACTTGGAGTGCAAAAACATGGCTAGGAAATTCTTTACCGTGTAGGCCTTTTTTCTGTTTACAGGGGCTTGAGTTTATACCTTTTGGCTTTCTAAGGTGCTATGGATACCAGCAATGTCATAATAATTGGATACGGATGAGTTGGCTGCAGACTGTTGCACTTCTCTAATTCCTGCGTTTGCAAAGACAAAGCAAGCTTGCAGGTGTCCGGGAGGGGCAGTGCAAGTCTGAAAATATGTCAGCAGTAGGGTGGGGTGGAGGAAACTGAGTAGCAACCCTGTTCCTGCCCTGCATTTGCAAAAGTGGCATTGGCCAGATACAAATTTGAGAGAGCCATTCCTGTTGTAACTGAGTGGTTGGAACTCCCCCTCTGCGTGCCAAAATTCCCGGATTTTCCTAGTTGGTGAAGGTAAGACTGATTCTGGGAAAGGGTACCTCCTGAATTGCGAATGGGGAGAGTCTTTTTCAGCCCTGAGGGAAATTCCATTTTGAAGAAGCGTTCCACTGGTGGGCACTGCAGAAATGGAAGAGGCGCGGCCCAGAATATCAGCCTGCCATTTGAGGGAGCTTCTGGAAGGCCCAATACTTCCGCCAAAGGCCGCTAAGCCTTAAAAGGGTATTTGAGCCATTTTAGGAAGGGGACAAATCAAAGCAGACAAATTGTCTGAGAATGGCTGGCCGGAGAAAGGTAGGTCAGACATCTGGAGCAATCAAAGCAATTTGCATGTCCAAATTCACTTCCAGTCTTTGGTGAACCGACAATTCAAGCATCGGTCCTCTGCATACACAATGGTGGGTTTTGCTGGTCACCCGAAATACCACAAAGTGTAAAGGAACAGCTTTGGGATTTTGGCCCCCTGTACAAAGTGAAATGGCCCCTTTCTTCCCAGCCTATTCCTACCACTCCGTGGGTGATGATATGGCTGTATTGAGAGAACTCTCAATAGTTCCAGAGAACTAGAAAATCCCCAATTCACTAGGGAAGCTCACCGGGTGAATTTGGGCCACATGCAGATTCTCAGCCCAAGCCACATTCCAGGGTCGTCGTGACAGTAGAACGGAGAAGAGGGTTCTTTCTGTAAGCCATCTTGGGGGAGAAAGGCAAGCCATAAATTTAATAGGTTTGCGTGTGTGCCTCAGGATATTCATGCTTAGAACAAGCCAAAGTCTGTTTTGAAGCTGTACCTCCCTCCTGCCTGAATAAAACCCTCCAGGACAAAGTTTGCGTTGCTGTAATTCCTTCAGTGGACTCTTAAACCCAAACCCGATAACCTAAGTCTGTTGAGACAACGCTTGCAAAAGGGAGGGGCCTAAAAGGCTGTGTGATCTGGCACATTTTGGCTTCCTGGAGCAGAGAAGATGACGCCTCCCACCCCATTCCATGCACAGATCTGGGCCAGCACTTCAACAGTCGGGGGAGCCGGACAGCCCTGAGATCAGTGGGGAACTGTCTGTGGTGCTGAACTGCAAACCCCACTGATTTAAGCACCACGGTTAGCTCCCTAAGCACCTGGACCGAACTATGGCATGGCCATACCTGTGCACTGGACCTCTTTGCCTCTGCAGATAAGGCAGAAGGAAGATGTTAGTCCAGTGGTGGCAAACCTACAGCACGTGGGCCGCAGCGGCAGGCAGAGCCCTCTCTGTCGGCACGCGAGCCAGGTCGCCCCAGCATCACCCCAGCAGCTGAGCATTGGATAACAGCGCGCATAGGGGCCATGCACATGCTCGGAAAGGAGCAGCGGTGCCAGGCAAGGACATCAAGAACCGTGACTCAGCCGCAACTCGCCGAGCTTTCCCATGGCCGGTCAGTGCGCTGCCAAGGATATATATGTTTGTCTCTCCGTTATTGTGTTTTTCTTTTAAGACAAAAGATGTTAATGTATGTTTTTTCTTAACTAAAACCTCAGTATTCAGGTTTGATTGCAGTGTTGGCACTTTGTGATAAATAAGTGGGTTTTGGGGTGCAGTTTGAGCACTCGGTCTCTAAAAGGTTCGCCATCACTGTGCTAGGAGCTTTCCATGAACTCGGCTTGTGGATTGGTTTCAGCACTACAGACAACTACTTCAAAGGTTAGAATAAAAGCTGGAGTGGCTATACTGCCCCGCAGACCTTGGCACCCCTGGCCATCTCTGTCTTAGAAGGCTAGGCACTCCTGCCCTGCCCAATGGGGGGGGGCAACCCTGGGTATGACCCACATTCTGGCTTCTTTTCTAAGCCACTGCAGTTTCCCTATAATGAGGGCCGAAACACCAAATACTGCAGGGAGTCTTCAAGAAAGAAATTTCCTGCTGGCTTGGTTTTGAAAAGCAACCCTTTATATATATATGCGCTACTGAAACAGGGAGGGCTATTCTATTTTTACTTCAAGGTTTTTGATTTCTAAAGATACAAAGGAAGAGAGGCTGGGGAGAAAAAGAACCGGTTGGTGACGAGAATTGTGAAGGAAGAAGCAGTAGGAAGATGGTGACGATTTTTAAGGAAAGAGAGAGTTGGCTTGGCCATAGAAATCCTGTGCTTAGACTCACAGTGATGGCTATTTGGAGTGGTGTAGGAAGTATTTTAAATCTTGGGAACAGCTCAGTGGTAGCGCCCAAGCAATGCAAATTGGAAGTCTTGGGCTCCATCCTGCAGATTGGGTTGGGATGGACAGCTGTCCGAAACCCTGGAGATCCTGGTTGGTCACAACAGACCATCAATGGGCCAGCCGTATACCTTGGTACAAGACAGATTTGCACGTTCCTGGAAATTGCCTGATGTTACTTGATTGGGAATCAAGGTCGTGACTGACCACACCTTTGGTCTATGTCCCCTCCACTGCCTCCATCTTGCTTTATAAGGCTGCACACGTTTGAGGGCCGGGAATAGAAATCTTATCCCAGCCTTCTTCAGAGGTGTGTAGCAATCCTACACTCTGGTTTCTTATAAATGACTGTGTTATGCAAAGGTCATTGGTCCTGAAGGTACTGGAGATGCTGCTTAAGTGCCATTATATTATAATTCTTAGGTGTTTGTCCTTCAGCCCATTTTTTCCACGGAAGCTCAAGGGAGGCGGACCGTGGGGGACTGAACAACTTTGACTAACAGAACACCTTAGAGAATCCGGATCAAAATCCCGGTACCTGAATATACTTGAATACGATGAGGCAGAGCTCATTTTTCTTGTCCTTTTGTTATACCAGTGCTGGGCAGTTTTCCATTTCTGAGTTTCTGTCCTTCACACCAGTAAAACCAGTAAACCTCCTGGGATGCTTGGAGTCAACAGCCACTGTCCAGCTTGTCAGTGTTGGAACTGTTACTTCCCCAACCTGGTGCCTGGCTGATGTGCCGCACTACAGCTCCCATTATCCCCATCCAACATGACTAATGGGGATGGTGGGAGCCATGGTCCAACACATCTGCTGAAGCTTCACCAAAGGGCCCCACAAATACGTCTGGCTCCATCTTCCCCCTCCCTCCACTCTTGCAAACTATTTCTGTCTCCTTCCAGTTAATTTTTTTCTCCCTGCCTGCTGTCCAATGCCTGGTGGTTTTATTTTTATTCTCAGCATTAATATTCTTCAGTGCTAACTGGTACATGCCTGTTAAGCTTCCCCACTCGCGGTGTGATATTTCTCTTCTTTCCCTGCCTAAGCCTTTGCAGAAGTCAACCCACAGCCTCCAGGGAGTCTTAGAAGAAAACCCCCTTATTGTGCCCTGGCAAATGCTTCGGTGCCCATCAGGGTAAGATTCTCTCTGTCCTAGCAGGATTAGGAAAATAGGATTTAAAAACAACAGCAACGTATCTACTGGGTGCAGGGAGCGATTTTTAGCATGAGTGCTCCCCAGCTTGAAAGAAGCAGTCATGTTTGTAAGAATTTCATGGGCAGGCTCAATTCTACATGTGCTCCTTCAGTTTCTCCAACATCAGCCAAAGAAAATGCTTCTGGGAATGGTGGCGTGCCAGCTGCTCCATTACGATTCCTATTATCCCTACTGATGGGGTTGGAGTGCAACACCTGGAAGGCTGTGTGTTCTCTACCTCTGCTTGAAACAACAATCTCTTCCTGCAGTCCATCCTTCTTGAGAAGCGGGTATTGAGAACAAGGTAGACTGCTCCTAAACACAGAAGCTCTGCTGTCAATCCTCAATGGACTCAAAATAATAGCTGCTCTGCTGGAAAGGGCTGTTGCCTAGTGCAGCTTTCTTTAATAGTCCGGACTGTGGGGCATGCTCTGGTTATTAGAAAAACCTTCAGAGAGACCAGGCAAAATGGAAAGTTTCCTTCTTCCAGGTTCTGAGCTTTTCCTGGAAGGCCCCTTTCTCAGTCCCATTGCTCTCAGAGGCAGATTTGGTGTAAACACCACATGTAAGGTGGCCTGTGGAGCTCTATGCTGTGGGAGTATGTTTGGCCCCCTCTGTTATGCCTCCATCTGCATGCAAGATGTCTTTGATATATACACTGGTCTATTTTTGGAGGGCTGTTTTAACCTTTCGGAATCTATTTCTTTCACCGCAAAAGCTTTTGTTGTATTTCCATGCTGCGCTTCTATATTTTGCTTCTGCTGACTGCCAAAACTTTTGGAGTGAATCACAAAAGTTCCAGTGGACAAATGCAAGATTTGGCCCATGTGGTGAGAGAGCCGCTCTGACCTAGAGGTTATTGTTGGCCTGGGGCTTGTGGATCCAAACTAGCGGATCTCCCTCCACAGTTAAGTACTTGGATGATCTGGGCTCCAGTACCCCTGAGGTCTTTGGGCCAGTTGTGGACTCTTAGGGACAAAATAATTTAAATAGATGAATATCTTTGAGGGAAAGAGCATGGGCCACTCATGCTGTAGAGATTGGGGTGCCGGCAGGAGACTTGGGAGGCCTGGGCCCTCGTCTCCACTTCGCCGTGAAGCTCACAGAGGGACTTCAGGGCCAGTCATGGGCTTTCAACCTGGCCTACCTTGCAGGATTGTTGTGAATGAAGAAAAGAGGGTCGTGTAAGCCCCTAGGCCAGAGGAAAAGAGTCTATAAATGTAATCGTTCTTAAATAGAAACCTTAATATAACTTCACTGCTATATAATACAGCAGCAAAACCAATGTAGTTATAATATGAATTTTTCTATGGTGTGCTTAGCCAGTTTCTGTGCCTCGGGCGGCATTTCAAAGGAAAAAGGGGCGACCGAGCGATGCATCGCCCTTTTAAGGGGTGTGCCCCGTCGCTGCTCTTTCTCCCCAAGGAAGTTGGTCAACTTCGGTTTCCACGACCTTTGGATAGAAAGTTACCTCCCCTTTTTCATTCAGAGGGCGAGAGAGAGAGCGAGCGAGCGAGCGAGCGCGTGTGAGTGAGGGGGAAGCGTGAAATCTTCGCTCCCGGGCCATGCGAGCGGGACCCGCCGAGGCAAGCCTGGCCGATTAACCCCTTCTTGCTGGAGCGAGCCCCTTCTGGGTCCCCTCCGCGCGTTCCCACGACGCGCAAACACGCGCCCTCGTCGCCAGCCATGCGGGCGCTTGCGCCTCTCTGCACTTCGTTCGGCCTGTACCTCTCCGCCTTCCCGGTCTCCTACATGTTGAATGACGTGGCCATCATGGAGAAGTGAGTATCGTGTGAACGTGGCACCGGGAGCACGCGAGTCCGCGCGCGTCCCGTTATTGTTATAATTAAGGAGAGGTTTTTTGGGGTGGGAGATCCAGTCAGAAGGTGTGCGCAAAGTTCGGCAGACAGGTGTGCTTTGTCCTGGAAAGGAAGGTGTGGAAGGCAGGAGGGGTCTGAGGACTTGAATGCAGAGCAAACCAGAGAGTAGCTGAGAGTCCGTCCAGACCACCAGGGAAAAAATTATTCTCTGTTGCTGAAGGACAGCCCCCTCCAACCCACCACCCTTCAGATGTGTGGGAGTGCAACACCCAGCATCCCCAGCCAGCATGCTAGGGGTTGTAGTCCCACACATCAGAAGGACCTTGCAGCTGGGCTGGGCCCGATCTTAAGAAATGGATAAAAAGATAAGTAGTGCTGTTGCCTAGAGAGTCTTGGCTGTTAGGCAGTGTAAAAATGAAACAGACACACAGAATTGTAATTCCTGGCATATTTCACATGCCTCAGCCCTCATGTTGGAAGCTGTTAGAACAGCTGTCTCTTAAAACCATTCAAATCCTCAAAATTTAAAATAGCCTCCAAACTTCTCACAGACCTGAGCATCTTACATTTGATTCCCTGTCAAATCTTTCTTTTTTCACTTTGCTAACTTGCTCCTTTGTAGAACTTCTCTACTGGTGGAGTCAGGAATGACTCATGGACCGAAGCAGACAGGGTAACAATTTAACCAAGTATTTATTTAAAATAATGCATGTCAGAACACCTCACACGAAAAGCAAACCAACTAACCAAACAGAATATGAACACGAGAAAGTGTAATGGAGGACCTGTTTGTTACAGAATAAAACCACCAACTATCTCCCAATAAGTGGAAAGAACAATACAAAATCAGAAACTGTCTCAAATCACCATCCAGTATAAAAATGCATGTAAAGTACCATAGAAAAGCCCATTAGATCTTAGTTTAAATATCTTTATTGGCAATAATCCTACTGGGGCACAATCTCATGCAAATCTGAAACATTCTCACGGTTGTAGGCCTGTTTCTGTCTAGATTTGCAGTGGCGTGCCTTAAAAATATTTAATTCATAACACAGGTGAATGGAAAAGCAGCAGAAATCGGCCGCTTCCCAAAATCTCCTAGTGTGTTCGGGAGGTGTTTTTGTCAGGTCTCTGAGAACAGAGAAAGTTGGGGCCACTTCAGGCAAGCTTTGCAAAGATCTTTGTGGGTCCAGTTCAACCCCAAATCTGTTCCTCCCCAAATGAGAATTAATCTTGTTGAAGAGGTATTTTATTTGTTTGCATGATGCAGAGTACAGTATAAATTAACCCAAAATTGATTTTACCCAAGACATTGGATGAGGAGCGATCTTTTCCTGATTCTTTCCTGATGCAATTCTTCTCCTGCTGTGAAATTGAGAGAAATCCTCTATGTGCATCTTCTGCAATAATTATGTGCAAATTAAGATTTAATGCAGGTCTGTGTCTTGGGGAGCAGGGGCAGGACCTGGTCAAATGCATCCTCGTTTTGCTGTTCCTGGGGGAATAGGGGGAAATAAACAAATATTTATTTATGATTCTGTTTATATCTCACCTTGTTTTCTTCGAAGGAATGCATGGCAGCTTGTGTAATCCCCCCTCCCCTCACACTCATCCTCACAACAACCCTGTGAGGTAGGTTGAGCTGAGAGTGTGAAACTGGCCCAGAGTCACCCATGGCTGGATGGGGACAAGACTCAGACCTCTTCAGCTTGGTCCTGTGCTCTTAACCGCCACACCGGTTCTAACGTCCCTGAAAGAGCAAATAAAGATTTATGAAATGACAGAATTATGCAACAAACTCTTGTAATATATTCCACATTTGTGTTTCAGTGGCAGCTGCTGATCAGAATTACTCTGTCTCCACTGAACAGGTGTATCTGCACTGGGTTATTTTTGAGGTGCTTCAGTTAGTTTGTCTTGCAGATTTTATTTTTCTTTTTTGGGTGCTTATACAGAAGTAGGAGTTTCCTCTAAGTTTGCTGATCACTAGCATTTTGTGTAAGAATTGTGCCTCATCTGTTGGTGAGTGTGACTGCCCTTCTTGCTTCTTGGGTGTGAACCCTGAGTCTCTCTGCCAAACTCTCTCTCTTCGGACTGGATTCTGCCATAATGCAGTGTTCTAGGCAGATGTACCCACTCCGCGTTTAGAATAGCCAGCTCCCTCAACATCTGTATCTCATTTATACTTGCTGGTCTCCCCTCAGGAGGAGATGAGGGAATCATTAACAATTACCACTCAATATACTTTCCAAGTGCTAACAACTCAGACACATCTTGGCTTTCTGCCCTTCGTTGCTCAGCTGCTGAAAGGCAGAATGGACTAACTGTGGGACCAGTTCTTATTTTTTGCAAAATAAATATTGGAGATATTTCAGGCCAAAAATGCAGCATGTCTTCTGCACACGGCCATCTCCATTATTAATTCAATCATATATCTGTAAAGCATGTCTCCGCTGCCAAAGTTCTCTTGGTGGCTCACAAAAATAATGTTCTGTTCATTTCAGTAGTTTTCTGTTAATTGCTTAATCTCCCTCTCATGTTCCTATGAGGATTTAAGTAGCATGATACTTTTAAAAAAGGAAAAATTGAAGCAAAATTCTTCAGGGATCCATGCATGCTAGCTTTACTGCTACACAGAATTCTTTGTCACATGTTAATTGAGTGGTATCTGGTGTTGTCGGTTGCAGTTGTTGCTGCACTGGGGCGTGGCAAATGACCCATGAGAATCCGTCTCTTATTTTGCTTTTTCATGAGGGAACTGTTTGTGTTGGTAACACAATATGCAAGCTTTTGAGCTGGGACAGCGTTCTTAATCAGGGCATCATCCACAACTCCAGTCAGGTGGGGAGCGTCTGCATTTTCCAACAGTAACCAGTGGGCCCCTGCTGGGCAACGGGGCCTTGGCACATGCCCTGACACACGACCTTTTCCACCAGCCTTGGCTGGGTTCTGCCCAACAGGAAATGCCTACTGTACAAAGGAGTCTGTTTGACTCTCTTCACCCCTTGGCTGGATGATGTACTGTGCACTCTGGACATACAGCTCCAGCAGCACGTGGTCTCCAGACCTTTGGACCCATGTCTGTTGAAAAAGCAAATTCTGCTGGCTGACATGACATTCTTCCAGGCTGTGGTGACATTTCCCATGGAACCTGGGGTCAGGCAAGCCAAGATACACACACAGCACTTTTGGAGGGTGGGGGCCCCTCAGCCGCAGCAGCTGAAACATGTCATTTACGTCCTTTATACATCAAAACCTTGACTGCATCTGCTTGCAAACTGAAGAATTACATTCTGGGTCTTTTCTTCTTTTTACTGTATCATTACATTTTAAAGCTGGTTTTGTTAAGTGCCCAAGCAGCTGTGGCTCTTGTGGGCATTAACTGATTAATTCTAAAGCTATGATTATTATGCGTTTAATTAATTTATATGTCCATGGTCAGAGTACTTTGTGCCCCCTCCTGGATAAACTCGGAGCAACCAGAAAGCGGGCCGGAGAGTCATCCACCTGACCAGCTAGAGGCACGATCGTTTCATCCCCGATTTACTCTCTTTTGCTGGTGTCCTCTGCAGAAGCCAATCGACCTGCGGACCCTGAGTGGCGCTTTCCCATCTCGGTCTGCTGCAAAGCTCCCTTCCTTCCTTCCGGCTCTGCATTGCAGCTCCAATGCCCTGCGCCAGCCGCTTTGGAACAGAAAGCTTGCAGGCTGCAGCATTTCCATTCCAGAGCTCAGATGCATTTGCACCGGACGGGGCCTAAGGTGCAAGCAGGGTTTGGTTTGGATTCTCAGGGATGAATGCCCTGCTTTTGGGAAGGTCTGCACCTGCCCTGTGCTAGGCTCCAGGTTCAGTTCTGAGCATCTCCAGTGTAAAGGATCTCAGATGAAGGGAAAGACTGGTTTTTGCCTGGGGCCCTGGAGAACATTTGCCAGTCCAGGGAGAGCATGTTAGGTTGGAAAGATGATTGGGCTTAGTCAATCCTAAGCCCCCCTCCCCCTCCATTTTATTGCTGGAAGCTTCAGGATTAAAGGTGGGATCACATCTTTTAGTGGACCTTGCAAGGGTTCAAGATATACTGGGGGTCAGACAACTTAATAACGCACATTCAAAGGCTGACTGCAGACTGTTTTGATCCATGGATTGCTTTTAAACAAGGGTTGTTGTGTTACCATGCTAACAACCATGAGGAACAACTGACAACAGACCATGGTTTCTCTTTATGGGTTGTTTGTGGTTAACACAAAACCCATGGCTTGTTAGTGTGACTGGGTTCAGACACCACTAGAACCCATGTTTCAATAAGAACAAACGGTTCTGTGACAACCTGTGTGGCAAGATCATGTGGTGTGATGGTCATAGCGCTGGAGTGGAGATCGAGGTTCTAGTCCTCATGCAGTAATAGAGCTCACTGAATTCCTGGCCAGGGAATGCTTGTACTTGTAGGGCTGTGTTTTGCCTAAATATTCATAGGATGGAAACCTGAAGATTGAATTAAAAGGTCTTTCCCTGGTGCTGGAAATGTGATTTTGTAGGTATCCAGGGAACATCTCTGGATGTTACCACTGAAAACATTTTCCCTGTAGCTTTCCCTCCTTTGGCACACAGATAAGGCATCAGATTTTGACCTTAACGCCCATACAGAAAAATGCTGCGCAGCGTGTTAGCAGATGTTGGTTTGATTTGGTTATTACATTTTGCTCTTTTAATAACAGCAATCCTGGGCTTTTTTTCTTTGGACTATTTCTTTGCCTCACAAGAAACACTCTCTGTAGAAATGCATCATTGAGCTTTAGGGGGTCAATAAATAAAGAATGCTTAGATGATTAGCTGAGTTTGGAAGGCATCCATTTAAAGAGAAGTAGCTGAGCTTATCAGCAATCATGGAGAGGTCGAAAATCCCCACGGATGCACTGGACTCGGTACAAAAAGTCTGCTTTCGGGAGCAGTTTTGCTATGGAAGCTGGCTGCTGATATAATTGGAATGCACGCTGATCCAACCACCTCAATTTTCATGGGTTGCCAATCTGAACTCTGCATTTATTATCTGCCGCCCCATCCAGCTCCTTGGCTGTTGCAGCTACTGGTGTGGCAGTTCTGTTGCTCCTATTCGCTGTGGTCTATCTTCCAAACCGGTCCCAGGACCCCCTTTTCTACGGTATGTTGGCTGTTCACTTTTGGGATGGTTTTTGGGGGGTGGGGAGGGGGGTGGTTATGTCCCCTTGGTTGATTTTAACTGAATGTCCATGCCCCTTTATTAAATCACACAACCATTAGTTGTGAGCTGTCGTATGTCCTTATTGGATCGCCTAGGGTAAGTCATGGTTTGCCTCCAGGCGAGTAGCCCTTTTTATTATTGGAATCCTATCCCTCCTTTTCACCTCTCTTATAGTGAAAATTATCAATTCTGTTTATTTTATTTTATTTTTTTTCGATTTATATCCTGCCTTTTTCCTACAAAGGGCTCAAGGCAGCTCACATCATTCTCCTCCTCCATCTTCTCCCCACAACAACAACCCTGTGAGGTAGGCAGGGCTGAGAGTCTGTGACTGGCCCAAAGCCACCCAGTTGGCTCCATGGCTGAGTGGGGACTCGAACCCAGATCCTCTGAGTCCCAGTCCCATGCTCTAACCACTACACCACACTGCTTTATAAGGCAGAGAGATGATTCATTCGTTCATGACAAGGGTACAGAGATGTACATATATAAACCCCTTAACCAACCTTTCTCTCTCTCTCCCCCTCCCCACCTCGTTACAACAGTGTTTATGGTCTTTTCTTTCACTTCGGGGATCGATGCCATTATCGCTTTGGAAGAAGATGGGTACCTAACCAACTTTCTGGAGTTCTACATGAGGGAGGTATGCCCACTGAGGTCCAGGCTGTTTGAATGCTTCAGGGTGGGGGGTGGAGACATGGTTGTGCTCCCCCTGCCCCACTCGGTGTGGGGCAGAGGATGAGGTGGCTGGATGGGGTCACTGGGGCGGTGGGGGTGGGCTTGGGTGGACTCCAGGGGATGGTGGAGGGCAGGAGGGCCCAGAGGAAGGTTGTCTGTGGGGTCCTGATGGGCTGGACGCGACTTCACGACTAGCAACAAGTTGGAATACAGGCACAACTATGTTCACACACACCCCTCCAATCATGGGATGCTAGTATCCTCATTCCAAGCTGAAAACCAAAATACCAGCTACATACTATAAATTTTATAGCTGTCCCCCTGAATGCTGGAAGGTTCCGAAAGCTGCCAGTGGGGAAGAAGGAGGGTCGGCAAGAAAATAGACGGACATCCCGCTTTGAACTGATGCAGAGACACATTCTTGAGATAAGGATAAGCGAAGGGCCTGCTGTTGCTGGAGGTTTCTCACAGCAATTAAACTTAACGCATGGCTATTGATTTTAGGGCTATACTAAAGGCCTGTGTTGCGCTGTGTTGCGCTGGAACTGTTCAGGCCTGGTTTGAGACCTTGTACAAAGTGAGGTCGCGGCACTGGCAGATGTGTCCCGCACGGGGGTTTCGGTCATGCGCAGGGGCGGAAGGAAGGCAGATGTGGCCAGAGCCCAAGCCGCCACAGTCCCACCCACGGGCATAATCTAGAAGCAGGGTCAAGTAAGACCCCAACATCCTGGAGCAGAGGACACATCCAGGCAAGGCAAGGAGAGGAGGAACAAGAACCAGTGTGGTGTAGTGGTTAGAGCATGGGACCGGGACTCAGAGGATCTGGGTTCGAGTCCCTGCTCGGCCATGGGGCCAACTGAGTGGCTTTGGGCCAGGCACAGACTCTCAGCCCAACCTACCTCACAGGGTTGTTGTTGTGGGGAGAAGATGGAGGAGGAGAATGATGCAAGCTGCCTTGAGCCCTTTGCAGGAAAAGGCAGGATAGAAATCGGAAAATAAATAAACAAAGCGGTGGGACCTGGAGCTGAAGAAAGGCATCGTTTCCAACATTGGCTAGGCAGACACTGGAACTTTTTGATCTCACACCCTGCTGCACCGTAGCTGAGGTTCTGCTCAAAGGCCTTCTCCTGAAGAGGCACTTTCTTTTGAGGAGTCCTTCTTGGTGAGAGGACATTCCACCTCTTGGCCTTCTGCTAGGCTGCTGGCTTTAGCTCACCTTCTTCCTCAGAGAATGAGCCCTCCAGCAGAGGCACGACGAGTGCATGCTTCCTTCTCATGGAAGTTCTGCAAATGTGAGGCCACTACTGGGAAGGCCCCGTCTCATGCAGCTGCCAGCTCTGGGAATTCCTCCTCATGTTGCCCTGAAATCTTTTCCCCTGAAACACTTTCCACCTGTGCATTCTAGTCCTGCTTGGTGGTGCAATGGAGATCTTTTCTCCCCATTTTCTGCACCGCAGCTGTGTCGAGACTGCTTTCGGGCTCTCCTTTCTTGTCCCTCCCTTGCGTGCCCAGTTCCGTGCTCCTTTTCTCGTTCCCAGAGTGAGCCGTATCTCAGCACGTCCTACGGGATCATGATCTGCTACTGGGACGCCGTGGTGCACTACGGACTCTGCCTCGCCATGATCGCAGCCATAGCAAACAGGTGAGGGACCGAGACGAGACGTCCCATCTTTGGCCAGTGAGAACTGTCAGATACAGGGACTTTTTGTGGTGGCCTCACATCTTTGGGATGTTGTTCCCAACCAACTATATATGGACACCCCCTCCATTTCCTCTCAAGAGTCTAAAATCTTGCATTGTCTGAATTTGGCCCATTGTCAGGTACTGCGCTTCCAACAAAGGGTTTTATCTGTCGACCGTATTGTATTTCTTTCAAGGGTTTATACATTTCAAGGTGTTCAAGGAAAGATTGGACAGCCACATGTTGGGGATTACATGAGTGGAACTGGCTGGAGCCAGGGGTCAGACTAGATGGGCAGGGAGGGCCCTTCTGACTCCCCCCCCCCCCCGGCCACATGTTTTGTTTTCTGTTTGAATTGAGTTTTTTTGCAGGGGTTTTCAGCTTGGTAGCAGAAATACAACTACTCTCAAAAGACCTGGCTGAGCTCCCACAATTATATTTCCTCTCGGCCAGTGAGCAGGGAAATTCACTAGAATGTGAGCATTCTGCAAAAGCCAGTTGCAGTGCAGAGATGAATATAAATTCAGCCTTCTGCCGCCGAGTGGGTAGAAAGGAAGCCGGGGCACCCTCAGATCATCCTGTGTGGTGGGAGAGCCCACCTTCCCGTCTCCCCACCTGCCCAGAAAGATTTTGCTTCTGGGGTTGCTCTCCAAGCTTGTAGCTGAACCCAGAAAAAAGCTTGACCTGTGCAGCCTCTTGCATTAAGTGTCCTAGATGGCAGCCATTTGTGGGAGGCGGCACAGTAAAATATCACCCCCTCTCCCTTTTCCAGCGCTCAGGTTGCGAGTGTCCCAATCCACAGGTTTGTTGCCACTTCCGCCTAAGAGGGAGGGGTTGGGGTGTCCCACAAAACAGCGCATGGAGGACCTGCTTGTGCTGCACAGGTGTGGTGTGTTTTTGTGGGGCTGGGGTAGAAAGCCAGATGGCTGGGGAATTGTGGTTGCTGCAGCCTAAGATCTGTGCTGCAGGAGCTCTTGGCTGCCTAGTTGCAATGGCCGGGGGGCAGGGGGGGCACTCCATATACTGCAACCTTTTATTGCAGTGTCCCTCCTTGTCCACCTCCTAATTCTGGTAATTCTCAATTTGCTCTCCAGAAAGAATTACCGGCACTTTGGCCTCTACTGGGTTGGGTCTCTTACCATGAGCCTCCTGGTTTTCCTGCCGGGCAACATGGTCGGTAAGTCCTTCTTGTCAAAGTCTCCTCTTTCAAAAGGATTCTTTGATCAAAAACTGTTTAACCCCACCCTATCAGGGGTCAGACTAGATGGCCCGGGAGCCTCTTCTGACTCGCTCTGTTTCTTTGTTTCTGTCAAGATCACATCTGCCCCCTGCTTCTCCAGCCAACTTAAACAAAACCTTACAAAACCTGTAATGCAGCATTACAGGTTTACATACTGCATCAATGAAAGAAATGATCCCGTTGGTATGTGGCTGCAGCCTCTGCCCATGTGAAGAGTTGAACCAGCCTGGAGCATCCTTCCTTCTCTTTCAGAAGGATTCGGACTCCTCCACTTGGTGCGGCTCCTAGTATTGAAGGCTGGACAGCAGGGATGGCAGGACCCTCTGAATGGCCCTATTCGCTTCATCTACCACCCCTTTGCAGAGTCAAGAAGCTCCCCCTCAGCCACCCACCCCCCCAGCATCTCCCTCCTTTTCCAAGACTGGCAGGTTCTCATGCTCAGCCTGAGTATGAGAAGCTTTGCTTGGTAACTTCGCAATTGCCCAGTCCACTGTCCCTCTGAATTTGAAGAATCCCTCTGGGGTCACTGGGGTGTGTGTGAGAGCTGGGCCCCTGAAGGTTTCATTCATGCAGAACCCAGGCAGCGCTGAAAGTTCAGCAAAGCTGCCTTGGAAAGAACAGGTTTATTAATTATTTATTCATTTGGAATTCTTATATGCCGTCCCATTCGCAAAAGTCTCGGGGCAGCTTCCAACACAAATAAATAAAATACATACAGATACATAAAGAATTGGAAACATCCTGGCATAAATATAAAATCAATAAATAAAATTAGCAATTAAAATGACATTTAAATAAAAAGGTCTTGGCCCGGCACCGAAAAACAAGTAACGACGGCGCCAGGCGGACCTCTCTGGGGAGCGCATTCCAGAGGTGGGACGCCACCACAGAGAAGGCCCTCCTCCGGGTACTCCAGGGTCCATAGCTCCAGGGTCCTCCTAGATCCGTCATGGCCCGGGGTCGGAAGAAGCGACCACGGCTTGGAGTATCTTTCTCCCGGGATTGCTTAGCTACAGAGCTTCCAGCGCTTGTCACCCTGAGGTCTGACTACTGCAATGGACTCAGTGCGGGCTGCCCCAGAGGCTGGCTAGCCCGCTGCAGCTTGTGCTCAATAAGCGCTTCACGGGGGCTGCCCCTTTGGCTCCTTTGCAGAGGGAGCTGCTGCCTGTTTCCCACCAGGCCATTTCCCAGGTTTTTGTGCTCATGTAGAAAGTGCCAAACAACTCTGGAGCGGGACAGCAAAGAGGGGACCTTGTTCCTAACCAGCCTGTCTTTGTGTGATCAAGAAGCATCAGTCCTTTTCAGGATTCTGAACACAATCCGCTCTCTGTGGGGTGAGGAGTACAGAGATTAAGCAAAAGCAAATTAGCCGAGCAATCAAAGGAGATGAAACCAAAACACACTGTATTGCAGTAATCTACTTCAAAGCAAGATCATTTCTCCCTAGAGTTGCCCACAATCCCAGAATCAAGACAATGAACTTCTGCATGACCTGTGGTGAAAATTTTTTTCTCTGGGATTTGCCCCTGATAATTCCACTCCCCCCTGCACCAACATTTATTTATTTAAACCTTTTCTAGACCATCCCATGCCATGGTCTCAGGATGGTTTAACAACATGACAAAATAAAATAAAACACAGCATCCTCATAAATGTTCCAATCAACAGTAAAACCCCTGTTAAAGCAATCAGTCTTAAAACAGTGGAAAAATAAAAAGTGTGCTAAAAAGTGATGGCACCCGGCGAACCTCTCTGGGGAGCGAATTCCACAAATGAGGTGCCACCACAGAGAAGGCCCTGCTCTGGGTAGTCACCCTCCTAAACACCTTTTAGGAGGGCTCCTGGAGGAGAAATTTGCAATATGAACTGGGCGCCCACATTTTCACTGCAACTGGTCACCAAGGTCCCCTGGTGAGGTGCTTTTGCATGGACCTGGGGTCCATCTGGGACTTCTCAGTGCTGGCTCCCTCTCCATGGGCCTTCCTCCCTGCCTCCTGTCATCAGGCACCGAAGGTGCTTCATTCTGGGCACCTGCTGAAAATCTTGTGCTTCAACATCCCGTCCTTGACCAAACAGCTGTGGTTTTTCTTAGCATCGTTTGGTTTTAAAGGCGTTAACTTCACAGTTTGACCTTCACGGTGCGGGAATATTGTTCTGGGGGTCAAATAAAGTCTGGGTGGACTTAGCCCCGTGTCTGTCTCCAGGGAAGTACGGCTCGGAGATCCGTCCTGCATTCCTGCTCAATATTTCGTACCTTCTCATACCCATCTGGGCTGCGATGAGAATCTTCGCCCAACCCAGGACATCACCTGTGGTTACAGCTGATAAGGTACCAAAGAAGGGCTAGGCAGGATTGGGTCCACCTGAGCCCGGGGCCATCCAAATGCCTCCAGGAAGGCCGCAAGTAGGACTGCGGCTTGCGCGCAGCCGCAGACTCGCTTCCTCCAGGCACCGTGTTCATAACCATGGACAGAGTTTATTAACCAAGGCCAGGTCCTGGGTCTGGCTGAGGGTCTGTTCACTCTGGCATTTTGCTCTGCTCAGGCAAAAGTGCACACCTGCTGTTATATCAACTGGCATGAGCAGATAGACTGCTCCTTCATATGCAGGCTCCATTTTGTTATCCTGTGGAATAGGGGCTGTTGCACCCATGGAAAGACTGGGTGAATTGCCTGGGGTCTTTTCACCATTTGGAGCAGCCTTCTCCAATCTGGTGCCCTCCTGGTGCTTGGAACTACAACTCCCAGAATCCCAAAGCAGTGGCCATGCCAGCTGGGGCCACCCCAGGATGGACAAGGCCTTGCTAACCAGAATCCCGTTTTCAGCACTGGATAGCCATGAATTGCTGTTGGAAACCCATAAGCGAAGCATGAAACTCTGCCTGGAGGTTTACTATGGAAAAGAGAAAGACGCATCCTGATGGAACAAGGCATTGATAAGCCTTCCAGAAGTTTTGGTCCAACTCAACCAGTTATTCTATCAGTCGGTCCTTGACTTTCTGGTTTCTTCTTTCTCTTTGGGGAAGGTCGCAGAAGAGCATCGCAAGACTCTGTTGCAGCGGCCCCTGGACCTAGCCCTGGTGGGTTACTTCCTCTTCGCCATAGGCTTCACCTTCTTCCGAGGACTGGTGAGCTTACAGACATTAAATCAGAGTTCAACCCGCAGCTCCGTGTAGGCATTGCAAGAGCGACACTATTTTCTACGAAGCGTGTTCACTGGTGCTTGCAGTCCAGGGTGCTGTGCTTGAATTGGCAGCTGCTTTCCAGGGCTGCTGGTCTTTGTCCCCACCTGACTGCCTGCTCCATCTCACAAGAGATTTTGCAGTTTACAGCCTCTCCTATCAAGCTGCCACATGGTGCTCGGTTTGGGATACCGGTGGCTCAGAAGGGAAGCCGGCTCTTGAATCATCTTTGATTTTCCCTGACGCTGAACTCATTCGTGCCCCCCTTGACGCACTGCCCATTTTTAATTCAAAAAGAAAACCATGCCCAGGTTTTGCAAAACGGATGTCCAGATTTGCTGGGACAGGCTGGATTTTCCCGAAGTTTTAAATCAACCTGGGCAAAACAGAGGAAGTTTCAGAGTAGCAGGTTGGAGTAGTTCTGTGGGTGGGGAAACAGAATTATTTTTTCACCTCCCCCATTTAATTTGTTTGTGTGTCTGTGTTGTTGCAGGTCGTTCTGAATTGTCCGGCAGATGCCTGCTTCAATTACATTTACCATCACGAGCCATACCTGCGCGACCCTGTGGCTTACCCTAAAGTTCAGGTGAGAAGGTGCCTCCGTTGGAATACCCGCATCCCAAAGCCCTTTGGGTGCTTTTGACCACAATTCCCATGGTGCTGGCTAGGGCTCATGGAACTTATTATTATTATTATTATTATTATTATTATTATTATTATAACATTTCTATGCCGCCCCTTGCCGAAACCTCGGGGCGGCTTACAACACGATAAAATACAGTGAAATACAATAGCACATAATAAATTACCATTAAATACAAAAATACAAAAAATACATTGATTTACAAATATAAGATTAAAATTATCAGTATAAATTAAGTAAATAAAAATATAGGAGGAGAAAGAGAAGGAAGAAGAAGTTGCCCTGGCCAGATCATATGTTTTAACAATTAAAATGATCCCTGCCATAGCCATTCCTGACACTTTTCGGGGTGTGAAGGCCAAAGATGTAGACAAGAATGGAGGGAAAGGGAAAATCTAGGCTCTTTTGCAGCACTGACCCCTCTTACGGTCTTGACTCCACCTCTCCCTGCTCCTTGTCACCGGGACCACTGGCTTGCCCAACAGGCTGAGAACACCTCCTGCCCGCCAGCCCCACCTGCTTTACTGGACCAGGGAGAGAGGTGGGAACAAGCTGCAGTACTGAATGGGGAGACCTTTGGTTCCCGCCCCCCCCCCCCACTGCCCTGTGAATCCTCAACAAATGCCCAGCCAGACTGACCCTTGGTGACATCCGCTGCAATGATCAATGGACTCTTTGACCTGGATTTTTATTCCCACAGCTGAAGCTCACAATGCCTCACAAAATCACAAACTGTACTATATATTTGTCAGGATATTTTTATTCTGTTTTATCAATAGAGTACCCATGTATCTAGCTGTAATAAACACGGTGCACTTATGCAGTAGTCAAGAGGGCGAACGCCACCCTTGGTTGCATGGCCTGAAGTGTGGCTTCTCGATCGAGAGAGGTGTTACTGCCACTCTACACAACTCTGGTGCGCCCGCAACTGGAGTATTGTGCTCAGTTCTGGGCCCCTCATTACAGGAAGGATATAGCCAGGTTGGAGTCGGTGCAGCGCAGGGCCACAAGGTTGGTGGCCGGTTTGCAGGGGAAGCCGTATGAGGCGAGACTGAGGGAACTGGGCCTCTTCAGCCTGGAGGAGACTCAGAGGGGATCTGTTGGCGACATGCAGGTGTGTGAGGGGGTGTCACACGGAGGTGGGGAGAGACCTGTTCTCCCCTGCAGAGGAAGGCAGGATGCATTCCAACGAAGCAAAGCTCAGGGAACCCAGGTTCAATTTGAATGCCAGGAAGCCCTTCCTGATAGTCAGGACCCTGAGGGTGTGGACTGGGCTTCCACAGGAGGTGGCTGAGGCCCCATTGGTGAGGGTGTTAAAGGAAAGGCTGGACATGCACATGGTGGGCATGTTGTGAGCGGAGCCAACTGAAGCTGAGGGTCAGACTAGATGGCCCGGGAGACCCCTTCTGACCTGCTGTTTCTATGTTTCTATGTGCTGTTTAATATAATTAAATCTCGTAAGTATTTGCTCTCTGTCCCCACCGGTTGGTCTGACTGTGGGGTGCCGTGGACGGGCCACAGTGGAGAGCCCTCAAGGTCTAGCGGTCCTTGCATTGTAACTCAGAGATGGTGGAGTTAAAACTCTGCTTTGAAACACTTCTCAGTTGACTTCTGGTCTAATATACTGCCATGAATGTAAAACTATGTCACAAGAATCTCTCACTAACTGTTTTTAATGTTCTGATACATCAGAACTGGGCCCTTCCTTGGTGACTGGGGTTAAATCCCCTCTCTGGAATCCAAGAAACAGATCCTGGTCTATCTTCTACTTGCTCCTGCATTAGACTTAATTGAGCAACACTGGAGTGATTTGATTTGCATTGCAAGCACTTGACTTTAATCTAGCAGCTCTTAGATTTGTGTTGAATGTCCCACTGAAGGGTTTATGTACAAACACTCAGTCTCTCCCTCCCTCCCTTCCTTCCTCTCTCAAAACTTGAATGGATGTAGTTTCATTGAACCCAGTCTACTGTTTGGGACACAGCATAGCTTCCATATAGTGCCTGATCTTGCCTAATCTTGGAAGTTAAGCACAGTTAGGCTGTGGATGGGTGCCCTAAATGTTGTGAACTGCCCAGAGAGTTTCAGCTGTGGGCATAATAGAAATGTAATGTAGTAATAATAGCAAGAACAGTGCAATTCAAGGGATTCTGACCATCTGGCTGCCTCTGCTTCCTTGTTTCTAGATGCTGGTGTTCCTGTTTTATGGCTTGCCATATTTCTGCACCTGTGTTTACGGGCTCCTCTTTCCTGGGTCCACATGGATGACCGATTGGGCTTTGGTGTTTGCTGGAGCTATCGCCCAGGTATTTTCCTCTGTTCTTTTTTTAAGATCATGCTGTCTGCAGGAAGCTGCAACGGTTCTGTTTCTGGATAAACCACCACAGGGCACACACATGTGTGGGTGGGTCCTTTGCCTCATGGAAGTAAAACCAACACACCCACTGCTCCCCATTCTGGCATAAATCAGCTGCTGTGGATGGCAGACGGTTGGGTTCCGCAGCTGCTCCATTGCTTTCTGTCTGTTCCGTGTTCCAGGCACAATTCTCGCACATCGGTTCTTCGCTGCACCAGCACACTTCTTTCCCCTACCGCACCCCGGAGGAGACTTGGTGGCCCGTGATCCTTGGCAACCTAACCTACGCAGTGGGGCCACACCTCCTCGTCTTCCGCTGCCTCCGCAACCCGGCCTTTTTCTGCCCCCTGCTTTCCTGGAAGGAAGACAAGAAGACCCAGTGATAATGGCAAGGCGTGGATCGGGGGCGAGGCTTGCTGTTCCCTCCAGCCGGATCCCGTTGCATGGAGACAACTCCCTGCAAAATTCCACTCTAGTGGGATTTGGGACGCTTCCAGGGATGCTTCTGGACCACTCCATGTTTCTTTCAGTACCCAGAGCTGATTCTGTCTCTATGGCACATTTGAAGCTGGTTTGGGATCGAGCAGAAGTGGTCCAGCCCCACTCAGGGCACCTCAGTGTCCCCCCAACCCAACCAGTCTACTAAAGCATCTCTGAAAGATGTAGATGCATCCTTCAGGGGGCTCTGGTTTCCCCAGGTTATTTGGGTAGGTGGTCCAGAGGAACGGCAGTGACAGGAAAAATTTGGGGGGTTCGAAGCAAGGTTGGGTGACCTCGGTGCCTTTTTGGTCTTTTGGCCATCGCCAAATTCACTGCCAGATTTGGGCAGTGCAGCTGCAAACGGCGGCAGGTTTTTCTTTGAAACGAGGAAAGTGGTGGGAACATGTTTTAAAACAAATCTGTACCCCTGGAAGCCTCCCGGTTGTGGTTTTGGAAATAAGAGGAAGGGGTGCAGTCCCCAGTGAGTCCTGGGGAGGGGGAGTTGGCCCTTGGCCCCCAGAATGTTTCCTGCCCTGCAGGAGGGATTCGAGGAAGTTGATGTTTACAGAATAAAAGCAAACATTTGTGTGTGTCTTTAAGAGGGTTTTGTTCCTTATCTGATGTGTGTGATTCCAAAGGGATTCCTGTTTTCTTGGCTCCAAAATCTCTATCCTCTGCTTCAGTGCTGTTGGCTCTGGTTGGCAGGATTGGGCCACTGGGCTGGCAGGGATACTGTGCTGGATCAGGTCATGGGCTTCCATGCTGTCTCTGGGAGGTCCACAAGAAAGGCATAAAGGCAATGGCTGTTGTGTGTGCCCAGTAACTGGTAGACTGCTTTTGAACCTGGAGTCTCCATCCAATAACAAGGGAAGGAATGGTTGCCAGAATTTACTCCCACTCCACAGCCCTGCTGGATTGGATCAGATGGCATTCACTCTATTCATGGCTTTTCTCCCTGGAGCACAAGATGGCAGACATGACTTCCCCGCTTCCTCGGATAGTGTTACAACAGCCCTGCAAGGTAGGTTAGGCTGAAAGTCCAAAGTCATCCTGAAAGATTTATGGCTGAGTTTCTGTAGTCCAAGAGTGAAGGAGTTCCTTTGAGTCTGAGCATGGAACTGCATTCCAGAAAAGCTCTCCCTGGTTACTAAGCCACCTGTCCAGAAACGGCCTGGCCCCTTTCTTCATTCCTACCCTCTGCTGATCCCTTGGTGACTTCCTGGATTTTGTGCGGTTTCCTCCCCGTTCTTTAAGGTCAAAATCCCTGTTCCGTGAGGTTAATTACTGACAGGGAAAATTTTAGCAGAAAACAAACTATCAATTTTGATGTTTCAGCTTCAGCCCTGCCTAACACTGGAATGAACTCTGCAGGATGGAATTTGCCCATCAGGTGGAAGGAAATTCAATACCCATCTAAGGTCCCTCATTGAGCAGGGGGTTGTCTAGATGACCTCAAAGAGCCCTCCCAGATTTATGGTTAAAAAGTAGCAGTCAGGTTCTGCTTTTTTTATTGCTTTTCTATATTTACATCCCACAATTTTTCCTGCAAAGAAACCAAGCTGACTTATATATTCCGCCTCCCCATGTCTTCCTCACCACGACCCTGAGAGGTAGGCCTTCTGGGAGGATCTATAAGGGAATAATTCCTACCATCTCTTTGTTCTGTGTTCTCTGGCCAAGTGGACTAGATGCTCTCTCATGCCTCCTGAAAGGCTCCTTCACCATAATCCTTGTTTCATGTGAGGCACTTAAGAAATGCCATGGATTTGCTCCCTCTTCCGGGTGGTTTTTGTGTGGGTGTGTAAGAATCCTGTGTTCTCGGAACCAGCCCAGCTGTTCACCCACCCATTTATACCACCCTTCATCCTTTCTGCTCAGGCTTTGGATAAATATGCAGCTCAAACAAAACCTTTACATTTTAATTTTCCAGGATTTGCACATACTTTTACGGACCCGGCTCTCAGCCAGAGCTAGAGTCAGGAGAGAAATAGGCTGTGAGCATTATGTACTGTTGAATTGTCTCCAACTTGCGCTGGCCCCGCGAATGAAAACCCTCCTTGACATCTTGCCCTGGACAGCCCTGCTCCGCTCTTGTCAACTGAAGGCTATGGCTTCCTTGATGGAATCGGTCCATCTCCTAGCTAGTCTTTCCTTCTCCACGAGTTTTACCTTCTCAGGATGGGGCCCAAAAGATCACAGCATCAGTTCCATAATTTTTACTTCCAGGAAGAATTCTGGCTTGCTTTGATCAAGGACCCCCTTGATCATCTCTCGGTCGGTCCAAGATCTTTGCGAAGGTCTCTTCCAGAACCAATGCATTGATTTTCTTTCAGTACAGTGTCTTCATTGTCCCCCGTGCAGACTGGCTGGGGACAAAACAGTGCAGAATATTTGGCCTTGGATCCCAGCGAAGGGACCAGCCATCTTTTTCACTTCTTTCATTGCTGCCATTCCAAGGCACCATCTTTTTCTAACTTCTTGACTGCAGTCTCTCTCTGACTGGATGAGAGATGCAAAATCTTCCACACTTTCAATTCTTCGTGGTTGACCCTGAAGCTCTGTCATTCTTCTGTAGTCACGGTTGTTGTTGTTTTAATCTTCAGCAGCAGTCTCGCTTTTGCCCTTTCTTCTTCCACTTTTATCAAGACTGTTTCAATTCCCTGCCACTTTCTGCGGGCCTCATTTGAATATCTTCAATTACTGCTGTGCCTCTGGCCGATTTCCTTGCCTTCCTCTGATCCTAAAGTGGATAGCATCGCTCATTTGCAATACTCTGTTCCATGTCAACATTTACACATTTATTTGCAAGATTTATATGCTGCTGTTTTTCTTGCCGAGGACTCAGAGCAGCTGAAATCATGCTGTTATTGCCCACATCAACAACCCTGTGAGGTGGGCTGGGCTGAGATCCTGTGACTGGCCCAAAGCCACCCAGTTGGCTCCATGGCTGAGGGGGGACTTGAACCCGTGTCTCCTTCATCCCAGACTTGTCTTCTTATCCACTACACCACACTGGAAGTTGAAACTCTCCCACCTCCGTGCAAACATGGCTTGGGGCAAGCAGCTGGCCTTTCTAGGCATTTTTCTCCTTTGCCTCCCGAACTGTGCCAGAAAATCCAAAATTCCAGCTTGTGTTCCAAGGCTTGCCTGCATTGGCTTGAGCCCATCTGGGGATCATTTCACTGCCCTGCCAAAGGATTTGCAAATACCCCTTTAAAATTATCTCTCTCCTCCCCCCCCCCCACTTTTATCCCCACACCACCCCTCCTTCCGGTTGGATTGCAGTAACTACTGTCCTCCTTTTGCACCTCTGCTTTGGCACAACTTTCTCTTTTTCCCTCTCTCCACCAGCATCGGCTTTTTCTCTCCAGCACCCACCCCCCCACCTCCACCTCCATACCAGCTTTTTAAAAATTCCCCCTCTTCATGAAGTTTGCTGAGTAAGAAGCCAGACAGACAAATCTGCAATTCATCAGCACCGGGCGGAGGAACTAAAAAAAGAAAGCGCAAACGGAGAGAAGAAGGAAGGTTGCACCCCGCCCCCCCCCCCCCCCCCCAAGCAAAGAAAACCAAGACCCAGCAGTCTTCTCCTTTGCTTCTCTGCCCCACACCCCGCCCCTTCTGCACCGCCTTCTTTGCATCCGTACCAACTTTGCCCGGCTCCTGCGATTTCTCGTCCAGCCCGGGACGCCCCCCCCCCCAACCCCATCGCCCGCTTCCTCAAGGAGAAACGGTGAGTCCCCTTGGTGCAAGGTTGTGCTGGCGTTTTTCGTTTCACCTTGATATTGCCGCGTTGGCGCTGATTGGGGTTACTGCAATTTGAAAGGATGCCTGGAGAGCATCTCTCTCTCTCTCTCTCTCTCTTAAAGCTGACTTGGGTACCACTTTTCCTGCAGGGCTGGAGGGGGTGAGAGCGTTAGTTCTGTCTTTGCAATGCTCAGTTAGAAATGGAGAAGGGAGGAATGGCTCACACCGGGAACACAGCAAAGGGACATTGCGTGATATTCCTGGAATCAGTGTTGGAAAGAGCTCGTTTGCAAAAGACCTTGCGAAGTCCTAAGGGGGGGTGGGAGCGGGGGTTGGGACAGTGAGGCGAATTTCCCAGATCCCGCTACAGATTCAGCAGTGCCAGGCTTAGATATCAGAGCTTTTAATGCAGGCTTCCTCAGCCAGGCATCCTCCAGAGGACTCCCAATCCCAGCAGGGGGATGATGGGAATTGCAGTGCAACCCATCTGAAGGGCACCTTGTTGGGGAAGGCTGATAGAGGGGGGTGCTGGGAACTGTAATGCAAACTCTCTGTAAGGCAGCTACTTGTGGGGGAAGTGTTCTAAAGGGATGGAAGGAAAATAGAAACTTTCTATTTGGAAATTCCAGACCTGGGTACTACAACCCCCACCATCCCCCACCAGTCACTATGGCAGATGGAGCTGATAGGAGTCAGAGTTTACAACATTTAGGGTACTCTGACTGGATGTTGTGTTCCTGGTTCTCAAACAGAAAAAGATCTTTTCCATTGATTGCAGCCAGATGCTTTCCTTTTCTTTCAAATAAATTTTAATAAAATAAACAGAAATGTATATCTGTTATGCATATGCAAATCAATCATAATTATGCAAATCAATTTATCAGAGGAGTAGAACACTGGAGATGGTATGAAATACAGAAGGAGGTTCTCGGTTACTCTGTCATGCTCCTTTTCCCGAGTTAAGATTCTAGTCCTCATGGTTTTGAATAAAGGGCTGATTTAAACAAGCGCATAGGAAGTTAGCTGCCTTATATATACTAGGTCATTCTTATAATCTGCCTAGCCCAGTCTTTTCTCTGATTAACAGTGGCTCTCTGGGGTGATAAGAAAAGAAAGGTTTTTTTCTCTCCTATCATCTTTTCCTGAATCCCTTTGAATGGGGCATGATGTGGATTGATGGAGCCTCCTACATACACAGAGGGCTCCTCCACCCTCTGCCATTGTTCTTGCTCCTTTTAAAATATATTTTAAAGCTATGGGGCTGAGAAGTTAAAAATGGTTGCTTTAGAACAAATCCATTCTTCAGTCCGTCTCAGTATTTTTTGCACAGGTTAAAAGCAACTCTCCAGGGAGAGTCTTTCCCAGCCCTACCTGCAGATGCTGAAGGGCAGACCTGCAACTTTTGGTATGTATAGCCAAAAGCCCCCATCTTTCACCAGAAGGGAAAGCAAGACCCTAGTCCTCATGATTTGGAAGAAAGAGTGGTTTTAAATAGGAAGCCTCGTTATTGCTCCAGTGCTTATTGCTTCTACCACAGGGATGTTGAACTGCTCTCAGCCCATGGGCCAAATTCCATTCCAGTTATGTTCTTGGGTGACAGAAAATGACAGAAAACCAGACTTGGTACATTTTAGCTTAACATGCCTCCTGCCAGCCACTCAGCTGCAACCTTTTAGTTTGGGAAAGAAACTGCATGAAAGCTGAGCACTCACCAAATCATTGGTGGTTGAGAGAAAGGGGTGGGGCTAGGGGAAGGGGTGTGGTCTTCCAGCAATCTTCTGGAAATCCTGATGTTGGCCCCCGAAACTTGGATTCTGCATCCTCGATCTACATTGGCTGGGTTCAGACAACTCACGTGTGGGTTGTCATTGAACCATGCATAGTTGTTGAAATACAGGCTGAATCGTGTTGTCTGAATGCAGCTGCACTAACTTCAGACAACCCTTGAAGAGGATCCAAGGTTTGTTGGTGGGTTGTGAATGGTGGGTTGTTGGTGCTTTGCTCTCTTGGCTAGGTTCAGACAATCTGCTAACTCATGTTTCAGCAACAACCCACATTTGAGCCATTCCTGAATGCTGTGACTGTTTTGGTGACCGGACGGGGTCTTATGCAGCCCTCCTCGTGCCTGGGACTGATCCACCAGCCTTGGGGCTGTGATGGTCTCAGCTCCGAATAATTGGACTTTCCACACAGCGCAGCGATTCTATAATAGCATTGTCCACAGCTCTGTCTTTTCTCTGTGTGGTGCATCAGTTAGAATGAACAGATCTCTGCCCGCAAGGAGCTTACAATCTCCCAGGGGTGACAGAAAGGAGGGAGGGAGGGAGGGAGGAAAAGCAGACCGATACAGAAAGATGTCGATGGAGGGCAGGTAGGTGCCATTTTTGTTGGGTGGGAGGGGAGAGGTTTCTGTCAAAGGCTTTGTGGGAAAAATGCTATTTAAGAAGGGAGCTGAAAGGTAGGTCAGTTGGAGAGAGATGGGAGAAGCTAGTGAGGAAGTGGCTGAGGGTGGGACCACACAGGGATTCCAGGAAGGGGTTCCTGGCATGACAGTGACCTTCCTTCCTCCATCCAAAGCACAGAAATCTGCCTAAAAGCACAGAAACTCATGGCACTTATATCGATGTATATCTAGCTTGAGGGCAGGTCTTGCCTAGTGGTTGGAGCAGTGGACTGGGACTCAGTGACACTGGACCAGTTGCTCTCAGGGTTGCTGTGAGGATGACATTATGGGATGCAATTGCACACGGATACCATTTTTTGCAGAAGGATGTGATTGTGTACAGATGCCTTTTTTCAGAAGGGTGAACTGTGGGAGGCCAAAGGGAGGGCTGGGACATCTTGCTAGGGGGCCCCATTAAGGGGTTGTGTACCCCAATCTCTTTGAAGGGCTGTCTAGCCAAAGATAAGGAACAGAAAGGAAGGAGGGCAGAATTCTAAAGCGAAAGACCCTGTTCTAAGAAGAGACATGGGCAAGGAAAGAGGGCCCATTATTAAATTTATTTCTTACCTTTTGATACTGCCCAGTACCCTGGAGGTCCTCTGCATGCCACTTAGCGGTATGTAAAAAACAGCCAGCTTACCTGGTCAGAGTCATACCTGATCCAGGTGTGCGGCATGCATTCAGGAGTGTTCTTGAAATAGCCGTCAGTGCCTGAAAAACCAGCAGGGGGATGTTTTATGCAGAGTGGTGTTCTCATGTAGGTTTCTCTTCGGTCTGTGGGGGGCTGAAGCGTGTGCCCCTCCCTGTACCACACACGGCCCGTGCAGGCCCAGGGTGTTGACGTGCTTCCGCTCTCTCTCACAGATGCTTCCCGGACGGTGTCTGTTCTGGGGCTTGCTGCATGTGGCCACCCTGAACCTCTCCTGCCAGCTCGTGCTCTCCCAGAAAGGACGGAAGAAAATCGTGCATGTCTCCGGTGTGTGCAGGATTAGCTCTTGTGTTTGTGGTGCTGCTGCATGTACAGCTCTGTGTCCATTTGGGGTCCTACTCTGGCCCTTCGAGAGGTCACCTCCTCCCCTTGGTCCCAATCCTTCCTCCAAGTACATTTATTCATTGGCTTTGTACAACTTTATTCTAAAAGGATTGAAACACCTTTCCTAAGGCCAAGGGAACAGCAGCAAGACTTTTAGGCTCAAATGTGATAGCATTTTGGCCCCTCCGATTTTGCCTTTAGCTCCACCCACCAAGTGTGGTGAACCCCCCCCCCCCCCCAGCTTCTCCAAATGGAATTCTGTCTTTGCACAGAAAGGCTACCGACACCTGTTTGCTCTCCTGACTGGCAGGTACTTTCCAGGTTATCTGGAAACAGAGGATTGTGGGATAGTGTTAGGCAACAGACCAGTAGGGCGTGTGCGTCAGATCTTTCACTAGGAGCCCCAACTCTCTGGGAGGCCTTCTGCTGTCCCATGGAATCCTTTTGCCTGAGGTTCCTTTCAAAGCTTCAATGCTCTCTTCTTAGCTGTGCATCCTTTTTTCCACCTCTAGGAGACAGGCTCCTTCTGACACTCATAGAAACACAGAAACAGAGCGAGTCAGAAGGGGCCTCCCGGGCCATCTAGTCTGACCCTGGTTCCAGCCGGCTCTGCTCATGACATGCCCACCATGTGCATGTCCAGCCTGTCCTTGAACACCCGCACCGATGGGGCCTCAACGACTTCCGTGGAAGCCCATTCCACACCCTCAGGGTCCTGACAGTCAGGAAGTGCTTCCTGGCATCCAAATGGGACCTTGGTTCCCTGAGCTTGGCTCTGTTGGAGCGCATCCTGCCTTCCTCAGGGGAGAACCCAAGTCTCTCTCCACCTCTATGTGACTCCCCCTCACATATCTGCATATCGCCAACAGATCCACTCAACTCACACAGAGAGACTTTGCCGCAGATGGAAATTTGCACATGTGCATTTGTGCATTTCTTTTTTTCCACCTGCTTGGCCTCTCCTGTGTTGTCCCTCCTGTTCCCAGCCTGAGCACCAGGCTTGGGATGTGGCCGCAGCACCCGATCCCAGCCTCGGATTCCCATGTGTGTGAATCCCAGCCTTGCTAACACCTCCCTCTCGGTTCTGCAGAAGACGACGTCGGTGCCGTCGTGGTCCAGACGGCACCGGGGAAGGTGGTGACTCACCGGGGTGGAACCATCATCCTGCCCTGCCGCTTCCACTATGACATGTCGGCCCACAACCCCGACGAGATCCGTTTGAAGTGGACCAAAATGGTGGAGCCCATGTCGTTTGAGGATGTCTTCGTGGCCTTGGGCACAGAGCGCAGGGCCTTTGGCAGCTACCGGGGCCGGACGGCGCTGCAGGAGGACGGGGCAGGTGACGCCTCGCTCATCATCAGGAATGTCACCCTGCAGGACTACGGGCGTTACGAGTGCGAGGTGACCAACGAGCTGGAGGATGACGCCGGGATGGTGAAGCTGGACCTGGAAGGTCAGTGGAAATGCTTTGCAGGTGACGAAAGTCTGAAGGGATTCTTCTTTGGAGGATGGAGCTGGGGAATCGCATATTGCCTGGGTGTTTGGGGATGGCATGAAAATAGACATTTCAGACTTTTCTCACTGGTCTGTTTATTTTTTAAATTTCCACAAGCCCAACCCAAATAAAAACTGCCAGATAAAAGGCAATGGTGAAATAGGACTCTGCGACATGAGAATTGAATAGTGAGATATATGGAAAGTGCAGGGAAGACCAGTAATTCCTGATCCACTGTAGTTTTTAGGTGAATTAGGTGCTGAAAGGTAAAGAGTTTCTTATGTGGAAAAAGAGATGCAAGAGCAGTTCACTCCCTTTTATTCAAATTTGTATAAAAAAAGACCTAATTTTAGAAGATGGAATTGAGTGATTTCTAGACGAAGCATGCATTAAAAAATTTATAACTGAACATAGAGAAATATCCATATATTTATCCATTCATGTTGTTGTTGTTCAGTTGCAAAGTCATGCCCAACCCATGGACAACATTCTTCCAGGCCTTCCTGTCCTCCACCATCCCCCGGAGTCCACCCAAGCTCATGCCGACTGCTTCAGTGACTCCATCCAGCCACCTCATCCTCTGCCGTCCCCTTCTCCTTTTGCCCTCAATTGTTCCCAGCATCAGGCTCTTCTCCAGGGAGTCCTTCCTTCTCATTAGACGGCCAAAGTATTGGTTACTCCTAAAGATCAGCCTTTCAAAGATGGAAAGTGTTATAAATCCTCAACCCACTGAGCTATCCAAGATCGCCACTTATACATCCAATGCTCTAGCATCAGTCTTTTGGCAGTCCAGTGGGCCCCGAAAATCCATTTATGTTGACTTCCTGTTAAGTTCCAAGAAGCAGGTTCGATAGTGAAGAAAAACATGTATCATTAAACCTTAAAGAGCTTTCCTGCCCAAAGTTTATCCATATTATAACCTCCCCATGACTCAGCCAATACCACAGGGATCTGAAACTTCTGGCAGCCCAAGGGATGGATTTCATGGTGGAGAAACTTGGGCAGAGCTGAAGGCAAAGTAGGACAGAATCAAAACAGAATGGAGATGAGTAGTTTTGAGTTCTTTCTGTCAGTAATGCATCCTTGGGAGAATTTCGGCTCTTTAGAATGTGGGGAGGGGTAAACCTACACAAAAAGGGAAGACCACCAAAAGTCTGAAGGTGAGGAGATGAGGTCTTGAATATCTAAAGAACCCTGGAGTGCTAAAATTTAGGATTATGGTCCAGATGAGGAAACCAATTAATGAAACGATCCCAGGGATGTTACTGGCTGGGGCATGCTGGGAATTGTAAGACATCCTTCTGCCTAAATATACATTGGATTTCACCTTTCCTTCTTACATCTTAATGAGCTGCATAGCTGAGATCATGCAATTAATATTTAGCTGAACTGCTGAGCGGCATTTATGGTAATGTGGCAGATGTGGATAAAAACAACATGAATACGAGAGAGAGAAATAAAACTTGGAGTTGCCCAATGAAGGGGGTTGGTAGGTGATCCAGGACTACAAAGAGAAAATAATTCTTGGCACAAGGCATGCACAGATGATATAGATGGTTAAAAGTGTGCGTGTGTTGGGGGGGGATTCTTCGTGGTTCAGTCCTATGGATTGCACCCTGGGGGCAGCATCCCCCACAGTTGGAAGCATTCGATCGTTCGATGCAGGGCAGGAGGGGTGACGGAGGCAATATCACCCCCCGCTCTCCTCCCCACAGTTCTTCTGCTTGGCAGATTTTGCTGTTAAGTGAGGCTGCTTTGAAGAGGAGAGGAAGAGGCTTGGGGGACGTTCAGGATAAATTCTGCCCATGGTCGCTTCAGTCTCTTCCCCTCCCCACCCACCGGGATGCCCCTGTTTCGCTTCTCTGAGGTTGACTTCCAGCCTCGGAGAGGCAGCTGTGTGGTTTTGTTTATTCATTCATTCATTTATTTATTTGTATGCCCCTTATCCTGCCACAGCACCTCTGGTTCTTTCCACATTGGCTGTGACACGGTGGGGAAGGCGATTAGATCTCCCGGTCCCCTTTCCAAGGTCAGAACTCTCTGTCTGATTGTGCAAACAATCTCCTGGGACACAGGTCCTCAAACTAGGCCCGCAGGCCGGATCCGGCCCGCCATGCCCATTTAACCAGAGCTGTGCACGTCGCAGCTTGCTTGCAAGGAGGTCGTTTTGGACCCGCTCAGGGAAAACGATCTCCTCGCGAGCAAACGGTCACCTTGGTCCGTGCGCCCCCCCTTCGCTGCCTCACATGCGTGCTCCCCGCCTGCTCACCAGCCTGTGCCCCCCCACTGGCACCACCTTGGCGGCGCATGCCCACCGCTGGCACCTGTCAACTGGCCCCCTGTTGAAAAAGTTTGAGGACCCCTGTCCTAGGGACTAGAGGCTTCTATCCTAGGGACTAGAGCAGGGGTCCTCAAACTTTTTCAACAGGAGGCCAGTCGAAAGGTGGTGGCAGTGGGTGTGGGCCAGTGAGGAGGTGGCGTCGGCAGGCGGTGGGTGTGGCGAGGCAGTGTGCCCGGGTGCGGTGAGGTGGCAGCAGCGGGCACAGGCCTGGCCGCCCCCAGGCTCACATAATTAAACATAGATTTTAAAAGTTATATTTTTGGTACCTTTGATTCTTTCTTCATCTTCGTCTCTCTTTCTCTTGCCTGCCTCTCTTCTGTTTCCCACTCCGTATTCCCACTCTGTCTATACGTGCAATTATGGGGGGCAGGGAGCTGGCACATGTGCAGTTGAGCTGTTGCAATTTGGCGCATGTGCCTGCTCTCTCTCCGCTCAGTTTTAAAGAACGCCTGTGCTGGCTCAGAGCGTTTGGACTCACTCGGAGATTGTTTTCTCCAAGCAAGTCCAAAACCACTGAGGCGGGCCAGATAAATGGGCATGGCGGGCCAGATCTGGCCCACACACCGTAGTTTGAGGTCTCATGGACTAGACACTTGCTCTGCAACTTTGGCGGGTGGGTGTGTCATTGGCTATTTGACAGGCAGAAGGTAGCACCTGGACAGCTCACCTGGTCACAATCTTCTGCATAATACAAGGGCTGGATTTCTACCTGAATTGTAATACTTCTTTCTCAATTTGCATCTGTGCAAACAACTGTCCATTTTGCTCCTCTGGTACGATGACACATTTTTTCTCTTTTGGGCGATCCTAAATGGAACCTCTGTCACCTTCCAAGGTCGTCTACTTCAATTTAGAAACTCAGCAGCAGGAAAGGGCTGTACGGATGTACTGCCTTCCAGAGGCGTTCCAGAGAGAGGGGGGGAAGCATCAGGAAGCCCCTGACTTTTGTGCTTGCTGACCCAACTCTGGCAGGTGACCTTAACGTGGTTCATTTTACAGCCCAAGCAGGGTCCTCCGAGGCACCTGATCCCAAACTGTTTGGGCTTTAAAAATTACTACACCGTTGCTGAAATGGAGCCTTGAAGCAAATCGGTAACCAGGGCAGCTCCATGCGATGTTCCATGAAGCACTTGGCACGGAATTCCTCTAGCTCATTTTAAGCAAAAGAAGTTGAAGGAAGTCCCCTTTATTTTACTTTGGCAGGGAGGTGTGAAAAGGGTTTGAAAGATCTGTGCAGGTCGCAGGGAGAATGCGACTGGACCCCTCCCATGGCAGGGCTAAAGAGAAGCCACGCGTTTTCCCTCGTGACCTCCTCTCCTGACTTCACTTGTTTGAGATGCTTTACGAATCTGCATGGTGTCATCTGTCTTCCCAGTTTTATTAGCTTCTGACACTGAAACCTGCAGCTACGATAAAAGTCAATAAAAGTGAAAATAAAGCACCTCAGACCCATGAAAGCGTGGAAGGAGAGTGGTGCGGGGGGTGGGGTGGGGTGGGAAGGGGTGGAAAATGAGAGCCAAGTGTGCGCTGCAGCAGTTCTGGGATGGGTGTGTGAGTGTGTGTGTGTGTGTGTGTGTGTGTGTGTGCAGGCAAGGACCGGTGTGTCTTGCAAACTGATGTCCAGCCAGTTCCTGGTCTTCTGTGACACCACAATATGAGCGAGAGCCAAGATGGGAAGAGAAAACCACAGCAGGAGCATGGAAGGAATTAATAGTTCCCATGCTGAGGGGCTTTTTGGGGTCGTAGCGAAGACCTGGAACGTCGCAGAATGTTGGGCATGTAACTTGGGTAGATTTGGAGCTGAGACCAACATGTAGCTACTTCATTGAGTGAAAGGCTCTTTCAAAGATCTGACTTTTAATACAATGAGGCAGGAGGGGGATGTTGCCCAGTTCTGAGCAGGCCAGGAAGGCTTCAAGGATGGTCCGGCGACTGGAAAGCAAGCCTTGTGAGGCGAGATGGAATGAACAGGGCATGTTTAGCCCCGAGAAGAGAAGACTGAGGGGAAATAGGACAGCACCCTGCAAGTACTTGAAGGGCTGAGACCGAGAGGAAGGCCAGGGTCTCTTCTCGATCATCCCAGAGTGCAGGGCTCAAGTTGCCGGAAGCCAGGTCCCGGCTGTACATCAGGAAGGACTTCCTACTGGAGCAGTACGGCAATGGAACCAAGGACCTGGGGAGGTGGGGAGGTGGGGGGCTCTCCCCACCCTAACCCTAACCTTCACAAAAACTGACTCCCATCCCTATTTGGAAGGAAATCAAGAGCAGACCCAGCTACTCAATGGAAGACCAGTCAGCCACGCGTTTCAGTCTTGTCCGATTTGGCAAAACCACTGCACCACTATGAAGGAAAATGACGGAGCCGATAAACCCGCAGAGGAGGAGAAACGCAGCAGGGCCCCCCTCCACCAGCCGTCCAGCCCTGAGCAGCGCTTTCCCTGCTTGCAACTTTCCCGGAAGGCCTCTGGCTGGCCGTTCCCACAACTGGGCCACACCCTTCATCACCCCACTGTGTGGAGCCTGGTGGCTCAGCTCCCCCAAGAGCTGGGAAAGCTCGACCTGGCTAACCCGCTGTTCTCTTGGTCTCTGCAGGGGTCATATTTCCTTACCACCCCCGGCTGGGGCGCTACACCCTGAATTTCCACGAGGCACAGAAGGCCTGCCTGGAGCAGGATGGGATCCTGGCTTCCTACGACCAGCTCCATGAGGCCTGGCTGGACGGGATGGATTGGTGCAACGCCGGCTGGTTAGAGGACGGTTCTGTGCAGTACCCAATATCCAAGCCCAGGGATGAGTGTGGCCGAAAAGATACCCCTGTGGGGGTGAGGAACTACGGGTACCGGCACAAAGATGATGAACATTACGATGCTTTCTGTTTCACCTCAAACCTTGACGGTAAAGCTGTGCTTGTGTGTGTTTATATTTGTGCATGTACCGGGGAATTGGGCAGTATCTATCAGCAGTAAACAGACCTGGCTTTGCATGGGCTGAGACACCCCGTCATTTCAGGTGTCTTGGCACTAATAGACAGACTGAAAGAGACCCATCCCTTCTCTTACTTTACATCATGAAAGAGGATGTGTGTCTCCGCATCTGTTTGTCTGTCCGTCGCTGCCATGGCTCCAGAACTCTGCATCTTGAATCCCTGAAATGCGGCATGTGTGCTACAGAGACCTTAGGCCTAGGCGCTTCAGGGTTCTTTTGTTTCCAACATGCATTTATTTTAATTAATGTGAGCATGTCCATGAAGTTGAAGCTTGCAGTCACAGCTTTAGACACTAGAAGGCAGCCTTCCTTAACTGGCATGTAGCTTTTCAGGTTTTGTGAAACTACAAACTATTAGCAGTTTAAGGGGTCCAGCCACGTGCCTTTCCCCCACTTCCTCCCCCTCCGGGGCACGTCACGGCCACAATAGTGGCTTGGGAGTCCCAGTAGGTCTCCCCTCACTCATCAGGCACAATCGGTCCATCTCTGCTAATTGCATAAGTTTGTTAAAAGGTTTAGCTGCATCAACACGTAGCTTCCCAGTGAAGCTGGGCGGTTTTCTAGTTGTAGGTAATACAGGTAAGTTGTAGGTAATACAGAGAATGCCCAATGCCTCCTAATTCTTAGAAACTGAACCAGGAGATGGCTGAATATGTTTTCTAGTCTCTGTGGCCAAGGGGTTGTCCCACAGATTCTGTAGTTTGCATAGAAAAAAATGCAAGAGAATTTTATGCTCCTCCATTCTCCTCAGCTAAATTATGTAAAAGAAGCTTGCGGCCTGCTGCTTTTGCATCATTGATGCAGGTCACAGACCCTGGTTTTTCTGGGCAGAGGATAGCTTCATCCAAGCACACTGAGGGAAACCTTTGCCTGCTTCATATCCGTCCAGGCTTGCAGGACGGATGGCCTCCAATTTAGACATTTATGTCTCTTTGCCTGGATCCGCGGGCCTCTTTGTGGGCACCGCAGGTCATTTGCCGGCAGATACAAGTGGCAGTGGAATCGTTAAGTTGGTCTGATTTGTTCAGCAAGCAATATTTTAGAAGTGGCAAATCAAGCTGTCTTAGCAATAAAAACTGTAATTAGCGGCAGAGAGAACAGGAAAGAGGGAGGGAATCTGGGATCTTGCCAGCAGCCCGAAAACAATTTGACCCTGCACCAAGGCAAACCTAGCTGTGCAATCCTATATGTGTCTACTCAAATGTAAGCTCACCCCATTCGCTGGAACTTAGGGGCAGGTATGCATGCATAAAATTGCAGCCTGAAGGATATCTCTCTCTCTCTCTCTCTCTCTCTCTCTCTCTCTCTCTCTCTCTCTCTCTCTCTCTCTTTGGATCATATTAATATCATGCTTTTTCCCCTCTTGTAAGACATCCAAAGAGGTTCACATGGTCTTCCTCTTTTCCTTGTTATCCTCACAACAACCCTGTGAGGTAGGCCAGGCTGAGAGTCAGTGTGACCGGCCCAAAGTCACCCAGTGAGCTTCATGGCTGAGCAGGGACTTGAATCTGTATCTCCTGAGTCCAAACCCAATGCTAACCACTATACCACACTGCCTCGGTATACGTGTGTTCTAATTTCTCAAGAAGGGCATCCATTTTCTTGCAAAACTTCTTATCCGTTTTGGTCCCTCACTCTGAGTGAGGATTTGGGGACTGCCTGGAAAAATTTGGAAAATGGAAGCTTCAGCATGAACAGATCCAATAAATTGCGTGCCTTACCTTGGATGAGTAGAAGGATTTTCTGCCAGCAATAACCACCATTAAGTCCAATCTGTGCCTTTTACTGATGCACTTCTATTCAGAAGTAACTCACATGGGGATGAATTATTCCTGGGCTAAGCATTTACAGGATAAATGGACCTTCCTATATTTGGCACCAGGACGATCCGAGACCCAGGAAGTCGGAACATTTTAAAAGTCACCTCAACAAAATCTGGGACTGAAACTCAAGGAGGGGTGAGGATTTCATGCCTTTTGGTTTGGGTAAGAGCTTATGAAAATTCACACAGTTCTCTGCATTCCACATGAAAGGAAGAATTATGAACCCTTCACGGAAGATGGTCTTTCTTATGTCCCTGTGCTTGAATCCAGTGAGGAGTTAAACTGCTTATGTACGTGGCTTCTCTCTGGGAAGATGGTCTTTCTTATGTCCCTGTGCTTGAATCCAGTGAGGAGTTAAACTGCTTATGTACGTGGCTTCTCTCTGAGGTACATGGCTAGAAGGGTACATTTGCTCCTCAGCATTTTGGAGAAACACAACCAAACACCGCTATCTGGAGAAGGCACAGAAGAAATTTGCACCACGGAGTACAAACCTGTTCTTACTCTTGGGCCTGCGTTGGTTCTGGGCGCTTTGGGGGGATGCCTCCTTTGGTTTGGGAAGCTGCAGAAGCCGTCCTTCCTCTGAATTTGATGGCTTTCCCTGTCAGGAATAATATTCCTGTGACATGCAGCAGCACAGGTAAAACCTGTAAAACCACACAGGATGTTTCTCACTGCATCTCTGCAAACAGTGAAGTCCAAGTTTGCTTTTTTCCCCGCTAGCTTGCTTCCTTCTTTTTTTTTTTTCCAGGGGGTCAGGCTGGTTTTATCCCTGTTCATCTGCAAACTGAGCATGTAGACTTTGAGAAAAGAGGGCCACAAATCCAGGATATTCAACCCACCAGTGAATTAGTGGTCTGGGTTTAATTTGGGTAATATTCACCCAGTGGAATTAGGTGGCGAAAGAGGCCCCACAAATCTGAAGGCAGGCACTAGACAGATTTCCGGTGCTGTCCACGGTGCCCGTTCAGCTCGTGGTCTTCTATGTGCTGCGTCCCAAGCAGAAAGCAACGAAAGCGGTAATTGGGGTTGGCGTTGGCAGAATGATGGATGAGCAACAGAGCTTTTGTCCCGGGGAGTAAATTACTCTTTGCTCCGAGGGTCTGGGTGACCACAGCAGTGGTGGGGGCTTCATTTGTGTAATCAGAGCCTGTGGATCAACTTGGAAATGAAGTGGCCTTTGCCCCTCATCCGTCTTCGCCTCAGGAGGTGGTGCAAAGGAAATGAGTTGAAAGAAGGCGCAAGAGAGCATCTTGTCCTTTTAAAAATAGGACAGAGAAAGATGTTCGCATTTCAGTAAAAGCTCACCGAGTCGACACTTTCTGAACTGATGGATAAGGCAGAAGGCACTTGTGTTTCTTGGAATTTTGTGATGAAGTTCTCTGAACAAAAGATGCATCCCAAAATATACCCAGAACACAAGGCAAATTGAGATTGCTTTCAGAAAAAAATGCTCATGCCTGCCACTGTGAAATAATTTGGCTTTGGCTGTGGATTGGATTAGAAATGAAAATAAAAGTAATAATATTAAAACATTTTCAATGGAGCTTTTATTTTTTTAGAGAGCTGAGAAAAAGAAAAATCATTCTTTTCCTGAGGGCTATCATCCAAGAAATTTTCCTGCAAGGGGGCGAGCGGATTTTCTTTGTCTCATCCCTATTCCCCAGGAATACATTTGATGCCTCCTTTCCAGGTTAGCTAGGAAAATTCCCAAAATTATAGAAATGGAACACACTTGCCATAGCGTTTAGTTGCTCTTTCTCCCTCTTGCCCCCGTGTCTGTTACTCAAATGCATTAATTCGTTACCTATGTGCATTGATGGAATTACCTCAGCATTTATCACTTGAGCATGGAAAGACCACCAGAGTTTTTTTCTGCAGGGTTTTTAGCAATGCGTACCTGCATCACCGAAGCACCCTGCAGTGAGAATGTGGATGCAAACCTACACAGGACCACAAAATTGAAGCTTGGAGGTGGTGGTATTTTAGGAACGCCATCCTTCCTGGTGTGTAACGTTGAAAAGGAGGAAAGACACAAACAGAACAATAACTAAGTTATCGGAGTAACTTACTGTCCTGCAATAGCAGGGTGTTAGACCTGATGGCCTTCTGGCCAGCTCTCCTCTCCTCTGATTCCTGCCTCTTTCTCTTCTTTCTCTTCTCCTTGCAGGAAAAGTCTACTTCCTGAAGACCTATCGCAAGGTGAGCTTCCCGGAAGCCGCCCAGGCCTGTAAGAAGAATGGAGCCACTGTAGCCAAGGTTGGCCAGCTGTACGCTGCCTGGAAGATCCAGCTACTGGACAAATGTGAGGCCGGGTGGGTCAGTGACGGAAGCATCCGTTACCCCATCGTCAACCCACGAGCGCGCTGCGGAGGTCGTGAGCCTGGTGTTCGCAACCTTGGATTCCCGGATAAGAAATACAAGCTCTTTGGAGTGTATTGCTTCAAGGCAGCCAACCATGGAGGGTCCAAGAAAAAAGGAAAGGAGGGGACAGGCATGTGGAAACCTTTCCAGGTGTAACAAGGGCACAGCAGCGGATGCAAATTCTTCCATTTTCCTTTCCCAGCCTTGAAGGACTGGTAGGTTTTTTCTTGGCACCCCCTTTGGGGGAACAGTTGTCCATGTCTTTTCCTGGAAAAAGATAGTTGCACAGTCCAAACTGGAAGAGAAGGATGATGCCGGATTTAACTGACTTGCCTGGAACTTCTGGAATGCCCGGAATTCTGGGTTGCATCCAACCTGTGCTGAATTGTGATTGCTTTTAACTGCATTTTTGCTAGCGTGATTCTTCTGGAGCTGCCTTGGCTTTTTGCAATCTTCTGCGCTATATTAATGCTTCAGATAAAGCTTCGGGGGCAAGAAGGAAGGATGGTTGGTTTTGCCATTGAGGTTCGAAGCAGAATTCATGGAAAGGCATTTGCTCATTTTGCTGCAAAGAGGACAAATGCTTAAGGGGCTCTTTGTGCCCCTGCTTTTGGATGGTTTGGGAGTGGCAGGGCAAGCTGCAAAACTGTGATCTCAAAACCAGCTGGAAAAGCCAAACTGGAACTTCCCTCTCCTATCTTCTCCCCAGTTTTCCCCAGATGTCATTTTATACCAGCACCATCATCCTTTCCTGCAAGTTTCCTTCCCTCTCTGGTGAACTGAACATGCAATTGGCTTACTCATCCATGTGTGGTTTGTTGGATGTGTCTGTAGGCTCCTTGGGGCAGAGGATTCAGTTTTGCTCATGCAAATGCTGCAACATACCCTGTATGTGAATGGTGCTGTATACATGTTAATAAAAAATATGTGGATGTGTAGGCTAGGGGGTGATTTTTGGCACGTGTGGCAAATTGTACCTTCCAGGCCCTGGGACTTGATCTTACCGGGATTCTAGCCCTGCGTGTGTCTTGAAGAACTCCTTCAAAATGGAGTTTGGCCTTGGGGCAACGATCCAGGCCACTGGAAGGCCCAGTTCCTTCCTCCCAACTTATAAAAGATTGACAGGCTTCTCCAGAAGCAAAATTAGGCTAAAATAGATGGGTGTGTGTGTGCTTTTCTAGTTTTATTGGCCCTTTTTGTCTTTGTCCTTGCTTACCACCAGTATGAGACTTCGAGTGCCTCTTTTAAATGAGATATCACCCTTGGACTGAAAGGAGTATGACACCCCTACTTTAGAAAGAAAGTGGGCAAGAATCCTCAGATGACGAGATGCTAACAGATTTTGTGCCCAATACAGCATTTTGCTTCTATGCAGAACCGTGAAAAATGCACTGCACTCATTTGGAGCCATGGCAAAAGATTACATTGGAACGGTGCCAGTTTCTCTCTCTCTCTCTCTCTCTCTCTCTCTCTCTCTCTGTGTGTGTGTGTGTGTGTGTGTGTGTGCTCGCATGTGCTGAACATCTTTGCTTATGCAGCTCCCCAGGAACTGGCAGTCAACAGCCTCCATCGCTTGTTGAGCGTGGCCAGAGTTGGCCCCTGGTTCCCTGTGCAGCTGAATCCATGTTTTATACAAGCCAGGCACTGGCGCATTCATTAGAGATCGGTGCATTATGGGCAGGCGTTTCTCACAGCTGGCCATCAAAAACATGCAATGATGAGCCGTGCAGATTGGCTTGGCATTCATAACGAACTCTTCCCTAGAAATACGGCCAAAGTAAGCCAGAAAGTTACGGCCAACCTTGTGTTCAAGTAAGCCCCGTTCCAGCTAAAAGGTGGGCTAGACTGGCCCCGATGGCCTGAGAGATAAAAGCTCTTGAGCTCATTTCCCACTTGCTTCCTAGCTCAGCAGCCTTTCAGGGAAAAATGCTATTGAGTGGGATTGTGGTGGCAGCTGATGCTGTGCTGAAAATTTCTTCTCTGACACTGTGACTCGGAAAAACCCTATGTCCAATCTGATCATGCAGGGGAGTTGAATGGCTCCCTTAGTCGTTAAGATGCTACAAAAAACCTTGCAGTTTTTTCTTCCATGGACCAACATCTTAAAGATGAACCCCTCGGAAGGTCTTGTGGCACTCTCAAACACCTCGTGGTTCTTTAGTGCACCATGCTGCACTTCAAAGCATTCGTAGGCCCTGGGAAAGATGTTACACCCAGTAGAAAGACAACTGCAGATGAGCCAGAGTTCCCCAGAAGTTTTGTCTTTTATACAGATCTCTTTCCTACGTGTGGCTTTAGATTGAGTGGGGTATAACTGCCACTCTATACAGCTCTGGTGCGCCCGCAACTGCAGTATTGTGTTCGGTTTTGGACCCCTCGTTACAGGAAGGATATAGCCAGGTTGGAGTCAGTGCAGTGTAGGGCCACAAGGCTGGTGGCCGGTTTGCAGGGGATGCCGTATGAGGCGAGACTGAGGGAACTGGGCCTCTTCAGCCTGGAGAAGAGGAGACTCAGAGGGGATCTGTTGGCGACATGCAGGTGTGTGAGGGGGTGTCCCACGGAGGTGGGCAGAGACCTGTTCTCCCCTGCAGAGGAAGGCAGGATGCGCTCCAATGGAGCCAAGCTCAGGGAACCAGGTTCCATTTGGATGCCAGGAAGCACTTCCTGATGGTTAGGACCCCGAGGGTGTGGAATGGGCTTCCCTGGGAGGTGGTTGAGGCCCCATCGGTGAAGGAGTTCAAGGACAGGCTGGATGTGCACGTGGGGGGCATGTCGTGAGCGGAGCAGGCTAGAGCTGGGAGTCAGGCTAGATGGCCCGGGAGACTCCTCTGACTCGCTCCATTTCTATGTTTCTAAGCGGGCCCATTGCCACCAGTGGCAGTTTCCTCTATGTGTGACAATGCTGAAAATTCTTCTTCCCCTTGGAGAAATCTGCTAAGCTCAAAAACTCTGGGAAATAAACAAGGAAGTGCTCACATCCCATCCTGCTGGAGGGTCCCGAGGCCAGCAGGTTCGCCCCTGTGTGTACTGAGTGCTGGACTGGGTGGACTTTGGATCCATCCATGACATAACCAGGGCTTTGTTATGTTCTTACAGGCACCAGTTGCAGGCGAACATGGGTAGGAGGTGCTGCGGGACTTGTGTCCTTTGGGGTTTCCCTCTAGCGCCGTGGATTGGCCACTGTGGGGACAGATTTCTGCCCCAGATGGACCCCACCCCTCTGGTGCAGCGGAATGTCTCCTACATTTTTATGTCTACTTTATTATTTTGATTAGATGATGCTCATGGGGAGAAATTGGTAATCAGTCTCATGAGCATTGCTATTTTGTGCTGTTTGACTGATGTACATAAAAAGGCATCCCCCACTGTGCATTTGGGATTCTTCATCTTAGCAGCCCTGGCTTTCCATCTAACCCCCACCCTGAATTATTTGAACTGCTGTGTTTCAGAAGCCTCGGCTTTCTGCAGTGATAATTACGTGCACCAGTCCAAGCAGCGGCTTCCACGCAGAAAAATGATTTGCAAATGCATGTCTCATTCCCACATTTATTAAAAGGTTCATTTAAATGGAAATTGGGGATGGGCACAGAAAGAGATTGGTGCTAATTGCACGCCGCCTCTCAGGGAGCTGCCATTTGGCTTCTTGATGAGCGATTGCAGTCAATCTCTGCCACACTGAGGAAGCGCCCCAACGACCGCCCCACATTGTTGGGGGTGGGTGGAATAGGAATGTTTGCAGACCTAGCTCTGAAGTCCGGCATCCTCCAGGTGGGGCACCAGAGACTGAGCCCACGGTCCATTTCTCTCCCAGCCAGCGTGGCGTCTTTCCGCACAGGAAAGAGGCGCTCCAAGGACGCACAGGGTGGAGCTGGGGCAGGAGCTATCCTATCCCTGCCCCCACTTTTTGCCCCCTTGCGCTTTATCTGCACAGCCAAAAGCAGCTGCCTCGAGGAAATGCCCCAAAGAGCCTCTGAGCTTGGCGCCTTCGGTGCCTTTCCAGCAGCCGTCGGCAGACCTAGAATCCCTGCAGACACCGAAGCCCTGCCCCACGGCAGAGCCCAGAGGGGGACGCGGAGGAAGGGAAGAGGCGGTGCCCTTACGAACTGTTAAAAAAATTTATTAAAATGTCCAGCAGTACAGAAACCGCGGAGGGGTTTTCCCCCACCTCCCCCTTCTTTTCGGGGGGGAAACGCCACAAACAGGTAAGCTCAGGGACACACGAGTTCTACTGGGATGGCAGTTACACTGAAACGGTGGAGGTCAGCGACGTGTCGGCTCCACTCACTCTCTCGGGGGGACGGCGCTCACACCCACATCCACTCACGCAGGCACAGGCCAGGTCAAGCGCAGCATCCACTGCGATGCCTCCTTCTGCCTGGGGGGGCCTTTCCGCGGTGCGTGTGTGTCTCCTTCCCCACGTACAGAAAAGCAGTGAAAGCAAGACCAGGGGGGCTCAGGGTGCTGGACCTTGTCTAGCCCAAGGGCTGCGTTCCATCCTGGGGCCGCCTCGCATTGTGAGAGGGGCCAAAGGAAAAGGTGCTGGAGCATTTCTTCTCAAAGCACTGCCATGCAGCCACTCAGAATTAAGAGAGGCATCTTGACCTTTCGGTCTGAGTGGAGAACAGCACAAACACAAGGCAACCCCTTCCCCACTTGATTGGATTTTCATGGGAAAGAAGATGGGGGCAGGGGAAGGCAGTGTGGCCCTCTGGGGAAGGGGTGGATTGGGCCCGCAGGGGCTGACGCTTCTGCACTCTGCTCTAAGGTCTCAAGGCAAAAGGAGCAATTCTTTCCTCCCAGAAGTGATGGCAGAATTCTAGAAATTTAGGGGTCTCGCCCAATTCCCTTTCTATGCAGGAAGTTCGCTGCACATCATGCCTCCCTGACCTGCCTCCAGGTGCAAAAATCTAAGCCTGCAGACTTGTGTCTATTTGGACAGAAAAATAATTACGTGTTTTCCTTCTTGCTTTTTCCTGTCAGCACTTGCTTAGGCGCAGGTGGAAAGATGTTCTTTGCCCTTCTATGACATTCTGTCCCATTCTGGAGTGTTACCTGGCTCTTAACACAGCTCTGCACTCAGTAATTCATATGTGCACCTAGAAATTTAGAAATAATTACTACAATTTCTCGAAATGTCACAGGCAACACGGACAACCAGTTATTTTCTTATCTGAACCATCTCAAGCAAACTGAATTCTCTAATGGATTTGTGCCTCAGGTCACCCTAAGTCCATGATAAAAGTTTTTTCTTGCTATCTAGGGGAAAGTTTTGTTAAGAAACAAAACAGAAGTTTCTCTTCCCCAGCTGCAGTGCCCTTTGAAAATTGGCCCCTGCATGGGACTTCCATTGAAGGAGAAAAAGAAAAGCGTTTGTTGTCTCAAGTGCTGTGGAAAGATTCATGGTCTTGGGAAATACATTTGGTGCTGGGACACCCAAGGGCTTTGAAGGTTGTTGGCTCTGTTAGGGGCAATGCATCCCTTCCAGGTTGGAGCCCATCCTTCAAGGAGCTATCTGTGTGGGTCTGCCCACAGAAACAACGAAGAGTGAATGTGCTCTTCCTTTTGCTAGGGAGAATTTTTCACATGGGTTCTGGAATTAAACCATGGGCTACAGAGGGAAGTTTTTATCCCTGCCACCCGTTGCTTTCTGATCAATGTCATGTTGCTCAGGAACTCTGAAGGTGTTCCGCCAATGCACTTCAGCATGTAAGCACACCAGGGCTGGCGATAAACAAAAATTCAGGAAACGGAGCCCCTCGTTCAAAGGGGCCCATTTTCATGGACTGGCCCCCTCAGATCTTGTTTCTCTGATTCATTTCTTGAGTTCTTCAGAGCATGGCATTATGGGTACAAACCATGGAACTCAATGTGCTTTACTTCTGCTTCGACACACACGAGTCTTTGTGGCTGATGCAAGGGTATTCTGCTTTCCCCAACACAAGCCAGATTCTGGTGCCTTTTACATCTTTGGGCCTGCTCTCAATTAAACCATTTCTGGGTTGTTGTTGCCTTTGCTTGTTTGTCTGTTTTTGCAAGACATTCCACAGAAGAAAGGAGAAACAGAAATGCTTTTTAAAATGCATCCTTTCCCACAAATTTAAGGCTTAAAAAGGGGGTTGCTTGGCGTACGGTGACTTTATAATTGTGGTAAGGCTTCTAGAATCACTGGGTGTCTTTGGGAATGATAAATGCCACGGCACACTTCTCAGATACAATGAACCACTGTTGGAGGTTTTCCACCCAGTCTGAAAAAGTTTGCACTTCTCTGAACTAACTCCTCCAGTACTTAAGCCAAATAGCTGCTGCTCTAACTGTCTCTCCGTACGCACCAAGAAAATTTCGGCCCAGTTTTGCACCATCCAAAAGGAAACAGTTTGTTTCAAAAGGAGTGAAAAATACTCCTGGCTAATTTGCTCCAGCCGAACATTAAAAAGCCACAGAGAAAATGTTCTTGGTGGAATACCACCTGGAATTGCATCAGGATCACGAAGTTCTGCATTTTCTTAATTTTCTCTCAATAGTACTTATTTTCCCTTGCAAAGTTTGAATGGAAATTTTTCAGCCCTTTTCAACACATCTCTCCTAACAAGAATGTTTGCATACGCTTTTGCCTCATTTAGACTTTTCCTATGATGGTGTATTTTTAATGCTGTTTTCCCTCAGAGATAGGCATTCATTGGGAAGATTCTGTCAAGAAATTCTAAATGAGGCACATTTGAAGGAGAGCTGAAGTTTTGGTTCGCATGGCTGTTCCAAAGGATGAAACTGGTGAAGTTTGTAATAAGATGCAATGCCAGCTTAGATGAACCTACAGTTTCTAAAGGCTTTTTATTTTATTTATTTTATTTCCATATATCTATAATTGCTGAGGCCTTCCTTTTACAGCAGCCTTCCCCAATCTTGTGGCTCCCAGATATGTTTGGAGCGCGACACCCAAAATTCCCGGTCAATGGCTCTCTGGGATGGGAATTTTGGCAGCTGCAGTCAGAATGCCTCTGGCGACCACATGGTTGGACCGGGCTGCTCTAAAGGAAACGCTGGATAGCCTTGGTTTCAGAACATTTAGGTGAGACATGATAGTGTCCATGCAGTATCTGAAGGATAACCATGCAGGAGATGGAATGTACATCTTTTGCGTGGCCAGAGAGGGCAGGCCTTGGAACAGACTGGCCAACCTTCCAGGGTTGTTGTGAGCAGACTGTGCATGAACATGGGAGGAAGTGCTCTCGTTTGCAAGCATGGCTGCAGCGGGAGGTGGGCGGGCTTTGTCAGCTGCTGCTGCTGAAGGATTTCTCTGCTACACAGGGGGCTGAGGATGGAAAACCTCCAGGGTTCCTTCCAAGGGTAGCAGATTCAGAGTCCTCTCTCCAGATGGGGCACAGAGAGGACTCTGTGTTTCTGCTCATAGTTCTGTGGAAATCAGCTGTGGGGTGAAAAACGTGCCTGCTCGTTACACAGTTTTTCACACTCAGATTTGTGTTCGAATCAACCCTAACCAACCAGACACCCTCCAAATGGGTCAAAATACATCTCCCAGCCTCCCCGGCCAACTGGTTGGGGATGCTGGGAGTTATTGCCTGACTCATCTGAATGGGGACAAAATCAGCTTCGGGAAGGCTAAATGGGAAATGCTTTCTCTATTAAAAATGCATCACCGTTTAAATTGTTCTGCATCAAATCAGAAGGAATCGATTAAAAAAAGTGAGGGTGGGAAAAAAGGGGATCCATCCTGACTCCCCCCATGAGAAGGTTTTTATTCTGGAGGAACATCAAAATCGCACCCCAGATGTCACAAGAATCTCTCTTACTGAAGGATACTGGAATCCAAATTCCCCATGAGAAGACTCCCCCCATTTCCTTCCTTTGTCATGTCCCACTGCTCCTTAATTCCAGCATTACTAGGATCGCGCCTCAAATGACTCCTGGATCAATTACCTTTTTTGGAGCCTTCAGTTTCAGAAAGCCCCGCGAGAAAAACGCCTGACACAACCACATACACACCTTGTTGTGCTTTACTCATCTGCCTCCTTGCTTCTGTACACTGGAAAAATGACAGATGCAAAATGAAATCAGATAATCGTGATACGCAAGCATTTTGATGCCTTGTTTACATCCAGATCCATTTGTAAAGGGTGTTGCTGGTGCGGCCATGAGCATTGGTAAAACGCCACCCAAAAGTGAGGCGTGTCTTCTTTCTGTCTCTTTTTGGCAGTGACTTATTCATGAGTACGTGGGCACTGGCGATGGGGAGAATGGGACATGACAAAGGAAGGAAACGGACTCTGTGGGAAAGTACCCGTGTGCGCAGCTCTGTAGAAGACTTGGAAATGAAGAGGGGACAGTTCTGCTTTGCAGGAAAAGTCCTGACCATTCAGCCCCATTCTTGAAATTAAAAGGGGAGAAATTCGGCAACGCCACGATGCCTTACATGCTATTTCTGTGTTATCTTTCACAATGGCTCATTCTCTTGCCCCACGATGCCCCAGGCAAGATGGACAATTCCTTGGGCAGGGTAGAAGCTACACTTAGCACAGAAACCCTTCCAGGCTGCCTGCTGCTTTAATCCTCACCCATGTCCAGGAACAATGCTGTGTCAGGTGCTCCAGGGCATTGTGGGAGACAAAAAGGGCCCCTTGCCAGTGGGGAAGGATACAGGATCCAAGCAGGCTTCCTCTTGTGCTCAGCCGTCGCGTAGGAAGCGAGCTGAGAAGAGAGGAAGGTGGCGCATCTGGGAACCGTTTTCTGTGTCGTGCACAACCATGCAAAGGTGACTTGCACGTGACACAGAGGTGGCTTGCTCAGTTCCGAGCAAGCCCCGCAAGAATGCTGGACAGGTGTGCTGGGGCCTCGGATTCATGGCTGCAGGAAACGCAGGGATTCTGGCGGATTCCCATCCCTGGAAGAGAATGCTCACGCATTTCTCGCGAGAATGAGTTCTATCTCCTTGTGCATCAACTTTTCTGTGATGGGAGCAGGAATGCCCGTTTGACCCAATGAACTTTTGGATTTTGGGAAGGAGAGGAGACCCTGTGTGACCAACCTTTCCAACTTCTGCAACTCAGAGGGAAAGGTCTGTGTAGGGGGATGTCTTGATTAATCTGCATCCCGTGGGATTTGGAGGGCCTTACAGAATCGCCAGTTGCAACAGGGCACTGCTGACGCATGACGTGTGGCGCCAGGGCCTGGCGCACGAGGCCACAATGGGAGCTGTGTGGTAGATTTATGCCACCTTCCCCAACATGTTGGAATCCCTGCCCACTCTGACATTGTTCATATTGGCTGGGGCTGATGGGTTTGTAGTCCAAACACACATGCAGAGTGCCAAGTAGGGGAAGTCTGAATTGGCACCCAGGAAAGCTGGTTTTCGCAATCTCTCTAAAATTATGCAAACAATTGCATAATTTGTTATTTTGCACAATTCACCCTGGTTTTGCCCATTATGCGTGGGGAAGCTGAGCAGGGACCTGCAGCCTGCATACCCACTGCCCAATTTCAAGGGCTTGATGCTCACCATGAGGGCTAGCGACTTGGCCTTTTAAAATGAAAACTACAAATTTGGGTAGCGGGGTCTTGCAGCTCAGTTCCTACATTTCAGTGGGTATGTGTGGGACTCTCCTAGGTGCCAAAGACTTTCTGTGCCAAAGGTGCCAAAATCTTCCAGTGCAGGAAACCTGCAGACCCACATGGCTGTTTGGTGGCAGATGCATCTGTGCCATTCCACAGGGGGCCCTGGGCAAAGGCTAACATTACCAGTGGGGGGAAAGAAGGCATCGACAATTCTCATCACACTTGCAAACCCGTCGCATCCTGGGTGGGGCGAAGGAAGGTCGAGGGGGCGGGGGAAATGGGGGCCGGAGCTTGTGCTTTCGTCAGGCTCTGTGGTTAAAAGTAGCTGCTGTCGCCCTCCGTCCAGTCCAGCTTCGGGTGCGGCTTCGGGTGTTTCCGCCGGTCCTTGCGGGATTTGTGGCGGTGATGCTGGTGGTGCTGGTGATGGTGGCGGCGGTGCCGCCGGGTTCTGTGGGACCGTCTGGCTAAAGGGCGCCAGAGTAGGAGGGAAACAGGGTGAGCAGGGGGCCACCACTCCCTTCCCCCAACTCTGCTTCGCTCTCCCAAAAGATGCTTGCCCCAAAATAAACATTTTATTAATAGCTTCCTTCGCTTCCCCTTCCTTTCCCTCTCCTCTCTCCTTCTTCCTTCCTTTTGCAGGTGACCCCACTGCTGCAAGCGATCCCACTGACCACCACCCCCACTGGCGCAGGCACATTGTGACGCCTCTCTCGCCCCGTTCAGACACCCATCATCCCCTGCCCCACATCAACGCCAGCTCCGAGGGTGCCCAAGGAATGGAGACGTGGGTCCACATTCATGGAGCCTCTGCTTGGCAGGGAGGGGGGAGAGGCAGGGATGGGTGCCGACCCAGGAGCCGCTGGTCCCCACACACGTTTTCCACCCTCTGGCATCAGCCCGTTCCCGGCCGCAGGGCCAAGAGCCGCCCTGCTCAAAGCCCCGTGGGGCTGGGCTGCCTCGCGTGTGACTCACTTTTTGTGCACAGGACCCGAGGCCTGTCCCACGTCCCGTTGACGTGGCATTTGATGGTGGGCAGGTGCCTCTGCAGGTAGCCATCCTCGCACTGGTAGCGGACCGTTGCGTGGACGCTGTACTTTCCCTTCTTCTTGCCGATGGGGTAGGCGTTTTCCACGACGGGGGGCGGGCCGCACAGCACTGCAGGGGGAGCGTAAGAAAAGGGCAGGTGGGGTGAGGAGGGGAGGCCCTAGGGAGGTTGCACGGACCGTGAAGAGGGTGAGGGACTTTTCAGTGGTCCCCCCACCCCCATGGCAGAATCTTCTCTGCCTGGAGGTCAGACTGGCCCCTACATTTGGTGCAGAAGAGTGCAGCCCTGTGGCCTCCCGTGTCATCTGGGGGGGCCACAGGATGCCTTCATTTCAGAGTGGGGGCCTGGAGGCCACAGTCCCACCCTGCGGTGGACGAAAGGGGCAGGGGAGGCAGCCAGTTCCGCTGGGTGCCCAGGCGTCCTTTCTACCCCCTCCTGAGGTTTACTGTGCTTTCTGTGGAGGCAAGAGGGCTGCACCCGCAACTTCTTTTGCAAGTGCTTAATTGCAGCCGGATTTCTGTAACATTGCCATGGTTCTGAACAGCTCGAACATCTTTTAAAGGATAAATCACTTAATGCATGAAGTGATGCTGCGTAATGCAAGTGTCAGGAAATAGTGTGAGGGGTTGCTTGGCTGTTAGAAATCTAATCAAAACAGCGTGGGGACAGCAGGATCTAGTAGCTCAAGAGGCGGGGTGGGGGTTGGGGGTTGGAAGGGGATTTGCATATTTAATTAACAGCTGTGATTGGTGCTGCTGCATCATTAGCTCAGGAACTGGAAGTTGTGCTTCTCTGCATTTGTCACCAGCAGCTGGAGGTTAATGTGTCTTTCCGCAGATAAGGAGCAGAGAGGCCTTTATGCTTTTAATGGCAGAATTTCTCTAAGCAAATTACTTAGCACTGAGAAAATGAGCACTAGGGAGGGGGATGCGGCGGTCCTGGTGGGGTGTCTCTCCATGGATTAGGAAGCAGAGGATTTTTGAGTGACTCAGAATAGGGGTGGAGGGGTTGCAAAACTCTGGATTAGGCAAATTTTCAGCTCTAGTGTTTGGTCTTCAAAAAGGAAAGGCAAGAAAAAGAGAAGAGGCAGCAACTAGTTGGGAGCCCAGTTTCCACCTTCCTAGAAGTCTTTGAGCAAGACTCCCAGTCGAACCCATGTGGTTGCTTAAAAGTTCGTTCAGGCTGGGCTTTGAGCGCTAACCACAAGGCATGCTGGCCAGGGCTTGGATATGGATTGGAATCTAGGAGGATACTTTTCTGCAGCTTAGTCACAAAGCTAAACGCCATCCTCTCTGCAGAAATGGAAATGTGAATGTCACACACTCCAGGAAATCTCTATTTTCCCGCACAATGCCCATAGAATTGATTTCTTGAAGCTTTTAGCAGGATAAATATGTTTCACTCAATGTCCGTGACTCCTCCTTTCTTGAGGCAATAAAGTGGAGAAATGGGGCAGACTCTTTCAGAGTAATTAAATGCCGCTTTCCCTTTAAACTCTGCCAAGGAAAACCTCCTTGGGATTAAAAAGGAATTACCTGTGTCCTTTTTGCAGACATACGGCAGATTGTAGTTGCACGGGACATCATTCCATTTCCCTGTCTCGTGCGAGACCAAAACCACACAGTCCTCACCGCCCGCAAAGAAATTGTCCGGCTGGTTTTCTCGCCAGTTCTCATATTGCTGTGAAATAGCAGAAGGGAGAGGTAGAGTTGAAACTCAGCTGTTCTAACCCAGGAGGACAGGGCTGTCTGATCTGGATGCTCCATGACTCCTATTTCCTTCCAACAGCCTTTCTGTTGTGTTTGAAAGGCCCAGGCCTGTGTAGAGGGGTTTCTGCATGTCGTGAGTGGAACTGGCTGAAGCCAGAGGTCAAACTAGATGGCCTGGGAGGCCCCTTCTGCCTTGCTGTTTCAATGTTTCTCTGAGTGGAGCCGGGGGGTGGGGGGGAGCTGGGGTCAGACTAGATGGCCCAGGAGACCCCTTCTGACTCGTTCTGCTTCTATGCTTCTCTGAGCGAAGAGGGCTGGAGCTGGGGTCACACTAGATGGCCTGGGAGGCCCCTTCTGCCTCACTGTTTCAATGTTTCTCTGAGTGGAGCCGGGGGGTGGGGGGGAGCTGGGGTCAGACTAGATGGCCCAGGAGACCCCTTCTGACTTGCTCTGTTTCTACATTTCGATGTTTCCGCGCCTCCTTTGTCAGCCTTCTACCAGGTCCAAAGATTTGTGAATCTAGATCAGGGATGCAGAAACTCATCTGGTCTGAAGGCCGCATTGCACTTCAGAAAATCCTCAGGGGTTGTCATCCAGTGGTCAATAGGGCCAAACTTAAAAGGGACAGGGCTGAAATACCCCAAACAGCAGCATTTTTCTTCATGTAAGCCAACATTGTTTGCACTGACTAGCGAAATTGCAAGCAGATATTTCATGTTGGCTGTTTCCTAGTGCATAATATATTTATTTATTATTTATTTAAAACATTTCTATGCTGCCCCATCGCAATAAAGCCTCGGGGCGGCTCGCAAAACATCCATAAATAACAGTACAATAAAACCCCAATACAATAAAACCCCAGTGCATTCTTGGCTAAAAATAAAAAAACAAACAAAAAAACCCTAGTTAAATAAATAAATTAACAATTAAAATAAGTTTTAAATAAAAAGGTTATTTATTTTTAAATAAAAAAAATATAAAGACACTTTAAATCCTTATCCATCTATGACTTGAGAAATAGCAGGCTCCTTTTCTTCCACTGATTGCTCACACCGATGGTGGGATTGGGATTGCATTTGCACACATTCACACTTGTGAAAATCCACACTCTCCACCCCCAAAATGCCCATTTTGTCCATGCTTCAGCCTAGAGGGGGAATGCACGATTTTCGTCAGTGTTTTCCTTTTCTGTGACTTAATCTGCATCATGTATGGAAAAAAAAAAAAAAAGATCTGGCCTGCAATTTTGGAATCTGCACAATTTGGGAAAAGCTGCTCTGCTGCAGATTCTCAGACATGTGAATTCATTGGAGCCCAGTATTTATTTATTTATTCATTCATTTATTTAGAATCTTTGTATCCTGTCCCATCGCAAGAGCCTCGGGACGGCTTACATACAATACACTAAATAAACAATAAATACAAATAGTGCAAATTAAAATCCAGATTCACCCTGGCTGTAAATTAAAAAGCTATAGGTGATATTAAAAATTGCTAAAATATTGTTGAAATAAAAAGGTCTTAGCCTGGAGCCGAAAAACAAATAACGGCGGCGCCCGGCGGACCTCTCTGGGGAATGGATGTCTCCGACATCTTCTTTCCTGTTCTGATGAAATGAGGATGTCTGGAATGGGAAGGGGGCTTCTGGCTGAAGCATCTGGCCGGGGGGGGGGGGGCATCTGCCCTCCCAAGCACTTACCAGCGCTGTGTTGTCTGTCCACTGGAAATCTTGCTCCACAATGCGGTCGTTGAGGCCAATCCATGTGTTCTCATGCCCAAAGCCTGCATGGGAAGAGAACGGTGAGTGCTAGGCCCCCTTGGCAGGAAAAGGAGGAGGGGGCCCAGTTGGAGGTGGAGACCAGCCCAAGCTGAAGCCCCCAGAAGAATGAAAGGGCTGTGGACAAGGCACATGTGTTCCCTGGTCACGGGGTGCAGGCATGTTGCAAAATCCGTGGCACCTACATTTCATGGGTTGTCCCATCATCCCCCACTGATGGAATCAGATTTTGTGCAAATGTCCCCATTCACAAATTTGCACTCCCAAAATCTGCAAACCTTCCCTCTAAGATGAAAATCCCCCCAAATATATATTTTCATACTTTGGCTTATGGGGAAAATGCACATTTTCAGTTGATGTTCTTTTATCTCGCGTTTTTCTCTGACTGAAGTTGCATAAAATTGTGGAAAATCTTTTAAAACATCTGCAAGTTCAGCAGAATCCCTATGACTTGGGAACAAACCATCAACTGTGGAATCCACAGGCTGGATCCTTAGTTATTCAAACTCATTTGGATCCATTGAGGATTTCTCCTCACAGCAGCTGTCTTCTCCATGAAGGTAATAAATGCAATATACTGATTTAAATTATAATTTGCTTCTAAACTCGAGCCTATAGCATGTCCATTAGTATGTGCAAACTGTATGCAGATTGGCATCCACCTCTCAGTTGCCATCTTTTTATTTTGAGGACTCCTTTCCTCTCTTGGGATGGTCTCTGAGCAGCCTCCAAACAGGTCTGTGCTAAGCAGCACCAAGTCTGCATGCAACCCATTCAATTAATTCGAAGAGGATTTCTTTAGATGAAGTTTCCTTTTCATAACGACCTCTCCATATCTTTTCCTTTGGAAAAGTCAAAGCTCCTAAAGTGAATTCACGGGGTTTTCTATCCTGCCTTGCCACTTCTCTTGCACCCCTCTCCAAATGTGGCCACTGGCCAGCAGGTTAAAATCACCCTTTGTGCAGGTGGCTCTCTAATGCCAGCTCCTGGGACATGGTGAATTCAGGGCCAGCCCCTTCCCGCCACCTTCCGGGCCTCCAACATACTGTTAATGAAGTTGTGCTCTTCCCAGGAATGGATGCTGGTCAGGTGCCCCAAGCGGCGCCGGCAATCCCGCTCAGCATCTTCCCAGGCACGCCGGTGTGCAAAGTAGCGGTAACAGTGGCCTTGGAATTTGTGCCAGTTGTGATCACAGCCCTCGGTATCTAAGAGGAAGAAAGCAATGCCTCAGAGAACTCACGGTGGTCCATAAAGGAAGCTGCAGGCTTTGCCGCTCCCCTAGGGCGAAGCCATATTAACCAGAGACGAGCAGCCGCATCGCTGTAAGATGCTCCTGCTGGAGGAGACCGAACACGTGAAGAGTGCTCTCATGTTCCCACTCGGTGTTCCCTTCTCCACCCATTTCTTTTCATCTCTCCTCACAGGGCTTTGCTTCCAATCCCCTGTTCACCTTTGTTGCCCTCCTCTGAACCTTTTCCACATCTTTCTGTGCCCGGAAACACACTCAGCACTCAAGATGGGGGCTAACCAGAAAGACGCATCACAATGCCTGGGTTGCATGTGCCAATTCCCTACAGCCGTCTCTCCTAGGCAGGCCGCTTCCGGATGTTTAGGACTACAATGCTCATCGACCCCAGCAGCAAGCACAGTGCGCAGGCCAGGGGCTGGAGAGCTGAGGTCCAGATGTCACAGGTCTGTGCCACTTCCAACAAACAAGCAAGTCTGAGCTGCGGCACCACCGAATGACACGGGGCCAGCTGGGAAGTGTGCGGCACGTCCCCATCTGCACAATGACATCTTTCATCAGCCCCCTCCAGCTTCCTCCTGAGCCAAAGTCGCTGGAGCTCAGACTTTGAAATTAACCTCGTCAGGGATAATTGGACTGCGCCTTGCATCCCTGCGGGAGCCCTGGCTGCTTTGATCTCCGGAGCAGGGACGGCGCAGTGGGGTAGACGGAGTGTTGCATGCGCCGAGAGCCGAGTCGCTCCCCGGAGCCTCCTCCCTTCCTTGGATTTATGTCAGGGTTTGGCCTGGGGGGGTGGCAGGAGACAGCCCCCTCTCCACAGGGGGAGGAGCTGGCTCCAGAGCAGTGGCTTCGAGGCTTCGAGCCTGGGCTGCTTTAGCAGTGGCGTTTCTCTCTGCTTGCTGAGACAGAGGCTGCAAGGATTCCCTGCAGCAGGATCTGGAGGATGTCCCTGTGCCCCTCCCTTCTTGCTCCTTTCTCCTTCACTGGAATGGGGGCTATATTGATTGATTGATTGCATTTATATACCACCCCAATAGCCCAGAGGGTTACAAACATTAAAACCCCACCAGTCCTAAACAAATAAATAATTTTGTGTGTGCAAAGCTGGCTCAACCCACAGGGAACCGCCTGGGCAGGGAGAAATGGCATATCCTAGAAATAAGGAAGCCAGTGCCCCCCCCCCCCCCCCCGGACCCCGCATCTGCTGGGCAGTTTGTGATATAGGAGCTCTCCGTGGTGCTGAACATAATTCCAGAGGATTCCCCACCGAGAAGCAGCAGAGATGCACCAAGGGTGCTCGGAAGGAAAGTTGTGAGAGATGAGGAGATCCACCTGCAAAGGAGCTGCCACCCTCCCCTGCTGACAGGTGCATTCCCCCCATTGCAGACTTGTGGGGCAGAAGCCCACAGTCCCGCTCACGTGCAGCTAAAGAACGCCCCACCCACAGGAAGGCTGGGGCGTCCAGTGTCTACCATCGCCTCAGTGTGCCAAAGTTCCCCGAGGGTCCCCTTGCGTTCTCGCCCGGAGGAAATGCAACAGGGCTTGAAGCTAAAACACACTGGCAGCGGAGGAAAGTTGCCCCACCCTCTTTTTCCTTGGCCACCCCCCCCCCCCACTTGAATGCGCTTTCCTGGAGTTCTGTTGCTCCAAAGCCAGGCTCAGCCCTGTGTTTGGGCTGGCCCTGGAAGCCTTTCTCAAGAGACACAGAAAATGGTTCTTACCTCGGTCACACAAGTTCCCGCCGTAGCTGGGCAGGCACAGACACACGAAGGTGTTGATCTCATCTATGCAGGTTCCTCCGTTCTGGCAGGGGCTGGACAAGCAGTCATCAATGTCTGTCAAGGGACGGACACGGGGGGGGCTTGAGGGAGAGGGTGCAAGTGGGCCTTTCCCCAGCAGACTCACACTGGACGTGGGCCCCGTAAGATCATGGCTGCTATTGCACTCCACCTGGCAGCCGCTGGCATCTGTGTACCCTCTTTTACAGATGACAGTTCCCTCTGTAAAGTCATTCTCTATTGGAAAGGTTCTCTGGTTTATGTTCCATTTAAAGCAAGGTCCTGAGCTTTCCTACATGAGGCATGCATCTTGTGCTTGCCGTTCCTTGCTCATGTTTGTCTATGGGATCTTTAGACAATGCCGTCTTTGGCTTCTGTTTTATAAGAGCACTTTCCCAGTCACCCCACATCCCACCAAAAACAAAAACAAAAAAAATGGGAGATTGAAAGCGAAAGAAAAATTATTATTCCACTCGTTTAATTGCAATATTCAGCTCTTGCACAGCACCACCTAGGGGGTTATGTAGTGGAAATACTGGGAAGGGAAAGCTTTTGTGTGCTACTCGAGTTGAACTAGGGACTTTCGGCAAAGAAAGTCGGTACTCCACACTGAGCATGCAGCCAGGTGAAGGCCTACAGCTGAATCGCACTGAACAATTCTGGGACATTCTGGTTAAAGAGGCAGCAGCCCGGATTATCGGAGTGTCCTTATACTTGCGGTGGGGGTGGGGAGGGAAAGAAGGTGGGAAGAACGCTCAGCGCTGCTCGGGAACCTTCAGTGCAAGGGTGGGTAACTGCACTTCCGCTGGTAAAGAGTCCAAGGGACGTTGCTTCTTTTGCTGCATGGCGATTTTGGCAGCAGCAGTGGCGAGGGGCATTTGGGGTGCAAAAAGGGGTTGGGGGCACATGCCCGCCCTGGCTTTAATGAGTCATTGAACTTATTTTTCACAATGCAGTTGGCAGTCCTTGAGGGGTGCATGCAAAACCCTTGTGGGGTTGCGCCACATGAGGCAGATTTCCGGGCTGGAACTACGAACCTCTTGTACCACTGTATATTTATTTCAGTTTTGCACCATCCAGGAGCAAGAGGCTGCCTTTTGTCCAGCGAATGGCTGGATGGACACAGGGAAAGAAAGAGGGACAGACTGAGGGGCAGAGAAATGTTCCTTTAACAGCTCAAAATCGAATAGTTGTAGGGTAAGTGAGGAAAGCAGTGTGTGAGGCACAGAATGATTGGGGCTGTGGCTGAACCTTCGGAACAAATCTGAGTTTTGACAAGTGGCAGTCAACCGCATCTGAAGCAAGAGATTAATGCTGCTGCGATCTGGCAGGCCGATGCTCCGCACATGCTCGGCCGTCTGACGGAAGTGCTGGGAATCACAAATCAGGTATTAAACTGTAACGGGCATTACCTCTTTCATGGGGTGAGCAGTCGCAGAAAGATGAGCTGAAGAACCGTCCATTTGAAAGGCAGGTTCTTGAAACTGCAGTGTGCATATTTTTAGGGTGGAAAATTTCTCCTGTCATTTTTAAAACTTGTAAAAATGGCTTTTATTGGACTTAAAGGGGGATTCGAAAATACAGCAGCTTGCAGTCTGTGAGGTGGCTTGGCTCATAGGAGATGTAACCCACGCCGAGGTGCTGGAATGGAATCTTCAGGGCCGGGGCGAGAAAATCCATCAGATTCTCACCCCGTATTGGATCGGTCCCCCCCGCTACTCCTAATGCTGGGATTCAATTCACCTCCTTGCAATTTCCATCTGTCAGTTTTAGGCCTGCCCTCTGGAGCAATAGGGAAGATTTCGACACCATTTTTGACAGTCTCTCTGAGAGTGAAAGACCGATACCGTAGCTCCCCTTAATCTTCTCTCCTTGTGTTTTTCAAGGAGTAATCTGCCATGGGCGCCCCCAGGAAGCCATTTTGGAAACAAATGAAACCTCAAAAGCAATTTGAGACTCTGTCACCATGGGATGGATGACTGCGGTTCAAAAGAGATTGCGGGGGGGGGGGGGGGTTAAAATCCAAGCGAGCGAGCAAGAGTAGTTCCCTGATCGCTCGACAAGGTCCAAAATGAAAGGGACATGCTCTGCTGATGAACTGTGGACAGAGTCAATGTGATTTAGCCAACAATCCAGAAAAGAACTGGGGAACCTTCTCCGACTTGGGGCCTTCCAGATCTCTTGGACTGCCACTTGCAGTCACATCTGGGGGTCCCCAAATTGGGGACGGTGTTGCTTGGAAACCCAGGAGCTGCAAAACATGCACCTGCCCTTTGGCTGCCTGCTTAGCTTGAACTGCTCCTTAAAGGCCAGATCCTGAAGACAAAACTCAAATACTTTGGCCACCTAATGAGAAGGAAGGACTCCCTGGAGAAGAGCCTGATGCTGGGAATGATGGAAGGCCAAACAAGAAGGGGACGGCAGAGGATGAGGTGGCTGGATGGGGTCACTGGGGCAGTCGGCGTGAGCTTGGGTGGACTCCGGGGGATGGTGGAGGGCAGGAGGGCCTGGAGGAGTGTTGTCCGTGGGACGCAATGGGTCGGACACGACTTCGCGACTAACAACAACAATGAATGGTTAATGAGAAGGAAGGACTCCCTGGAGAAGACCCTGATGCTGGGAACAATTGATGGCAAAAGGAGAAGGGGACGGCAACTAACAGCAACAACTAGCTTGAACCCTGAGTTTCAGTGGCTGCTTGGTATTTGCCTCTCTATCCAAGGGTGGCTAAGTGCAGGCCCCAGGATGAAGCTGCAGCAAAGCCAAGGAAGTTTGGTGGGTGCTGGCGTCTCGTACAGATGCCGGTCCTGCTGATACATCCCCACACCACAGTTTGGGCTGTGTGGTGGCAAAGATCAGAAAGAGGGCTGTGGGAGGGGGCAGAACGGAGAGGAGGCCTCAGCTCAGCCGCAGCAGGAAGCTGCAGCCCATCGCTCGTTCCATCTGTGCTGGGAATCTTGACAAAACCAATGTTGGCAAAAGCCATGCTGAGGAGGCAGCCGAGAGAAAGACGGTGCGCTGTGCTGAGAGGCATCTGTGTGTCGGCAGCAGGAACAAAATTCTCTGGGTGAGAATGCAGAACTGCTGAGCGGGCTATGTGGGTGGGTGGGTGGGTGGCAGGACTGGGGGGTGGGGGGGATGACACATTTCAGCGTTGCATTCTGGGAGGTGGCCGTCTCTGACCTGGAAGCATGAGAATTGGGGGACCAAGAACCACGTGCAAAAGTCCTGAGGGACATATCCAGAGCTGCTGAAACGGCCTCTGTTTCTTTCTGTACGTTGTTGACACTTTCCCAGCTTTTGTGCACCCCCCACAAATTCTAAAGCTCCCTTGTCTTCAGTCTTGCCTATTTCCGGGAAGTAGCCCCCAACCTTTTTTCCAAAACGGAGTTCATATCCTGGGCTCAACATCTGCCGGGGTGGAGGGGGGATGGAGCAACGGTCTCTTTTGGCTCAAAGCAATAAGACACACGATACGCTTTGGGAAGGTTTTGATGTTGCTTAAGCAAAAAGGTGAATGAAATGTTATATGAGTGAATAAAACCACAGGAAGGGAAGGGGGCAACTGTTCTGCCTCTCTCTCGATACCAGGAGCCCACGGTGCTTGTCTGCTCTGGCTTTGGAAGGATGGAGCCTTTGAAGGCTGTGTCACCTTGCAATGTAGGCATTTTTTGGCTCCATTCAGACACACCTCTCCTGTCCATGGCCTCAGACCTGCGGCTGCACTTTTCCTTCCCCGCTCCCTCTCTGCTTTTCTCTTATCTCCGTCCACCTTCCTGCCTTCCTTTCAGATTCTCTTCAGCTATTCCAAGGACTCCTTGCCTTCTCTTTCTACACCCTTCCCATTTCTCTGTTTCTCTGCAGCGAGGGGTCATTTCTCAGCAGCTTGTTCCGACCAGAGTCAGGAGCGACCATAACCCACCCACTCACCCGAGCTGCATGAGTTCGGGATGCTGCTCTCCCCTGCCCCCTCACCTATTTCGCAGTTCTCTCCTGTGAAGCCTCGTGGACAATTGCAGCTGGAAATGCTCCCATTGGATTGACAGGTCCCTCCATGTAGGCACGGATCGTTATCACAAGGGTCCTCCTCAGCTGGCGGACAGAAAAGGGGGAAAGAAAGAGAGAGGGTAACATCAGATGGCTCTTGCTTTTGGCCACCAATTCTGTGTCCAGGTGGTCCAGGTTTCTGTCCATAGAAATCATGCACTTTGAAAATATTTGCCTAATTGTATTTTGCCTAATTCACTCTAATTATGCTGGTCATGGCAGGGGTTGAGCTCAAAGACTCCCGTATCCCCCCCCAAGTCATACTGAGCCACTTCTCTGGGTTTTGAATTTTCAGCAGGCATCGTCCATGCACCTCCATGAGGACTAGGGACTTGCTCTTTTGAAACACAAGAAAAGCTGCGACTTGAAAGTCTGGGGGCCAGTGTAAATTCTGTCCTTCTGCTTTCCTCATGGTTTAGGGGCACACAGACATGTCTCCCCTCCCTTTCATCGCCCACGGGAAGTTTTAACTGGTGTGGCCTTTTAAATCATCTGCGTATAATTGCCATTCTAATGGCACCATTTGAACCACTTAATTGCATTTGATTCTTTTACGTCAGCTGCCTGGCAGTGAGATTGAAAGCAGGGTAGAAATTTAAGTAAGTAAATAAATCTGTGGTTGCACGGGCCAATTGATATTCTCCCGGCGTCCGCTTTTCCTTTTGGCTGTCATACAGCTGAGGCTGCTTGGGGATGGAAGAAGGATTCTTCCCTCATATAATTAGCAACGGCGCTCTTTACAGCAGCCTCTGGGGAAGCACGCCACCCCTCCCCTGCCTGGCGGCCTGCAAGAGAGGGACCAGAGCAACCGAAGCATCGTTACCCACTGCCTGAAGTGAGGGGGGATTCAGCTTTATCTCTGACTGAGGGGGGATTCAGCTTTATCTCCGACGGAGCTCCCCACAAGCTTGTCCTTGCAGTGCAAGAGATTCAAACCCCTGGCATGACGGCCATCTCCGCACATCGACACACGGTTGTGTACTGAGCCAGTTAAGTGATCCTTCCTGTCCACTATTCTGTGCTCTCATGGCTAGCATGCCAGGGCTTTCCCATGCTCCCCCTGGGCCTTTTAAGGGGACAGCCTAGGCCCTAACTCCAGCCTGCAAATCCAGATGTGTACCACTGAGTACAAAAGGATTAAGCAAGATCCCAGTCCACATGGTTCTAACTAAAGGGTGGTTTAAATAGGAAGCAAGTCTTTAGTCCCGGTGAGAATCTTCCCCCATCTTCTAGCACACTAGTGTTGGACTGAGGAGATCCAGGAACGATCCCTGCACAGCCATGCAGCCCACTGGATGAGTTTGGGCACTCCCTGACTCTCAGCCTTGCCTACCTCACAGGGCTGTTATTAGGAGAAAATGAAGCGGAGGAGGAGGATTGCGAAAGCTGCTTTGGCGTCTTCACAAGAAAAAGGGGTGGGGTATAAATATAAGAAACAAAGAAATAGTTCTGAAATCACAGATATTTGGCTTACACTTCCCATCCTCCCTTAGCATTGGCTTTGCTGGCCAGGTCTGACGGGACTTGCAGTCCTACATATCTGCAGAGCGCCAGGCTGTTATCTACTCGGTTCAGTATCCCTGTCCTTTTATCTTGTGCCATCAACCAGGTCCTCATGAAGGAGAAACGTCGCTCTGAAACAAGACTATGCTTGGTTCCTGCACCATGAAAATCCACCGCAGCCTTTGTGGAGAGAAATCAAGCTGTGGAGAGGTCTGTGGTGTCGCATTCCAAGAGCTGTGCACACACCTAGAACACACTCCCCGATCTGGATTACACCCTCCAAGCTGCTGGCGGGGGGCTCGCAGGGACCTATCGGGGAGGAGACGGAGGCTCCCAGCCCATGAACACGGCATATCTTCTGGAGCCTCTTCCCCTTGCCTTGCTGAACAGCTTCACTGGAGCTTCGGAGGGAGCAGCTGGTGGGTCTGGCCAGCTGGAATCCACCCCCTTCCCCATACGGCTGTTGAACCCGGGCCCAAGGGCCGAATTCCATTCAGAGAATGGAAGGGGAGCCAATGTGGAGGTGGAGGGGTATGAAGTCAGCATATTTTGACTGAAAGGTCTTCCTGCCAGTGAAGATGTCAGGGAATCCTGATGGGCTGATTGTCCCTTGGGCCAGACAAGCCGAGCACAAGGGCCCAAGAGACAATCGTCCCCACCCCTGTCTTAAAGGACTTGGAGCTGGGAACCCACTCGGTGCTACAGGTCTAAATTCAGCTAAATTCAGAGAGCAGGCCCGGCTTCCTGTTTGATGCAACCTGGGCAAGGAGGGGAATCCTGAGACTGAGCATTTCCCTTCTTTTCCTGCCCCTCCGGGCCAGCCCTCCTCCACGGTCTTGGAAGGTCTGGGATCCCCCATCTCCCTGTCTGCGTGCTCACTAGCATGCACACTCATCGCCGGAGGAGAGCGCCAGGCTGTTGAATATTAACTAGGTTGGTTTTCTTGCCTTGATATTTTTGCTTTTCCCCCTTTAAAGGGAAAGTCTGTTTGCTCACTTCTTCTGTTCCCAGGCGCTTCAAAGGCACCTCGGTGTGATCCATTCCTGCAAAGAGCACCGATGGGGTGATTACAACGAGCAAGGGGAATGATAAATATTAAACTAGACGTTTCCCAAATGTAGCAGAGAGCCTTGGGGAGCAGGCTGAGAAGAGAAATCAAAGCAAGAATTATCATTATGAGAGACAGAGAGAGAGGGACAGAGAGAGTTTTTCTACACTAAGATGCTAGTATGTTGTAGCAGAATTGCAATCTGAGAGAGATCCAACATGGCTTCCTTTCTGGCTTTTCCACCACACAACCTCTAGGTGGCGCTTGTGGCTAAGCAAGTGGGGAAAGCGTTTTCGTTCACCTTGAGAAATAATACCGCATTTCCCCTGCTCTAAAAATAGTTGTGAAAAGTGCTGTTTTAAAATAAGCGGAACAGAAGGGTGGTGATATCACTAAAAGAGAAGTCTGGATTTCCATTCTGTGACACAAGTGAAAGCAGATTAAAAGCTTTGCATAGAAAAACCTGTACTCCAAATCCTTCCCCTGCTCTCACCTTGTTTTCTTAATACTTATTTAATTATATTCCACATTGCTAGTCCTACAGGGCTCTCTAAGCAGATTACAGCAAAAAAAATATATATAGCAATGGAGACTGAATAAAAGCGCAATATAGAAAGCAAATAATAAACCACAAAGGAAAGATATACAAAAGCACGCATGTTTCTCTCAGCTACCAGTCCTTGGGTAGCTGAGAGCTCCCCAGCTCTTGTCCTTTCCCTCTTCCTTGCTAAGAGGTTGAAATGCCTCTGCTACGGGTTAAATACCTGGCCATGAAAGCTTGCAATGAAAAGACACTTCTAGCCCTGGCCATCACTAGAATGTGGCCTCAGAGAGATTTTCCAGAATGGAATCCGGTCCTTGGGCTGGAAGAGGTTCTTCGCACCTGGTATACAGGTGCACCAGTACCCAGGGGGCTTTGGGATGGCGTGCCATAAGCACCTGAGGGGCCAAGAGGTGCTGAAGGTTGTTGTTATTATTATTATTATTATTATTATTACTACTACTACTACTACTATTATTATAACATTTCTATGCCGCCCCTTGCCGAAGCCTCGGGGCGGCTTACAACACAATAAAATACATTGAAATACAATAGAACATAATAAATTACCACTAAATACAAAAAATACACTGAGATACAAACATAATAATATAAAATTAAAATTAACAGTATAAAATAAGTAAATAAAGAATATAGGAGGAGAAAAGAGAAGGAAGAAGAAGTTGCCCTGGCCAGATCATATATTTTAACAATTAAGATGATGTTTAAATAAAAAGGTCTTTACCTGGCACCGAAAAACGAGTAATGACGGTGCCAGGCGGACCTCTTTGGGGAGTGAATTCCCATTTGGTCTACAAATGTTCCAAAGGCCCCCCCCCCCCATCCCAAGAACCGGGTGCCTACCGAGCAAGCTGGCGTTGGCTTCCTCCATCCATGCCAGGCCATCGCCCCCTCCGACTGCCAGCACCTCTCCTTTCTCCTCTCCACTCCCGCTGTCGGTCTCCATGGGGAGAGGCCCCCTTGCAGCAGTGGGGAGGTGCCCTCTGTCATCCTGCTGGGCACCCTCGCTGGGCGGGAAGGAGGGCCCGGTGCTCGGCATGGGAAGCCAGATTCCAGACTCGACAGGTTGTGGCTGCAGGTGTGCTGAATCCAACGTGCTCTGGGAGGGCGAAAGAGAGACCTGTTCCTGCCACCTCCACGGCTCCGCTTCTGTCTTGGCCTTGGCCAGGAACGGCCACGGAGGGGTTGCCGGACCAGCTGTGCTGTAGGTGGGGGGCCAAGGTGTGCCCCTGTCTTCCCAGGGGCCACCTCCCACTGTGCTGCTGGCTTCAGGGAGTGTGGTCTCCCCACGGTGACGCTGGGAGACCCCGTGGCCCTCTGTAGTCCGAGTGGCCACCTCCCAGACGCCCTGTGGCTCCAGGGGGTCCCCGAGCTTGGTTGGCATGGATTCGCCCGTGGGTGCCACATCTGGCTTTTCCTCGGGCCCGGCTGTGCCATGGCCTGCCCCGCCACCGTGCCTGCCACCGATTGGCAGCCGGGGGTCATCCTCTCCGGACTGGAGCTGAGCTGCCTGTGGGTGCAAGGCACCGACTGTCGAGGACAGCAGTTCCTTGGGGGCGAGGGTGACCGGTCCATGGTCCCTCAGCTCAGCCCACCGTTCCGGGACAGCGTCTTCCTCAGCCACACCGCGGATGCTTGTCGCCCCCTCCTGCTCCGTGAAATGCAGAACGTGGCGCTCTCTCTGTCGCGGAGTGGCCTCTGGCAGGTGGGGCTCGGCCTCCAGACGAAGCCCTGGGGGGGCCTGCACGAAGCTCACAGCCTCAGCCTGGCTCTCCCGAAAGCGGCTTTCGGGTTCCCCGCTGGCCTCGTCGGCACGAAGCTCCCGCAGGACTGCCGGAGTCATGTCCCCGTTGCCCGAGAAGCCCTCCCCGCTCTCGGTGGTCTGGGGATGGTCACCTCGGACATCAGTCCCTCCGGGAGCGGCTTCTAGGCCTCCCGCTGTTGTCACGGCAACCCCGGGAGACCGAGGCAGCCCGTTCATCGTGGGAAATAAGGAAGCCCCTGGATGCTCGGCAGGGGTGGTCCTCTCCGGGCTGTCCGGTGTGGACGGGATGTGCCGGATGGGGCTGGCTTGCTTAGCAGTCGTGTCTTTCCAAGGCTGGGAAGGAGTTAGCATGATCTCTTGCTGGTCTCGATGCTCAAGTGCGGACAACCCTGCGAGGAAAGGCAGTGAGTTAATGGGCACTCTGGCATATCACACAGACAGTTTTGATCGGAACATGTTTGAAGGGTCTTGTGGAGCTGGAAGGGGTACAGAAAGTGACAGTCCAGATGATCGAGGGCTGAAGCGAGTTCCTTATTGGGTATGCTTTCTAGGTGAGAAAAAAGGTCTACTAGGAGATATGCAAAGCCATGCTTGCTAGAGAGAAAGTGGGGAGAGAGACCTTGTTTTCCCTCTAATACTAGAAACCACCCCTCGAAGCTGGTTGGGGGGAGATTCAGGACAGATCCAAAGAAGGATCTTCTAATGTGGCGCAGAGCTGAACTACGGAACTCACTGCCACAAGATGTCTGAGGGGACAGGATGCATTGATGAAGCAGCAGGTGCTCTGTGGCTGCTAGTCCTGATGGACTTCCATCATCTCCATTTTTGTTTTCATATACCACCCCCTTCCCATAGGCTCTGAGTAGTGTACAAGAGATTAAAACCAACAATAATTTAAATTTAGACAAAGAAACCCCAAGCATATTAAAGAAAGCTAATTTGGGAAGGCCTGTTATTTATTTTATTTAATGGACTTTTATTCTGCATCACTAGGCAGAAGGGCTCCCTGAATGGGTTACAAGATTAAGACGTACATCTTTAACTCCCACTTGAAGGTAGCAGTCTGGAATATCTGATGTATCTCTCCTGGCAGGACATTCTGGGGTTTTGGGGCAAGCACTGAGAAGACCCTGCTTCCCATGGGCTGGCCACTGTGTGAACTGAACACTGATCTAATTGGACCGCGTTCTGGCCTAGCAGGAATTTATATCCTCATGGCATTAGACAGTCACAGAGGACTGGGGGAAACCCAGGTTTAAGTTCCCAATCAGCCACACAGCTTATTGGACCAGTCATGACTTTTTCAGACTGGGCAACCTTGCAGGGTTGTTGCAAGCAGTAAGAGAACTATAGAGGAAGGTCACAACTGACTACAAATGCGTGAATATGAGAACACTGGCTAATGTCACAGTGGTTCCTGAAGCCCGTGTGATGTAGGGTAGGGGAGTGAAAAACTGAAAAACAGCGCACTTGACTTTTCTTTTAATTTTCTTAATTAAACAACCCACTAGAGAATAATAAAACAACAATAAAGTAATAATTAAACCTCATCTTCTTTTGTCAAGTGCACCCTGCAGTTCTCCAGGAGAAATCCAAAAGCGAATTTCATTTTGCAGGCAGCTATGATTTTAAAGGAATTCAACTCTACCTGCATCCCTTTCCTACAGAACTGGGGCATGTGCATGCCCCAACACAAAGATTTAGGGTCAGATCCAGTGTCCTCGGTGCACAATGCACATAAGCCTTTCAACCCTTAAAAAACAAAAATACCTCACATCCACTGCTGTTTCCCATTAAATTCTCTTTAGTCCCTGCTCCTGCAGTCCAGTTCTCTGGCTGTTCATAAGCGCTGCAGCCACATAGATAAATAAATATTAAAAAATAAAAGCAGGAGAGTGAGGGCAAGCCAGCGCGCCAAAGGGATGGCCTCGACAGAGCATGGCAGGGGGCATCTTGGACTGGTTGCCACAGCAACCGCCTCTTTGTTAGCAGGAGTTCTGTGCTGCTGGGGACGTTTGACCTGTGTGCATGCACATGCGTGTGTGAATAGCCTGAAAGGTCCAGAAAGAAACAAACTTGGGAGCCAAGGAGTTGGATGGGAAAGCGATGCCAGTGGGTACCACAGTAGTAGTTTCCATGGCGATCAGAAATCCGACCCTCCATTGGCTGCCAGCCTGGAAGAAGAAGGGGAAAGCGATGCGGGAAGATACGCGATGGAGTGAAATGACAGCCACCGGGAACACACAGAGAAGCCACAGACACCATTGGAATCCCTTTTAGTAGCTTTGCTCAGGTCAAGCCGAACTTTTATTGCTTCAGGCCAAGAGCCAATGCCCGCTCCCCGCTTTCCTTTCTTGTGCAATCCTGAATCTCCCCATTAAAGTCCAACAGCGTAACCACCAAGCTGCCTTTGGCCAGTTCCTTGCTCTGGTATTGTCAGCTCATCTTAATAAGCTACAGACTTCGCAATTCAGGCAGAAGGCCAGGGGGGTGGCACACCACCCCTTCCGTACATGAGAGAGAAGCGCTGAGGGCCAGACCGCCTTGCGGGATAGTTGGCACTCTGTTTTTGCCACCCTGATCCTGCAAAATTTTTCTCCCACCCAGCAGGGAGCTGCTAAGGCTAAGCTGGTTTTTTGTAATTCCAGCTGGTTTTTTGTAATTGCAAAGTTGGTTTTTCGTAATTCCAGCACAGCCCTCCGGCAATGCCTTGCCGAACTCCATGCGCAGTGCTAAGTGTTGAAATTATGCATATTTGCAAAATAACAGCATCTCTTTGCTAATTGGCATTAAAAATGGCCACTCCTCCCCCTCCGCCTGGAGTTCTGATGGCAGAGGCGACCTGCCGAGTTTGGGATGGGGTGGGGGGTGAGGAGGACAGAGGAAAGATTAGGGTGCCTCAGCAGCCTGAGGGCAGAGGGAGATGCAGTGGAAAAAAGGGGAATCTCTGCTATTATGGGATGCACATTGGAAGGCTAATAGAAATCTAGTCCTTTCTTCCATTTAAACACTAAGTCTTCGTAAGCACATTTGAATTGCCTTCCTGAAATATTTACAGGAAATATATGCAACCAGATTCGGGGTAGCCCAGCTCTGCCTTCACAACAACCCTGCAAAGTACAGCAAGCTATGAGAAGGGGCACTGCTTGGAGCACAATGGGCAGTTGATTTATGGGTTCTTGCTGAAAAGTGGGTTAGCGTATTGTCTGAACGCAGCTGTGCTAACAAGCCGTTGCTTGTTCATCACAAGCAACCCACAGGTTGTTGTTGAGTTGTGAACTCTGAGTTGTTCGCCATGGTTTGTTAAGTTGGCTGGGCTTAGACCCCACCCCTCGCAACCTCTCTGCACTTCTGTTCTAAGAGTCACTCAGAACAAGGCAGGAGTAGACATCACACCAAAGTGAACGTTGTGATCCCAGCTGGTGCTGGCGCCCAGCATAGTTGGGCAGATGCCAGGGTACCACAAGGTCCGACCACAGAAGTGCACTGTCCTTTGCCTGGCTTTGTTTTCCTCTTCGGCCCCAGGCTCTGAGCACCACAGGGCAATTCCATCAAGACACCAATGACATTTCCCACTGTGGCAGCGCCACTCCAAGGCACGGGGTGATATTTCAGTGGCAGACAACTTGTGCAGTTCTGGACACAACACAACTTTGCCTGCCACCAGGTAAGCCCACAACTCTATTGCCCGGGGTGAAATGCCCCACACATACAGTGAAATAACACAGTCTCCCCACACTGACTTACGGTTCCCTTCCACTTCGTTAGAGAGCGTGTAGCTCACTCCGCCTCCCTGGGCAGATGCGGGGCTCGGATCCATCCTAGCAGAGGCCTCGATGGAATTGTCCGCCATCTTGTGCGCCGCCAAAGCCAAGGCAGGCAGGGCCACTGGCGAGGTTGGGCTTGGGATCGCTTCTGCACCTCCGCCCAGCTCTTCCTCTCTCCACTGCTGGAAATAGCGCCCGTTCAAACCCATGTAAACGCTCTTGCGGGACGATCTGGGGGTTCCAGCCAACGGGGGGGTGGGCACGGTGGAAGGAGGGTGAGTCAGGTCAAGGACTAAGCTGCTTGTGGCAGGATGTCCCTTCGGGATGGGGGTCTGAGAAGGCTGTGGGGGGGCGGGTGGCACGGTCTCTTCGAGGCCCAACCTACGGTGAGGGGTCCCAGGTGGCCAGGTCACAGCATGGGTGATCCCCTGGTCATCTTCAAAGTCCCCTGCAAGGGGGAGCAGGCCGAGCGTCTGGCCAGCCATGGGCAACTCTTCGGTGATGTTGACTTTGGCAGCGCCTGTAGCCTTTGGCTCCCCTGGGGGGTTCTGGTCAACCATCTGCAGCCTCAGTTCCTCATCTGGGGTGCTGAGAACGGAGACGCTGGGTGCTTCCGGAGAGGCGCCGTTCTCTCCGCCGGCCGAAAGGGGCCCTTGGGGGATGGCCGTCTGCTCCGCCCACATTTCTGTCACCAGCTGGAGTTGCTCATCCTCTTCCAGCAGTGGCACGGAAGGCTTGTGCAAGGGGCTGTACGGGTCCCGGGAGAACTCCTTGGAGTCCCCCGACATGACCGACTCGTCGGCCTCCTTGGGGAGGTGCTCCTTCTGAGTCAGCAAGGGCAGCTCAGACTCGTGCTCCACCAAGACGTTCTCGATCCCCGAATCGTGGCTTCCCTCTGGGAACAGGTCCGTGGGCTCGTGGACCACCCGGGTAGGGCCTTCCCCTGACATCACGCCACCTTCTTTCTTGGCTGTAACGAGAAGAGGAGAGAGATTTGCAGCCCAGGGGCTTCACCACAGAGCCTGTGAAATAACTCCCTGTCAGGATTTGTCAACATTTCTGGAATGGGAGCAAGATTGGGGCTGCCTGGGTCAAACTTTCCAGCACCTGAGGGGTTCAGGAAATAATTGCTTTTCTGGATCCGACTGAGCTGCTATCCAAGCTGAGCTCCATCCACGATAACAAGCCCAAGTTTGATGGATCACCAGTCTGGGACCATGCAAGGTAGCTTCCTACACTTCTAGTTTAATCAACCCTTTATTCAGACTCATGAGGACTAGAACCTTACACCCTTTTTGCTTCCCAGCAGGCTGTAGAGACACCAGTGAGTGGGCGTGGGGGGGGTGCAGGGCCATTTCATCATTGCTGCTGAAGGTCCCTTTAATTTTCCTCTCTGCTCTCGCTTCCCTTGAAAGCAACAACAGCTTTTTCTTTCACTAATGCTGCTTTAGGAGCCCTTTTGGCCAAAAGTGGAATGAAAATTATCTCAATTAAATAATAACCATAAATGCCAACACGTATTCACTGTGAGATCTTCATGCCTGTTGCTAAGGCTTTGGAAAAGCATGTTAATTGCTTAGAATGTAGGCAGAGAACTGCACAAAAGCCAGGAAATGAGCCAATTAGTGTTGCGGAAAAAGGGACAAGGACTTCTTCCAGTCCTGCGTTTGGCCCCAGATCTGCGGTTATGTGCCACTGATGTAGCCCAGGCCCTTGGGCAAAGTAGGGCCCTTGGCAGGCTTGACACCTGTTTTTAACGTGGGGGTGGAATTTGTGAGCCTCAATTTACACCTGTGCAGGTGTCAGCAGGGGCAACACCTGTGACTTAATATGCAACACCTGCACTCAACCACGGGGTTACTGACACTCCCATAACACCTTCCCACCGTCCTTCCCATGATCCTCAGCCAGTCTTGGCTCTCTGCAGCTTTTTTTCTGGTTTAGATGCCCCACCTCCCCCAAAGATGGCAAAAGTAGTTGTGATTGCAGTGGGGAAGGGAAGACAGGTCTTGCTCCTGCCTCGGTTTTCTGCCGGGAGAAGCCAGGGAGAAGGAGAGAATGAACAGCCTGCGATGAGATAGGGCGGGGAATAAGGCGAAGTGACCCTTCCTGGTGCCGTTTAAGCATCTTCAGCAGAAGCAAAGATGCTTCTGTCCCTGAGATTATGATACTTCTCCCTTTAAATTAGGATTGGCAAACACTTCTGTCTCACACACCCATCAGAAATGGAGGAGCAGTTGGAACGGTGGCTGGTGAGGGGCAGAGAAGAGAGAGAGCTTAAGCTGTGCAGTTCAAAAGCAAAGTAAAACAGCTGGCCAGCTGAGGTCTCTCCAGTCTAAAATCAAGACCAGGGCCCAGTATTACATGGGAATGTCACTGCCTGCTTTCTCCTGGGTCGACAGGCCTTCAACAGCTTGCTACAGTTTCCCCACTGCTTCCGGATCTGGAAGTTGGACTTCAGCAGCCAGCTCGTGTTAAAAGAGGCGGCCTTTGCAAGAGAGGACTGTTTTCTGCAAAATAGGACATGCAGACCCCCACCCCCCAACAAAGGCAGGGAGCCAGCAATTTTCCTTTAGCAATGCCCTGCAAGAACTCTCCCGCCCCGACCCTCCTCCACCATCTCCTCTCAAGGTGCTGTGATTTAAGGGGATTTAATCAGTCTGGGTGCTCTGAGCTGCAACCCGCCAGTGGCCTGGGATTCAATTTTCCTCCTGTCAGGCAAAGCGGCTAGAGCATCCTTTACGAACATCAGGTAATTTATGAAGCTGTTGCCGGTGCAAAAGAGTAAGCAGCCACGTTGCAAGCTCACTTCCTTTTAATAATACAAAGTGTCTGTACTCGAGTACCACTTGTACAACAGGGACCTGGCTGAGCCTGGGCCAGATTGTGAGCAGAGAGACAGTCATAAATCCCAGTTTTTATGTTTGCAAACTCTCTTCTTGGCTGTTATCCCAATGAATTATTTGGGGTGGATGAAAGGCAGTGCATACACTCTGTGGGATTCGAAAGCACTCCCATTAAGCAGGGCAAAAAGCCATCCTGTTCTTTGGAGTGCTGTGACTTTAAAATGCTATCGTTTCATTAAAAAACACCAGCCCAAAAACAAAAAATAGCAGGTAAGGAAAACCATGAACATCTTGCATTCCTATTTTAATTGGCCCTTGATTCAGAAGCATGAGGACTAGGATCTGAAAATGTGAAAACTTAAGGACAAAATGAAAGGAAAAATGCATTTGCCCCTTGTGGATTGGGCAGAAGGTTTTGTGCATTGGGACAAGCAAAAATCTGCACAATTGTGAATGGATCCACGAAATGCAGATGGAATAGACTGAACACAATCTACATGCCCCTAGCAAGGGGGAGTCCCCAAATAGGCTGCCAAAATCTCTGCTTGGAGACAGAAAAGCCCTTCATCCCCTCAGGTTTTGGTCACGGTGACCCCTTTTCAAATTGTCCAGCGTTTGCTTCGATGAATTGCTAATACACGATTCTTTGGATTCTTTTGTCAGGTTTACATCTAGGGAAAGTTCTGGATTTATTGGATCTAGGATACCATTGCTTATTTGGTGGGCTCCTGGCTTTAGTAGTTTCCCACACCACCTTCTAAAGGTTGAAATGCTTCTCCAAAGGATTATTCAGTAGCAGCAGCTGCTTTAAGCTAAAATATATCAGTGCAGCTGGTCTTTTGCTCCTGCCTCTTGTTCCCTTCACTCCACCAGAATACCCTGAGAGCTCCCCGCAAGTGGCCTTTGGCCCTTTGGCCAAAAGCGCATCTTCTTCATGTCACGGTTCAAAATAAAACTCCAAATTAGCCTTGCTGGGCTGGAGTAAATTCTGTTCAGCCTGGTTTCCTGCTTCCAATGAGGGTCAGCCTGGATGCCTCTGAGAAACCAGTGCTGGGTTCTGCCAAAATAGCAAGCCACATTCAAGGGCTGGGAATCGTTGGGAGAAAATGAAAGCAGGGAAAGGGATCTGTTCCGCATTGTAACACCTCCACCCCCAAAATTTCAAATGTGGAAATCCAGGGAGAAGTTCAAGTTTGAGCAATGCTTTTAAGAACCAGACCTGTCCTTCTGATTCCCTCCCAGAAAATCCCAGTCTCCCTGATAACATGGCTCCAAAGACACAGGAACCGGGGTGGGGGGGGGTGTCAGTTTGTGTGCCCATTCCCGAGTGGCTGGGAGGTTTTCCTAACCTTTGTAGCAGTAGGCATCAAACTTCGACGCTGGATCTGGGAAGCCTGTTCGGTTCGGAAACTGATAGGCAGTCCTCACCCCAGGCTCCTCTCCCCCACACTTCTTCCGAGGGTTTTGGATTGGGTATCGTACGCTTCCATCGGCAAGCCAGCCCGGGTCGCACTGGTCCAGCCCTTCCCTCCAGGCAAGGTGCAGCTGTCCCGTCGTGGCCAGCTGGGCCCCACGACTCAAGCAGTACTTCTGGGCCATGGAAAACGTCAGCCGGCCCGGGCTGGAGGCATAGAATACTTTTCCTAAAAGAAGAAAGAATGTCATAACCTTCACCGGTGTTCACACACGCAAGCCCTTCCCACTGCTTTGGGGCTGCTTTTGCTCTTCATCATTTGCTTGGTGCTTTTACAACAGGGTGTTGAACCTTTTCCACCCAAGGACCAGATTGCATTTGGGAGGTACTCTCGGGGGCCGCATGCTCAGGGCCAAAGCAAAAGGGGTCCCTGGGAAATCCAAAACACAAATGCTGCATCACCTTGCTCCTATTTTCTCCTGCAACTTGTTGTGCTCAGAAGTTGTCTCCAGTCCCAGAGACAGAAGAGAGTTATTATGACTTTTAGCCATTGAAAGTGTTTTGCAACATACCTCTGTTGAAGCTCCAAACTATACAGAAAAGGGTTGTTGAAATTTTCTACCAGGTAGGTTGGAGCACTGAACTATGCAGAAAAAGGTTGTTGACATTTTCTATTAGGTAGGCTGAAGCAAAAAACTATGCAGAAAATTGTTGAAATTTCCTACCAGGTAGGTTGGAGCACCAAACTATGCAGAAAAAGGTTGTTGACATTTTCTACTAGGTAGGCTGAAGCAACAAACTATGCAGAAAAGTTCAACTATGTTGAAATTTCCTACTACGCAGGTCAGAAAAAGCTACTTTCAGAAGTGGTGGGCCTCTTTTCGAAATGTTCTTGCTTCTCCCAAAATGTTCCGCCTGTCTCAACTGCCAGGCTTCATTGAGCTTCAAAGAGGCATCCTTCTATCTCCAGGGCTGCCACATTTGACAAATCATCATTACTTAAGCAACAAAGCCAAAGCAAGATAAGTTACCCTTTGTTTGGCGGTTCCTTTTCTCCAGACAGAGAGGAGAGAAGTGCCCAAGCATGGCCGATTTATCAAAGCGATGTCTCCTTGTGATTTCTCCCTCTGGGCTCTTGAGAGAAACTAAGAAGTGGGCTTGAGAGTGTTTTGATGATGATTTTCATTTCATTACAAAAGCTTTCTGAGAACTGCGGAGAAGCCATTTCAAACAATTGGGAATGAAGAGAAAAGGAAAGGCAACGATCCTTCGTCACCGTGTGAGTGTGTGCACACGTGCATTCGTGTATGGCTGGCAGGCAAGGATCTGGCATCTCATGATCCAAACGCTCAACATCAAAGGCAATGCCAAAATTGCATGGCTGGGTTCCATGTAGGACCCATAGAAGGCTTTGACTGGTTCCAGTGGGAAAATGAAACTATCCACAAAAGCTGCATTGAACTGAGCAGAGCAAAACTCCTCTCAGTTTTTCTCTCAAAACTTCTCTTATGCCGGGGAAGAGAATTAAGAGCTGGTTTGTTTAGAACTGAATTCAATTTGGTTCTGGGGCTCACAATCCGTAGTTGTTTTGCTTAATAGAAGATGGTGTTTCTTTTAGCAATAAGCGGCTGCATTTAAAAAACAACAAACTGGTCAATAGGGCCAACTCCAGGACTTAGAGGGCCTTTGGACAATCTTCTTAAGCACCGAATGCCATGGCGGCCCTTGAATTAAAGCCCTCCAACCTGTACTACCCATGACAGCTCTGCTCAACGCTTGTAAATCCTGGTTGGACTCCTTATTGTACATGAGCAGGGCAGAGTATTTGTGCTCTGGTGTACTAAACCGGATTGCAATTGGTTGAAGGGAACCTGAGCCATTTTTAAAAAGAGCAATTGGCTCCCACTGAAGCCAGCTGGGTGGAACAGACCTGGTTTGGGGGCCAGGAGCGTGGCCCACGCCATCTTCCGCAGGGTCAGAGCTGGGACTGCTGAGCTTTCCACACTGCCTGGGAAGGGCTAGGGGATTTGGGGCTGTTGATCTGATGATTGTGCTTCCCGCACTTTTGCAAGCCTTGACAATTTTGCAAGCTTTCAATTTGCTGTTACTCTCTATTGGGCACAGCTTTGCAATATCCATGAACGCCCTCTCGTGCGGATCCTCCAATCAGGACCGGAGGAATTCATGTCTACTGAGCTCAGAGAAGGTTTATAATCAGGAAAAAGGACTCGACGCCTTCTGTTCATCCATCAGCACCTAGCATCAACGGACCACAAACACCTCACATGCATATTACGAGAACCTTTCGGCTGCCCACCACAGAATCATTTTGTTTTTGAAATAATCTATTTCAATAAATTTAAATTTGGGAGGCGCCAGCAGTAACATCTCCTGCCAGTAAGTGGCAGACTTTCCCATCCCGCCCCAAGTTTTATACTCCCTGCAGTGTGAAGGCAGGGGCTGAGGAGCACAATTATCTTGTTCTTATAGTCGTTTACTGTTGTATTTATTGTTTGCTTATATTGTTAGCCATCCTGAGACAACTGGATTGTACAGGATGGGATAAAAATATTGTAAATAAATAAATAAAATAAATAAATTACAGATCTGTCCCTCTGCCAACCCTGCAGAGCAGTCCACCAGGGGAATGAAGTGGACAGACCCCTGCCATGGGGAAATGAGAGTAAACCATCCCGGGGGGATGTACCTTGTGGTGCAAATGGGCAAAGGGCTCTCTCAGGATGCAGCCAACAGGGACAGGGAGTCATTTTACCTGGGGGCTTTGCTGTATCAAAGAATTATTGTTAATTTATATGTGGAATTATATTTATAACGTTTGTATTTACATCCCGCCTGGTTTCCTTTCCAGGTACTCAAGGTGGGTTTCCATAATTCTCCTCCTGCTCTCCATCATGCCCTCACAACAACAACCCTGTGAGGTGGGCTGGGCCAAGAGTCTATGACTGGCCCAAAATCACCCAGTCAGCTCCATGGCTGAGTGGGGACTCGAACCCGTGTCTCCCAAGTCCTAGCACCACTCTTAGCTTTAAGTCTTGGATTTAAATACGTGCATGCAGTAAATCATGGGTCCTCAGACTACAGCTCATGGGCTGGATCCGGCCCGCCATGCCCACTTATCTGGACCCGCTCAGAGGTTTTGGATTTGCTCAGAGAAAATGATCTCCGAGCAAGTCTGAAAGCCCTGAGTGGGTGCAGGCATTCTATAAAACTGAGCAGAGAGAGCGCCGGTGCACAAGCCAGATTGCAACGGCAGCAAATTGCCGGCTCCCCCCACCCCCCTTTGCAAGCATATACAGAGAGGGAAAACGGAGCAGGAAACAGAAGAGAGGTGAGCAGAAGAGAAAGAGAGACGAAGACGAAGAAACTGAAAAAGGACTGAAGGTAAGAAAAATACCATTTTAAAATCTATGTTTAATTATGCAAGCCTGGGGGTGGCCAGGACACACGGCCTTTTCCGAGGGAGCAAGCTGCTGCTGCCCCCCCCCCCCCCCCCCAGAAGGCTCTGCCCTTCTCGCCTCTCAGCCTCCATTCTCTTGATTCAACCCTGCGAGGCTACACTTTTCCTGAGCCGGGCCTCATCATGGATGGCCCCGGGGCAGTTTTCCTCCCACCAGCCATGCAGGGCCAGGGCTGGCGAATGGAAGGCACCTTTTTAATTTTTAAAACGTTAATTAATTTTTAAATTAATTTTAATTTAAATTAATTTTTAAATTAATTTTAATTTAAATTAATTTTTAAATTAATTTTAATTTAAATTAATTTTTAATGTGCAGTCTCCCCCCCCCCCCCGCAACAGTCTGAGAGACAGTGAACTGGCCCCCTGTTGAAAAAGTTTGAGGACCCCTGCAGTAAATGTTATCTCCAGAATCCTTGGGGACTCACCTCGGAGCTCTTTTGAGAAGCAGTAGACATCATAAGCTTCCTCGGGATCCCTTTTGCCATAGCTCCGGACCCCTGGGAGGCTGTTGCGATCCCCATAGCAGCCAGGCCTCGAAAGCGTGATGGGATACCTGTGGGGAAGGGAAGATGGGACATTTAAGTTGCTCACTTTCTGCCTATCCTACCTCACAGGGTTGTTGTGGGGAGGGTAAAATAGAGCTATGTAAGCTGTCCTGCGTTTCTCAGAAAAGGAAAAAAGTCTGGTATGTAAATGCAATGTAGTAATAATAACAATAAAAAACAGAACAATTGCACATTTTAGTACTAAATTTCTGGTTCTATCCCAGCCGTTTCCCAACCTGGTACCCTTCAGGTTTGCAAGACTATCTAACCTTGATGGCTTTTATTTATTTATTTTCCGATTTAGATCCTGCCTTTCTCCTACAAAGGGCTCAAGGCAGCTTATATCCTCCTCCATCTTCTCCCCACAACAACAACCCTGTGAGGTAGGTTGGGCTGAGCGTCTGTGCCTGGCCCAAAGTCACCCAGTGGGTTCCATGGCCGAGCGGGGACTCGAACCCAGATCTCCTGAGTCCCAGTCCCACACTCTAACCACTACACCACACTGGCTCTCACTGGCTCTCACATTGGCTTGGAATGCTGGGAGCTACAGTCTGAGAAATCTGTGCCATCACTTCTCCCCTTCTCCTCTTTAGCAATGCTCACGTACGCCTTCTTTAGAGAAAAAGAGTGGGAAAGGTATGTTGTTTCGGTGAGATTTTACACGCTATTTCTTTCAGTGCATTGTCTTGCCTTTTAATGCCTTGGAAAAGCACCCTACTCAAAGAATCTCAACACAACCACATTCACATATCTTGATAGAACCCCTTCACTGCGGTGCGTGATCAACACACACAACTAGCGATATAACAGTGGGGTACCTAAGCGAGTGGGGAAAACCAAAACAGTGGCATACAGTTCTCTATTTTTTAAAAGGGCTTTATTTAATTTCAATGACAATATTAAACACTTATAAATGCAACTTACCTTGGAGAATTAACACCCAGCAAATCAGCAATTAAGATGAGCACAAACATCTGCATTATATTAGCCATTTAAGATTCCATTCTCATCCAGGCTGTCTTAAAATATGCACAAGAGCTGTGCAGCTTACAGAATACTAGAAATGTGGCCCAACCGAACGGAGAAACATGGTCTGCAAAAAATCTTAAACCCTTGGGCCCTAAAAGTACTTAAAACAGGGGTGGACAACCTGTAGCGCTTGGGCTAATTTTCAGAGCCCCCTGCAAATTATCCGTTGCATCTCATGTCCAGAGTGATCTCGTTTTCCTCCGGTGATCTGCTAGGTGGAGAGAGGGGGAAGCGAGCAGAAGGAGGAAAAGATTGTGTCAGGAAGAAATGCACAGGGGAAGAGAGAGAGCGGGGAGAAGTGGCTGGCAGAGGAACACTGGGAGGGCACAGCGAAACATCACACCGTGGCACATCCCGTCTCCCACTCACCTGACCGTGTGGTCGGAGAGCCATCCTGCGTCACAGTTGTCAAACCCATCCTCAAATGCCGCCTGGAGGTGGGCCGGAGAGGCAACGACAGCCGAGTTTTCCTCACAGGCTTTCTGTGCCTCCGGGAAGGTGAGCGCGTACCGGTTGCTGGCGGCCCGGTAGTGGAACACCACGCCTGTGACTTCCAGCGGCACCAGATCCTGTTCGTCGTGGATCCCGGCCACGACCTCGCAGCGATACAGCCCAGCGTCACTGGCTCGGGCGGCCAGGAGCAAGAGGGTGGCATTGTCGCGGCGGTGGGGGTACCCCGGCAGCGCGATCCTCCCCTCGTAGCCCTTGCCGATCTTCACCACGTTGTCCCTGGCCACCAGGACGGAGATGTCCTCCGGGAGCCCGGCGGCCGAGCGCACCTTGCTCCACTTGACACGTGGCGGGTCCAGGGGCTCGTTGGGGCCGAGGGCGGTGGACGGCTGCAGGACGAAGAGGCAAGGCAGAGCCACGGGCTCAGCCAGGCCGACCCGGAGGGGCTGATGGTGGACCTTGTGGATGGTGATGACGTTTCCGTTGTCCTGCAAACCTGCAGAGAAAAAGATGGAGGCACCGTGGGAAGAGCCCACTGCTTTCCATCTGGGGGCCCAATGCACCGTCACTGCATTCTTTTCAGTGCCAGGATAAAAACCTTTTTGTTTCCCCAGCGGGTTAAGCTCTGATTGTTTTAATTGGGGTTTCTAATGGTTAGTTGGATTGTTTGGGACGCTGTTTTATTTTACATGGTTGTATTGCTAAACTGTCCCAAGACTTCGGTAAGGGACAGTCTAGAAATGTTTTTAAATACATAAATAAATTTCAGAGAAGCTCTCAGGGGCTGCATTTGTGTGTGTGTGTGAGGGGTGCGGGGGTAGAGCTATTTCTCGTCTTCCCCACTGCAGTCTTCATCTCCTGCCCAGGAACCTTCAGTGAGGAGGAGGTACCCTGCTTAGCTTCCTCACTCTTCCGCGGTCTGTCCAGCGAGAAAATGGGGCAATGCTGAGAAAAAGCATAAGAAATATTGCCACTAATGGCTGTGGCACAGAGAGGGGCCCACGGAGAGTGTCTTGCCCCAGCCGCGAAAACTGGAAATTCATGCTTGGGTTTACCATGGTTTTTCCTACCCTGGATTTTGAATCAAGAGGTATTCTGAAACCAGTTGGCTCCAGTTACTTGCTTTTTGAGGCTGGTGCCTTGCACAAGAAAAGAAGAGTTAGCACAAACGTGTTTTAAGGCATTTCCCAAAGATGAAGAGAGTACTGACCAGCAAGAGGAATATGCCTTGGTGTGAAGGCCTTTACTGAGTACGTGCAAAGTGAAATTGGACAAAGGCTGAGGCACCCAGCTCTGCACAGTTATTAATGATTAGTCATTATCCTCAATTATTGTTATGTGTGCATGTTTAAAAATTTATCGACTGCCTCTCCTTCCCCCAAAGTGGCACTCAGGGCACCTAATGATGAAATCCTGATGGAAAGTGAAATCTTAATTAAATTGCAACATGGAAACAAATAAATTAAAAATACAGTTAAAAACACTGTAATAAAAGGAATGAACAGCAAGAACCTGTTAAAGGCAATGAGACAGAGCCACGCTTTTGTGAACGAATTGTGCTGGAGGAGACTCCTGCGAGTCCCTTGGACCGCAAGGCGATCAAACCGGTCAGTCCTAGAGGAGATCAACCCTGACTGCTCTTTAGAAGGCCAGATCCTGAAGATGAAGCTCAAATGCTTTGGCCACCTAATGAGAAGGAAGGACTCCCTGGAGAAGAGCCTGATGCTGGGGACGATGGAAGGCAGAAGAAGGAGGGGGCGGCAGAGGATGAGGTGGCTGGATGGGGTCACTGAAGCAGTCGGTGTGATCTTGAGTGGACTCCAAGGGATGGTGGAGGGCAGGAAGGCCTGAAGAAATGCTGTCCATGGGATCACAATGGGTCGGACGTGACTTCACAACTAACACAACAACAACCCATCCTAGGAAGAGCAGCTTGCATGGCGAAGATCCCAACTCTGGCACCTCCAGGTAAAGTTATGAAAGGCTGGCTTTTCTGCCTGAAATTCTGCATAGCTACAGTGTCGGTCCTGAGCTAGAATGACTCAAGGTGACTCGGTGACAGGCGTCTTTCTATGACCACACTAATATAACACCTGTTCTAAGTGTGCAGGGAAAATGGAACAGCAATTTTAAGTCATGAAAAATCATGCTGGCACAGGAAGATTAATTGCATTTCCTGAGCCCAGCTCACCTAATGAGAAAGCAGAACGAAACAGAACGCTTTTTAGAAAGTTAAATGAGAAAGTTAAATGAGAAAGTTTTTTAATTCAGTTTTGCACTTCAGCCAGTCGTGGTTACTACCCTGCTAATTGGTCCAGGAGCGGCATTAAGTGTCCTAGGCCGAACCTGAACATAGGCTGAACCAAACAGAGCCAGAAGATAGAAACGGACATCCTGTACCCTCTAACCTCGGCTGAAACCGCCATTTTGATGGCACGGCAGTTTACTCACAAGGTTAGCACCTGAACTCAAGTGGGTGTTCCGCTCTGCTTTTCCCTGCAGGAGTTCCCATTTGAAATCCCATCGTAGTTCTTCCAAGACTGCAGGGTTTTTCTCTCTAGCTCGGCTCCTTCTTTCCAGGCAAATGGTGAACTACTTGGCATACTTATGAAATTCGTTAACAATTCTATTGTGCATGTTCCCTTAATAGAATAGTTCCCTTATACATCTCTTACTTGTGTAGATTGCCTTCTATTAAAAATTGGCACTACGCATTTTTGTCTGAGAAGAACAAAGAAACAAAGCATCCCACTCATTCTAAAGAAAATTATATCATGCAACTGTTTTCCAGATTTTTTTAAAACATAGCATTCCCCCCCCACCACCCCCAATCCTTCTGATTCCTCCCATCTTTAATATATCTGCAGGAGAGGCCCTGCTCCAGGAACCCTCCCTGAAGGAGATAAAGATGGTCTCCACCCGGAGGGCCTTCTCTGCGGTGGCCCCCAGACTGTGGAATGCGCTCCCCAGAGAGGGTTGCCTGGTGCCGACATTATATTCTTTTTGGCACCAGGGGAAAACCTTTTTATTTGCCCACCGTTTAAAGAATTAGGAAATTTTAACCTGGTTTTAACTATTTACAGTTGCATTTAGATTTTGCTTGGGGTTTTTTGTTTTGTTTTTTTATCTTGATTCAGTTTTGATATTGTTTTAATTGGTGACACGTTACTGTTCCCCTTCATGGATCACAGCTTTGCCATGGCAAAGGGGCTTGTGTAGCACAATGAAGCGATGAGCTCTGCCATGCAGGGACACCCAAGATGGTCAGGCCACAGCAGAGAGCTCTTCCAAAAGGTGATCCACTGGAGAAGGAAATGCCAGCCCACTCCAGTATCTTTGCCATGAAAACCCCATGGACAGTACCAAGAGGCAAAAAGATATGATGCCGGAAGATGAGCCCCTCAGGTCGGAAGGTGTCCAATGTGCTTCTGGGGAAGAGCAGAGGGCTAGTTCTAGCAGCGCCAGGAAGAGTGAAGCGACTGGGTCAGAGCCGAGAGGACACTCAGTTGCAGATGTATCTGGTGGTGAAAGGAAAGTCGATTCTGCAAAGATCTATGCTCCATAGGAACCTGGAATGTAAGATTCATGAATCAAGGCAAGCTGGATGTGGTCAAGGCCTTCTTAAATGAACAGTGCAAAGAAATAGAGGAAAACAATAGAATAGGGAGGACCAGAGATCTCTTCAAGAAAGTTGGAGATATGAAGGGAAGGTTTCATGCAAAGATGGGCATGATAAAGGACAAAAATGGCAGAGACCTAACAGAGGCAGAGGAGATTAAGGTGGCAAGATTACACAGAACTAACAAGAAAGAGCTTAACGTCCCTGAGAATCACGATGGGGTGGTCACTGACCTCGAGCCAGACATCCTGGAATGTGAAGTCAGATGGGCCTTGGGAAGTCTGAGCAACAACAAAGCTAGCAGAGGTGACAGTATTCCAGCTGAGCTATTCAAAATCTTAAAAGATGATGCAGTAAAAGTGCTACACTCAATATGCCAGCAAATTTGGACAACTCAGCAGTGGCCACAGGATTAGAAAAGGTCAGTTTACATTCCCATCCCAAAGAAGGGCAATGCCAAAGAATGTTCAAACTACCGCACCATTGCACTCATTCCACATGCTAGCTAAGTGATGCTCAAAACCCTACAAGCTGGGCTCCAGCAGTATGTGGATCACGAATTACCAGAAGTACAGACAGGATTTCGAAGAGGCAGAGGGACTAGAGGTCAAATTGCCAACATACGCTGGATCATGGAGGAAGCTAGGGAGTTCCAGGAAAACATCTACTTCTGCTTCATTGACTACACTAAAGCTTTTGATTGTGTGGATCACAACAAATTGTGGCAAGTTCTTAAAGAGAGGGGAGTACCAGACCATCTTATTTGTCCCTTGAGAAACCTCTATGTGGGTCAAGAAGCAACAGTGAGAACTGGACACGGAACCACTGATTGGTTCAAAATTGAGAAAGGAGTTCGGCAAGGCTGTATACTGTCGCCCTGCCTATTTAACTCATATGCAGAGCACATCATGCGAAAGGCGGGGCTAGATGAATCACCAGTTGGAATTAAGATTGCTGGGAGAAATATCAGCCTCAAATATGCAGATGATACCACTCTAATGGCAGAAAGTGAAGAGGAACTAAAGAGCCTCTTGATGCGGGTGAGGGAGGAGAGTGCAAAAGTTGGCTTGAAACTCAGCATCAAGAAAACTAAGATCATGGCATCCGGTCCTCTCACTTCCTGGCAAATAGGTGGGGAAGATATGGAGGTAGTGACAGATTTTATTTTCCTGGGCTCCAAGATCACTGCAGACGGGGACTGCAGCCAAGAAATTAAAAGACGCTTGCTCCTTGGGAGGAAAGCTATGGCAAATCTAGACAGCAGAGGCATCACCCTGCCAACAAAAGTGCGTATAGTCAAGGCTATGGTTTTCCCAGTTGCAATGTATGGCTGTGAAAGCTGGACCATAAGGAAGGCTGAGCATCAAAGGATTGAGGCCTTTGGATTGTGGTCCTGGAGGAGACTCTGTGAGTCTCTTGGACCGCAAGGTGATCAAACCAGTCAGTCTTAGAGGAGATCAACCCTGACTTCTCTTTAATGATTTGGCCTCAAATGAGGCCAAACTCAAATGAGAAGGAAGGACTCTCTGGAGAAGAGCCTAATGCTGAGAACAATAGATGGCAAAAGAAGGAGGGGGCAGCAGAGGATGAGGTGGCTGGATGGGGTCACAGGGGTGCTGGGTGTGAGCTTGAGTGGACTCCGGGGGATGGTGGAGGACAGGAAGGCCTGGAGGAATGTTGTCCATGGGGTCGTGATGAGTCGAACACCACTTCAACTTCGCGACTAACAACAACAACAACAACAACAACAATTAGTGTATGTGAATGGAAAAGAGGACAGAGAAATGAAACCCAAAACTGGCAAATTGCACATATGCCATTTTTGTAAAAGTTAGGATGGCTCAATTTGTCAATTTTAATTTCTCTCAGGTTATAAT